GTGCAGATGACAGCTAAGTCGTTGGCATTCACGCACATCCATATTGCTGCGTCGGTTCTGAACAGCTTGGCGCAACTGAGCTGCCCACTCATGATACTGATCTTAGTTGCTTCAATAAGAGATATCGGCACAGGATGTGCCATTATTTTGGAAGTTGCCGAACCTACTGAAACCTGAACCACTATTTCAAATGTCCTCTAACCTGATGACTGATAGTTGAAGTCTGGAATGTGATATTTTGCTGTAAATAGGTAGAATTTAATGTTTTAGGCCACGTTGACACAACTCTCGCAGCATGTCAAGGGAAAGCGTAAGGTTCGGAGTAGTCTATTGTAGCTTGTTCGAATATGAATAGGTCACGATAGACATTGCAAGCTGAAAGAGAAGCATGATGAAAGATAGGACTACAACAAAGCAGACTAAGTCCAATCAACTCAGCGACTTGACATCTCGACGCCCCTCATCGATTAGAAATGAACTCTTAGAAGCAAGATTCGAAACTAGGACACCTTACCAGGTCAATTAAAGAAAAAACGTCTCGACGTTACTGGTATCTCAGGTGTTTCTGTGAGGCCGGTCGGCGAGATCAATGCAGGAGTTGCGCTGATGTTAATGGATCATTCTTGAGAGCTGCGATCTCTTCAAAACCGTGATGTCTGGTAATGAGAGGCAAAGACCTGTCATCAGGCTTTGATGACATCGTAGCGTAAAGATTACTGCCGTGAGAGATGTGAGTTCGAATGCGTAGACAGATGAAAATCACACGGTCGTAGCTTTAGTGAAATACCCTAGTGAGAAAACTTGGATATGAGAGTTGAAGTAACAAGAGAGAAGCACAAGGGTGACACGTAATGTAAGTGAGCAGGTCTACTTTCAACTACCAGGCAAGTTGTAAGTGATAGCTAGGTTAAGCATGTCATAATGACTAGCAATAATTGCGGAATACGAATTTGTGATGATTAGAAGGACTACTTGGGTGTTAATTCCGTTCAAGTGGTCACATGCATGTTCGTATTTGTAGATATCACGCGTAATCATCTCTATTTGAGAAAACATGCGTTCTCATAAGCGTCACTAGGCCAATTTGATCAATATTTGATGCAAGTTACGACTAGCTGTACATTACAAGCATTGAGAAGCCTGCCGACATACAACAAACAGGGCCATCTACCCTGAAGGTAACCATGGCTTGATAATGACCCCTGAGCAAATTCGCAGCCAGAAGACTGATAACCAGCGGAGATGAAGAACACCATGACTTTTTGCTCTCAACCCATTGTCCTTGCCGACCTCGGTCGATTACACAAGTAGCTGCCGATTAGCTTCTTCGACTCATCGGAGGGATCCGGGTGCGTGCGCCATTGGTGTTCGAGATATCCGAATCGGTCCTCTAGCCTCTCAATGACCCTGAAATATGGTCTTACACCCCGTGGAAACGCGCATGCCATCTTTGACTCGAGACGGAGCATCCGATTCTCACAGGACCGCAAACGCAGCCGCACTGCTTGATAACAGAAGTCAAGGGTAAGCGCCTCGAGCTTGGGGAACTTCTTGAGAAGATCAATGTTCATCTGAATGGCCTCCTGAGTGTCTGGCTGATCCCATTTACTTGGCGGAAAATGCCCAAGGTGTATGTGACGGACCTTGCAAGTATTATCCGAGTGAAAGTCCTGCAGGAATGACTTTATATCGTGACCGGAGGCGTTGGCGTCGGTAAAGCTCATCCGGAAACAATGTGTCGAGAAGAACAGAGGCATGGCCTCATTATAGATCGTCTTGCTTGTTAACAGAACAGCCTTCAAGCCCTCTGAACCGGATGTGCTTTTGCGGTCGATGTAAGTATCGGCATATTCTTGATTCTGAGGAGGATTTATGTGCTCGTAAATAAGAACCCTCATCTCGGGAGGCAAGGTCATGAACGTTGCAGGCATATTGGCGTTTGATCTTGCCCGAGAGGTAATCTGTGATCCTTTGACTGATATGACTGAAAGTAAGAAGAAAGCGCAATATTTGTGGAAAGTAACAGCATTTCTCCTACACGGCTGGTCAAACTATTAGGCAACCTTGAGTTTAGACTGAGGCCCATGGGCTACACAAACACCCGTTCGATGTAGAACCTTTACAGGTGGAATCTAAGCCTCATTCAACACTGGATACTTGCTGATAATGACAAGAAAATTTCGATGTTATCATGAGGCAGCTGCGGCCAACCCTTGTGGAGCTGGATAACCATGCTTCTGAATTCCATCTTGAGCGATACATTAGGTTCCAACGTTCAAAATGTTTCTGTTTTGTGCAGACACCTCCGACCCCAAAGAATATGAGCACTATTTCAGGTCGTAGGAATTTGTCACGTCGTGTTGCCGATGTATTCGTAAGTTTGGTAAGGTCGTGATCGTCCATAGTCCGAATTCCGTACCCTACTGGGAATCTCGTGGACATCCGAAACTTGTCGAAGTATCCACCCTCTGATGCTCTGCTCTTGGACCAGTGTGTAGAATAATCTCACTGAAAACGTTTTGCTTGGTACTGCCCGCGTTGCATGCCTGAGCTCCTCCAGAAATCTGGCTTCCTCCGAGTCCCGAGTTTGTAGTAGCCAAGGACGTGGCAACAGTAGAATGCTAAGCTCAAAAGAAGCGAGATTCAAGTCCAGTAACTGAAGGGTAATCAGCCGATTTGATTCCAATGCTCGTCTTACGAGCGTAGAGGACACTGGTTCGGAACGAAGTAGACGGATGTGTCGGATAAGACTTCTGTTGACCCGCCCAATCTTACGGAGAAATGTGTCCAGATCGTCGTCATATGATACGCTGAAGCACTTGCCAATAGATTCAGAAAAGAAGCGATTCTCTGAATAGAGAATTCTGCGGGCTTCCACATATACTTGTTTGCTAGCTGAGAGTATCTGCCAGAAGCCAGCTTTCGTGTCTTGGTGTCCCTGGCGTCGTATCAACCACAGAGTATGAATGGAAATACCATAATCTCCTATGGAAATTGGTTCCTCGCGGACGAGGACGTGCTTGTAGACTTCAAGTCGAATTTCGGGCGGAAGAGACAGAAGTTCGAACGTCATTTCGCGCTAGTTTCTGATCGTCGGGTATTATCTTGCAGTCGTATCGTAAGATATTTCGGAGTCGGAGGATTTGTCAAAGTCGTAGGATCTCTCGAAGTCGTAGAATAGAGAGGTCACTGGATCTCTTGCAGCCGTACCGTCTCTTATCAAGTTTCTCGTCGCAAATCCGAAGAGAACACAGGCCGAAAACCAGTGCGCCAGGTTTATCGAAGACCTTAAAACTTCAATGATTGGGGACTATTATGGCTAAGTTTCTCCTGACAATGGTCCCTTCAAAGCTTTGGACAACCTTGGCAGACCCAGAGACCCTGTTGGACGGCCAAAGAGAGGCTATTGCTCCTTGCCCTGAGGCAAGTAGCATGCCGCGAGGGACCGTGTATATGCCCATCGCAAGATAAAAAATGCTTCGAAAAATTCTTGTCTGGCTGGCAAGCTCTTTTTGCGTTGTCGGACTCGCAAGTGGCTACTTGAGAGGTCAGAAGTAAGCGTGAATAGACAAACAACTATGCTCCATTTCATCCAACAAGGATCTGTAGACTGCATAGTTGAAAGCTTTGCCCTTATAACTAGAAGAATGCTTAGTAACATGCGAGAACATCTATTCAATTATGGATAGAACACAAATATGTTGCTGAGGACTTAGAACTGATTACATCGTGTCGAGACTACAGAAGTGTCTTGTCTTCTAGCTCTTCATGACCTCAGAGACCTCCACGAGGCGTCAGTCCAGGGTGGAGATAGAGAGACTACACGCAAAGAAGCTGTCTGCAAGACATGAGGAAGCGAGTGAATTAGTTTACCAAACCGCGCATGTGATTTCTGTCGAGATATCTTCGGGTCACATGCGTGACGTTGTGTAATCAAGCCTTCGGTGCGAGTTGACCGACCTTCTTCCGTTTTTCTTATCAATAATGATGCCCATGTAATCGATAATTCGTTATAGCCTCCTGATGTAGATCTTGATTGCCATCCATAGACGAATCAACAGGTCGTGATGCCCGCCTGGACGTGACATATCTTTACCATTTGAAGGTCCAGCCCCTTTCCTCAAATTTCTGCTTGCTCTCGCGAAAGCACCAATATATAAGAAGATGGTTGAATAAAATTGTGCGCTTTTGGACGTTCCACGATATGGCCGATTCCAGAGTTTCCATCATCTTCAACCAGTGTTCCTCCCACGATGGACCCGATGCACACACCAAAATCATCGCGCCTTCCACTTCAAAGGATTTGATAACATCGCTGTAATTTTGCAGTATGCTTGTGAGAGTTTGAGCTTGTTGGTCTAATGAAATATCCCGAGTCCATGGAAAACCCTTGACGTAGAGGTGGCGGACAAGACCCGCGTTGGCCGGGCCAATCCTGTCGGTGAACTCCTCCAGGCTGATAAAATTGCTGTCGTAGATTGGCGTAATACCGTCCAAGACGAAACGCGTTTTTGAATAGAAGACAACGTGTGACTCTTCGTAGACCTTGCGACAGGTGAGGAGAATAGCTCTGGAGCCAATATGTTCGAGAGTGGACTCTTGAATTCTGTAACAACGGAGTCTGTCGTGAGCCAGTAGGTAGTCGTACATTTGAAGTCGGATCTCGGGAGGAATGGTCAGGAGGCTGACCGGCACTTTGGTTGTTGGGGATTCCATCTCGATGGTGAATGTGAGGTGACTTTTTTTGGTTGCAAGAAGGATGTCCGGCGCAAGAGGAGATGAGAATATTCGGAAAAATATGGCCCACTACTGAATTTGCAATTTGAGCTATTGTGAAAAACTTTGACCAAGACCCGGATGTCTAGGGCGTCGCCACTCGGCTTGGACACGGGTCTGAAGAAAATGGACAGTGTTGGGGGAAGACTGAGATAAAATCTCAAGCAAACCACGTCGAGGTTGTAAAATATACCTAAGTATTGCAGATGAGTTTGATTGACTGTTTATCCCCATATTCTCAAGTCCACGCCAAGCTCTTTCTCGATGTACCTAAGCATAGGATGAGGAGCCTCAGGTACTTCTTCAATATCGCCAACGTTCTTCCATCCAGCCTGCCTGAGAAACTCCTTCGCTTTGCTCTGTTGATTAGACGGCGTCCCGGGATGGTCCACTCTCAACACTTCCTGGACGTTGCGAATGCGCCTCATCAACTTGTAGACATCCGCCAGGAAGGTGCAAATGCTCTTCTCCTCGGGGTTGACCAATGTGTGTTCAGGCCATATATCATCGAAGCCTGGCGGCATATCCTTCGAAGGTTTCATCGCGTTGATCATCGACTTTTCGATATCTCCGGGCATGATAATGTTGAAAGTCCTGAAGGCGCAGGGAAGCCTCTCGATAGCCGAGACCAGGGGTCGAACCTCCTTTTCGAGAACGTCGTCGTCGCTCCAACACCGCCACGGGAATGCTCGAATCTGGACGTGTCGGATGAGCTTTGCGTTTGATCTGGATACGTGGTCGAGGAAAAAGTTGATATCGCTACTCGGCGAGGCCGTCCTGACAACGGGTACGAGATGATCATTCCATTTGGCCTTGTTCCTGGATGCTGCTTTCTCGGCTGTGGTAAGGTTCTTGGAGTTTTTCGACTTCGTCTTGCGTCCAGACTTGGCCTGAGGGCCTGTTGGGGCCGTCAACTTTGCGACGTAAGATACGTGTCTTGATAAGATGCCCGGTCCAAAGGCAAAACAGTTCTCCTTGTAGAGAATCTCGCATGCCTGGTGGTAGACTTGTCTGCAAGTCAAGAAAAGGGCAAGGTGTACTGGGTTGTCTGAAGGGCCCAGTGATCTTGGGCGGATGGGTCGTCCTGAGACGAGTACTTCGCGGTAGATCATGTTACTGATTTCGGAAGGAAGATTCAGTAATAAGGAGAATGGTTGATCAGGTGCCAATGAGGATGCGGGTATAGAGCAGGGTAAGGACTCCTGGTCCGCCCACTGTGCCATTTTCTGGAGTACGTCCATTTTAGCGGTGACCGTAGTCGTATTCTCCATTGCCGCAGTGCCCAGAGTCGTGGTGTCAATTTTAGAGGTATTCATTTGTTTGGTATTTATTTCTGAAGTATTGTTTTGTCGTGGTTGTTGAGTTGATTTCGTGGAGGATGAGAGAACCGGGACAGCTTTGAACGGGATGATTCCCTACCTTATATATTACAGAAAGACCTCAGAGAAAACTCAAAACCAAAAACAGTTAAGTATTCCGCCAACCAGCGGATTGCAGAAGCTTGTGCAGTTTCACTTGTAAGTCAACGCAGATATCGCATCGGAGATTGACATAGCGTTCGTGGGCAGAGTTGTCTCGATCTGGGTAGTACTGAACTGGATGCAAGAGCGCCACCACGGATGCCTGAAAGCTTTTCAGGATAGAGTTTCATTCTTCCTCAAAGTATGTAGGCTGTCGCCGTAGGCTCTCGAACAGCTCGCAGCTTACCCGATATTGTCCTCACCATTCTTACACGTCAATAATAGTACTTATCTCTATATAATTCCCAAGTAAACAAACTGAGGCAGACGAAAGCATTCTTCTTTTTGAGAACATCGTTCGGCACATATTTATCGCTGGGTACAGCGAGATTTAGAATAAGGGTGCTGCATTGGTTGGCGCCGCATATTGAAATCGTGACCTCCACTGAGCAAAGCACGGGACCCTGAAAGTCTAAAATTTATACCAACTTGCTTGACACTCTTACTTCAATCGCTATGAGAATTTCAGAGAGGCTAATAAGTCTTTGCGCTGCACAATGTACCGGGAAGTCGCCGGTGATCATGGATTTGAGCGACATGTAAGTGAACCGGAGCCGAAGGAAAGGGGCCGGTGGCCCGGATCCGACCGTGGGCGAACTACGCGGCAGACTGCCGGACCATGTACGTACAAGATTTTGGTGAGGCGGCGGACGTAGTGGGGTAAATGCAATGCCGTTTTCTTCTTCGTGCAGCATCCCGTTCGTTCATCATCCACTCAACTTCTCGCCTCGCAGCAGCCTGCTTGTAGCCAGACGATTCCACGGTGTAACTCGGCTCGGAATAAAAACGAGGAGCCCGACCGCCACCTCATAGTCGAAAATCTCACACGCTGTATCGGATCTAGGCCGTAGATGACTCACATGCAGCTTTCGTCATCTCTTGGAGAGATCCCTGCCAATAGCCGATGAGGGTACGACTTTCAATGAAGGCCTGTTGCCCTCAAACATGTTGGCAAACACCCCCATGCCGAGCAACCAAGCCAAGTGGTTAGACCGGACAGAAACTACACAGCATTTGATGACGTTGCCCTCCATCCACCGGGTTATTCCTGAGCTTTGGGGACCTCGAAGATTGTTGATTGTTTTGGGATCCGCAACGCACCTGACTCTGTTCTTCCACTTTCGCCACTCCTAAGGCAGCTGCTTACCTCACATTAACACTGCCGGTAGAGGACTCAAAGCGGGAGTCATATTGCAAGGCTGGGTGGCGTTTTCTCACTTAGTTGTTGCCATGCATAGTACTTTTCTACCCGCCCTTGTCTACTTCGTTGGCCAGGAAGTGCCCGGCAGCCTGGGCGAGTTGTTTTGGTTGCCTTTCTTCCCCATTTGGCATCTTGGTCTGAACATATAAATTGGCTCTGATAAGAGCCTCAGCGAACTCTCTTCTTCTACAACAACACATTCTACGTCATACCACATCAAACTCGTGATGATGGACTTGGGTAAAATGGACTTCACAAGTCTCTTCAAGGGGAACTTGTCGGCCATGGCCGAGAACATGACTGGCGGAAGGTCTTACTCGCCCAACAGCAAGATGATGGAGAGCCTCATGCCTATGCTGGGCGGCCAGTTCAACCCGGTCGTCCGCTCCATCATGTTTTTGTATCAAATGATAGGATCACATTTGGGCATCGACCCGACGCTCATTCTCACCCTGGCCGGCTTCGTTTGGGCTCTAAACAGAGCCGTCCGGCAGGTTTACGGTGCAATCTTCCGATTCATTCAGGACAACTTCATGAGCTCGATCCACGTCCAGAGCACCGACGAGATTTACACCCACATGATGAAGTGGCTGGCTCTGCAGCCGCTGATGGCCAGTTCGCGATCACTGACGGCAGAGACTGTGAGCAAGACGGCATGGGAGGAAGAAGAAGAGCTTGAGGCTTTGCAGACGAGAATGATAGCCGGAAGTGGCGATGACGAGACCAGGTATCTCAACTTTTCTAACCAAGAGGCCAAAGCTGTAAGTCAGCCCCATACGTCGTTTTCAACATTTCACAATTGCTAACCCGTCACAGCCTCCAAGATATGTCCCAGCTGTTGGCGTTCACGGCTTTTGGTTCAGGAACCGCTATTTCAGACTGCACCGCAAGCAACAGAACGTTTTTGACGGCGCCGAAGCTTACGGAACGTTTAGGAAAGAAGAAGATCTTGTCATATCCTGCTTCGGACGAGATCCAGGTGAGCTTCCACCATCCCATCTTCTCTGTGATAACTCAAACTGACAAACATATCAGGACCCATCAAAGAACTGCTTCGATTCGTCAAGGAGTTCTACTACTCAGATCATTATGCTCGCACCACAATCAAGCGCCCTAGCCCGCAACCGATGCGTCGATATGGCGGCCGCTACAATTGGAGCCAAGTTGCCAACCGTCCCGTCAGACCCATGCGCACTGTTGTTCTCGATCCAAAGCAGAAGGGCCAAGTTCTCGCGGACATGAACGAATACCTTCATCCCGCCAGTCCCAGATGGTACGCGAACAGAGGAATTCCACTTCGTCGTGGCTACTTGTTCTACGGACCCCCTGGCACAGGGAAAACGTCCCTTTCCTTCGCCTTGGCTGGTGTCTTTGGGCTTGACATCTTCGTCATCTCCCTGCTTGAGCCGACGCTGACAGAGGAGGATCTCGGTACACTCTTCAACTCGCTTCCACGCCGCTGTGTTGTTCTGCTTGAGGACATCGACACTGCTGGCCTGAGCCGTGGCCAAGACGAGGAGATCGATGACGCAGCCCCTGCATCTGAATCCAAAGACGACAACGATAATCAGAACGCCAATAAAGATGGCGAAAACGCCAGCAAGAAGGAGGACCGACCCGGTAGAAGAACCACCAAGGACGACTGGAAAGTCTCGGACCTCGCGCGCGCTCTCAAGAAGGAGGCCAAGGACGACAAGAAAGGTATCTCCCTCTCGGGCCTCCTCAACGCCATCGACGGCGTCGCCTCCCAGGAAGGCCGCATCCTCGTCATGACAACCAACAAACCCGAATCGCTCGACGAGGCCCTCATCCGCCCCGGCCGCGTCGATCTGCAAGTCGGCTTCACCAACGCCACACCCGCGCAGGCGACGGAGTTGTTCCAGCGCATGTACGAGGCCGACGGCGCCGCCCCCGCCAAGCGCGTCGACGGCCACGTCGCGCCACCTACGAACCCCGGACCGCCCATCGTCAAGATGAACGGCGACGCGTCCGCGGCCGGGTCGGGGTCCTCCACGCCTTCGCCTTCCAAGACTTCCTTTGCGCAGGCCGAGGCTACAGCTGCGGCCGAGGAGGCAGAGAAGAAGCGCCAATTCGACGCGGAGGAGCTGAGACGCATCGCGGACGAGTTTGGCACGCTGATTCCCGATGGATTGTTCAGCCCGGCTGAGATCCAGGGCTTCCTCCTGAAGCGCAAGAAGGACCCGCGAAGGGCGCTCCGGGAGACGGCGGAGTGGGTTGAGGGGATGCGCATGCAGAAGGAGAGCAAGACCAAGGTTCTCAAGGTGCAGTGAGAGAAGCCTTGGTACATACGTTCCAACAGGATTATCATAATGGTTCTGACGACCACTTGAATCGTATCAGGCAGTTTGAGTTCTTGCGTTTTAACGATTTTATGCGAAGCACAGGTGGGCATTATAAAAAGATGGGACACGAAATGGACTAAATTGTTTGACGAGCCCTTCAACTGGTAATTCTTCATTACTTCCCGCTACGGATGCGAGTACTATGTACTTCTGATTTCGGTACACTGCTAAATTTAAAATTACTGTCCCAGCGATGCCACAATGATCTATCCAAGTGCCGCTGAAGGGTAGACTCCCTCGTTCTCTGGGTCTTTGGGGTGGTAGATCGAGGGATCCACATGCTGAGGCACCTCGTCACCTTCTTCGTAGGCGTACGTCTCGTCGTATCCTTCTCCCTCCTCATCGTACCCATAAGCCTCCCCATCTTCATAATCTTCACCGTACTCCTCACCCTCAGGGCCAGCGGGGTAGACCCCATCTTCCTGCTCAAAGCCGTCTTCCTCATAGTCTTCCTCCTCGTCGAGACTGTCGTCTCCAGCAAGAGACATGAGATCTTCCTGAATGCCTTGCTCGGGGTTTGGCGTCTCCTCCGCGCCCATGGCGGCTGCTGCGGCAACACTGCGAGGTCCATTGGCCTTCGTCACGCGGTAGGCCGTACCTTTGCGCTTCTTCTTTGGCTCCTTGAATCGTCTGCCGTAAAGCACCCTCTTCTCGGCATCGGTGAGCTGCAAGTCTGGCAGCGGGATGTGCACGCTCGACGACCCAGGTGGCGGGGTAGTATCGCGGACGTCGACGATGCCGGCGAAGTCCTCATCCTTTAGCTTACGTCCGAACTGGATGGCGATCATCTTTGTCTTCATGATGCCCTTGACCTTGGCCCATGTGCCTTGATGGTACCACCCGCTGTTGTAGATGTCAACCACGGAGCGTTCCGGAGCTGTGGCGAAGATGTTTGCGATGAGGGGATCCGTGATGTCGCATATTTGCCAGACCTTCCCGTCGGTCCAGTAGGATTTGCCGTCGAAGATGTGGCTCTCGTGGTTATCGCCTTGCGGCTGGCGTTGCTCGGTGCGCAGGCTGCGGATAGCATGCCAAGTCTCGCCGATGTGCCCAGCTTGCAGCTTGCGCATATTGAAGATCATGGTCTGGTATGTCTTGTAGGCTGGATCAGTGCGCGGGTCGACGCCGTATTTGATGATTGCATCGCGCCAGGGGCCGCCGCGGAATTGGTAGCCTACATATCCGACGCAGCGCTTCATCACGTTGGCGTTACGGACGATGGAGCCGAGTTTGTTGAGTAGGGAACGGCGTGTCCATATGGGGCGTTCTTCCATTGCCTCCTGCATCTTGGCTATGCAGGTGGTTACTTCCTCGTCGGTTCCGTCCCAGGGCGACTGTGGACCTGAAGGGATAGGATACTGGTCTGCCTTCAAAAAGTAGCCGATCAGGGTCGGTAGTTGAGTGTTGATGAGTTTTGTTTCGCCAGTATGGTCGAGCTCGGAGCGCACGTAAGGATTTTGTGAGTAGTTGTAGATGAACGGCAGAGTCATTGGCGTCCAGACGGGCGGTGGGATGATGTCCACGTTTGGCCCTTTGTCGACGCCGTCGATGAACTTGAAATCCCTCATTTGGGTGACTGTGGCTGTCAGCTCCGTGCTCAAATCACGTATCGATCCAACTTACTATCGCCAGGCATGATCTGGTCCATGAACCTCGAAATGAATGGGGACTCCTTCAGACTCCAGTGGAAATCTGCCATGCCGCGGAATCGGTGAGTATGTTTGATGACGCCAACGGCTTCCACCTCGTAGTTATCTACGTTGTCCTGCATCTTCCGCCGCAAGACTTTCGGGTTGTCCAACCGCGATCTGGAGTAGATTCGCTCCCCTGATGCTCCAAACCGAGGGGCATCGGTCATCTCGATCTCGCCCTCCCACGGGCCATCCGTACCTCTCTTTCGCTTTCTTCCGGTACGCTTCGGTACGGTCACTTTCAGTACCACATTGTGACTAGTGGCACTATGAGACATGATTGGTCTGCGGAACGGGCTCTCAGGATTCAAATAGAAGGGGATGGTATTCCTTTCCGTGTCGAGAATCTGGCATGCTGTCAGCAACGCACGGCAGACATTGCCCAGAAGACAGAATAACCCACGTTCTGGAACGACGAGATGCTTCCAAAAGCCTTTTCCGTTCTTTCCAGATTCATGACAATCATGGGAATTTCAACGGCACCCATGGCTCTCCTGGGGATAGGGAAACGGGGTGCTGAGTTGCTATTATTCCGAGAAGTCGATGGCTCTTCGCGTGTTTCGTGCTCATCTTCCAGAACATCCCCCGGGGCATCATCGTATGTGTAATCATCACCCACGCCATCATGGCGACGCTCACTCTGGGTGTCCATGGCGACAAGCGGCGTGCTGCTGTCTTCCAAGGCACATCGGTTGAGGTAGCGAATGCTATCTGGGTCGTTTGCAGCTGAAGGTTTTGATTGGCTGTCTCTAATTTTGTCGGCAGGCAGTCTGAGACTCTGAACCGGCGACTGCGCAGCCGGATAACGCAGCGAGGCAAGCCAAATGACGTTTCTGGACTGTCGTTGTCTTGATCTAGGCGATACGTCGCATGGCTGGAATTTTTACTTGCCGTCTTGAGCAACTGAGATTGACGCACGGTGCGAGATGCAGCCTGATGTAGGAAGGTGCGCTGGCTCACAAGGCAAGACTTGAGAACCTCTACAGTTGAAGCACTGTGTCCTGAAGCTCGCTGGCTCACCACATGAAATGATTCATAGGTTGAGGACGAGCAAATGAATTGAAACTTTGTCATCTAGTCAAATTACAGAGGGAAGGATCTTCAACAATGTTACGGCAGCAAAATAAATCATCAATAGTATTGTGTATAAGATAATGAGTGATGATGAATAACAACAACAAATAAGGTAGGCGCGACTCAAGCAAACGACCTGACAGCCAAGTAGGTACGCAACTACATCCTAGCCAAGGTTTTTAGCTACCTGTACTCTATTTCTAGCAATGCTTTATACCGCAGGAATGGAGTCGGATGCATTCGCGTTTCAGATCTCTCAGCAGGTCAGGTCGTCCAATGTTGAACCCGTTCCCGATGATCTGGGAGGCTCCTGTGACTTATGAGGTAGCTTGGACCCAGAGTGATGTGATGATGCCCACATTGTTTGGGGCATGAGCCTACAGACGGCCCCTGCAGCGGCTGCCAGGTGACTTGCAGCCTTCGGAAATACAGTGCGTCTCCAATTCTGGCACGGAGTTGGCTTCATCTTGCCCTTGAAACCTATTGGTATTGTTGGCCCAACGCAACGCAACGTAAGGTAGTCTTCTGTTTCTTCAGAGATAATAGTTATGTCTTCTTGCCTTGGAAATAAGTATCTCCACTTATCGCTACGATTCAAATATAATAAAAAATCCCGGGGAGTCAGTCAGATGCAGACATGCGATGATAGACTTGACTGCATTAAAAACTGACATTCGACCTGCATCGTCCCGTTAGGAAGTCTGCATGTTTGCAATGGAGATCACATGTGGGGGCCAAGAGTGGAGATCGGGCCAGTCCTGCGACCAGGATACGGATAAACACTGCTGCCGACAGGAGAAATTGAGCTCCAGGGTCCAGCTTCTTTCATCCACTCACAGACGTTAAAAGTCGGTTGTAATCCACACCCAAGTTCAGCATTGAAAGTGTTGTCTTACCTAAGCAGAAGAAGAGCCAATGGACGTCCTTGTTTTCCCAGAGCAGGTCCGTGCAGGGATCACGGTCCCTGCCAGTGCCAAATAGTGAAAGTGCCATCCGTCGACACCCCTTTCCCAATCCGTCCCCTTTGCCCTGTATTCGTACCTACCGTCTGCCGCTCTTGATGGACGGCCGGTGCCCTGTAATTAGGTGCCTCCAACAACACACCTCAGTGGGCTGTCCAAAGTGTCTGGTTCGCTCCTGCAGTCGGGATCCGTCCTGGAGCAAGTGTCCGTCGCTGATGCAGCAAGGCCCTTCACAGCCTCGACCTCCACTCTCAACCACCTTACCTCACAATCGACAGTTGTGTGTTTCTTCTTCAACTCTTCTTCCCCGCCGTCTAATGCGCACCTTTGACATCACTCCTTCTGCAATTCTCCCGGCGGCTTGATCACCAAGTATCATTACAACTTCATCTCCTCCGCTACTCGATTAGAGCTCAATTCCGCGTTGCTCGCCTGCGATCTGCCCGCCGCCCGCCCGCTCGCTCCCACCACCCACCACCCCCGGTGTCGAGGCCTGTTCCTGGCTGGCTGCCGCGCATCACTGGACCGTCTCCAGCTGTCGAGTCCTCTGGCGACTGGGCCGGACAACCCTCTGACCATACCGTCCGTACCTTGCCGTACCGCGCTTCTACCTTAATATTTCACCGCCGCTAGCACGTTAGGGGAGGACGGCTTCTGGTCCCGCGTCGTCGTCTCACAGTTCACCTGGGCCCCGCAAACAACTTCAGCTTTACCGACGATCCAGAGCAACCCCCAACTTCTTCGAATCTCGTCCGGAGCATCTGGCTTTCTTCCTTTCGCTGCCCGATCACTTCTTCTTCCGACGCTTTTTGATGGGGCTTTTCCTCGTCGCAACGATCACTCCAATCTGCTGCCCGAGCTTCTTCCCCTTGCCTGGGCATCACGAAGCGACGCTATCCTGACAACCCAACCCCAGCCCTTTCGCGAGCAACTGCCCTCCTTCCATCCTCTCGTCGACATCGATCTGCCGACGCGCTCGCTACACCCCAACATCAACCATACTTCAGCCCCACGTCCCATTCGCTGCGCATTCGCGAATTGTGCCAACGAGGCTGAAGTAGCCCTTTCGATCCGCCCGCGTCGTCTGTTCATTTCGACGTCGTCAAACAATTGACTCGATCCGGCCGAATTCAAGGCCCCTGCTCACCACGACCTCGACCGCCCATCCTCTGCTCGCATACATTCTTCTCCTTGGACTACCTATCGTCCATTGCGACTTACTGCCAGTTGCTGCAATAGCTGTTGAGTCGGGCGATCCTGTCGCCCCACGGAGAGGGACTTCACCGTGACGTCCAAAATGAAGCGCTTCGGCCAGAGGGTGGTAAGTCCTCCTTACTATCTGGCCCCTATCATCATCTGGCCACCATATTGACAACCCAGCATGCTCAGCTCTCGCGCGGCAAAGACAAAGACTCCAAGTCCAAGAAAAACAAAGACTCCAAGGATGGCACTGCATCCCCCTCGTCGGTCGGCTCAGGCCGCGATGCCAATCAGTCTCCCAACCCGACTCCATCGTCCTCGACGACAAACCTGACCGATTCCCGCAATAAGCCGCTGCCTCCTAACAATAGCGGCGCTCATGGCGGAGAACCCGGCACGAACCAGCCGTCGCCATTGAGCAACCAGCAAGGTGCTGTTCAGGATCGCTTTGGCTCTGCCGGTGCAGCCCAAGGTGCTAACGGTGGAGGTTCTCCAGCTCGTCATGGCACTCTGCCTCCTACGGTCATCATTAGCCCCAGCGCTCCCGTAAGATCTCGCATCCCTTAGGCTTATCACGGCAAGTTGCTCTAACCATTATAACAGCACGTCCCGCCCCCAGGTGCCGCAGAAACCATGCCCCACGATCTCGCCCCTCCGAAAGCCGGCACCAAGTCGCTCATGTTCGATCGCCTTCACCAGACTCCCAAGGATGTGCCCGAGGGTCTCAGAACACCCAAGCGACAGCACTCTTCGAGATTCGACATCTCTGCTCACCGCGAGCTTGAGAAGCTTCCTGGATTCCACGAGGTGCCCCCCAACCGTCGCCAGGAGCTCTTCATGCAAAAGATCGACCAGTGCAACGTTATCTTCGACTTCAATGATGCTAGCGGTGACATGAAATCCAAGGAGATCAAGCGACTTGCCCTCCACGAGCTACTCGACTACGTCGCTAATAACCGCCAAGTCATTACGGAACCCATGTACCCCAAAGTCGTCGAGATGTTCGCCAAGAACTTGTTCCGCCCGATTCCGCCACCCATGAACCCCCAAGGAGAGGCCTTTGATCCAGAGGAGGACGAGCCTGTCTTGGAGGTTGCTTGGCCACACATTCAGGTTGTTTACGAATTCTTCCTGCGCTTCATCGAAAGCCAGGACTTCAACACCAACATTGCCAAGGCCTACATTGATCACAGCTTCGTACTGCAACTCCTTGAGCTGTTCGATTCGGAGGACCCGCGCGAGAGGGATTTCCTCAAGACGACACTTCACCGTATCTACGGCAAGTTCCTCAACCTCAGATCGTTCATCCGTCGCTCCATCAACAACGTGTTCTTCCAGTTCACCTACGAGACGGAAAGGTTCAATGGTATTGCAGAGCTGTTGGAGATCCTGGGCTCCATTATCAACGGTTTTGCCCTGCCGCTGAAGGAAGAGCACAAGACCTTTTTGACCCGCGTGTTGATACCCTTGCACAAAGTCAAGAGTCTGAGCATGTATCATCCCCAGTTGGCATACTGCATTGTTCAGTTCTTGGAGAAGGATGCTTCGCTGACAGAAGAGGTAAGATTTGCGGCCAAGATTGCAGAACAGTATGCTAACCTTTCCAGGTTGTTCTTGGGCTGCTGCGCTACTGGCCCAAGGTCAATAGCACAAAAGAGGTTATGTTCCTTAACGAGGTCGAGGACATTTTCGAGGTCATGGACCCTGCCGAGTTCGCCAAAGTTCAAGAGCCTCTCTTCCACCAACTTGCCAAGTCGGTCGCAAGCCCTCACTTCCAAGTTGCCGAACGTGCTCTCTACTTCTGGAATAACGAGTACTTTTGCAACCTGGTTAGCGACAATGTTGAGATCATTTTACCGATCATGTTCGCACCCCTATACGAAAACTCCAAGGGACATTGGAATCGGTGAGTGTTCTCTTGTGATGATGACGAAATCCACGCTGACTGAGGAAGCACCATTCACGGCATGGTTTACAACGCGATGAAACTCTTCATGGAGATCAACCCTCAGCTTTTCGACGACTGTTCCCACGATTACACCGAGCAACAAAACAGTGCTGCTGCTAGGGAAGCCATGCGCGAAAGGAAGTGGGCCTCTATTACGGACCAGGCCAACCAAAGACGGTCAGCCAATGGTGCGGGCGCCCCTCCTACGGGTAGAGCACACGCCGGTTCCCTTTCCCGCGTTGATGAGGTCGATGGGACCGAAGACAACCAGAAGCGATTAGACTCTCTCAAGCTGCAAGATGGCGACCGAAGAGATCGTCGGCATGAGCAACAAGACTCGGTAGGATCAACCCGAAGCCAAAAATGATTTTACCCTGTTGCCGTTTCCTGCTGTCTCTGGTCGTCGACCTGCACTTGAGGATTCTGGAATAGCCCTGCTACCGTTCCCGTACCTCATCTTGTTTATCACGCCTGTTTTGCAGCCTCTTGCTATTCGTTAACGTTCGTTTTTTGTGTTGAATATTGGTTGACCATGGACCGGATCTAGGGCTCGGAACAGAACGGTGAACCGACAGCCGCCGCGGTCGAGGAGTCATGACGGGCCTTGACATAACCACCGAATGATTCTCCTTCAACGGGTTGAAGGTCTCAGAACGGGAAACTCATGCATACGCTTGGGACTATTGCTGCAGGGAACGCTTCGGGTCAGGAAAAGAAGACGCCGTGCTCTAGGGATGGGGCTTCGCCGCCCCCGGAACATACTTAATTTTCATGATGTCACTTTTTTGTTTCTTTCCTCTTTCGCGAAGATTCAAACTTGAGCGGGGCTTCCGACTGCAGGCCTTAAACCGCCCGTCTGCTGTTTATGTGGCTGACGAGGAGGAAAGAAACTCGGGACTGTTGGTTTTCTGCGCGGGAGGACACAAAAACGTATCTCGTCGGGGATGGTGAGGGAGGACGGACATGCGAGAAACGGATGGAGAAAGACGGGGTCCGGCGCAAAAAGGCGAAGCTCGGGAGACAAGCTCCCTTCTTTTCTGCGGCTCTTCTCGGATGAACTTGACAAGAAAGTTGCGCCAGAGGGGTGGCTTGAGGAATGAGGGTTTTCCTCCCTGGTTTCTACCTTAGACGATGAATGAGTACAGACGTAATACGTCACATTTAGACTTGGGTACATTTCTCGTTGTAGTCTCCTGGCGTGAAGGGGTATTATTCTACATTGCTTTCCTAAATCTCACGCGACGGCCATCAGACGACTACTACCAACCGCCCCTGCCTCTATCGTAGCCTCCTCTTCCGCGGCCCCTGTACCCACCGTTTCCACGTCCGTACTGTTGAAACTGGTTATGTGACTGCGGCGGCGGAGGGGGAGCCCATCCGCCCATGTTAGGTGGAGGCGGCGGCGGCACCCCGGGCCCGGGCGGGGGAGGACCCCAACCCCGAGGAGCACTGCCCATGTAGGGTACAGAATGTGGAGGAGCGGGCGGCCATGTTCCCTGGAAGCCTTGAGGGGGCGGAGGCGGCGGCGGAGGGAAGTGTCCGAACCCTACGGCCGCATTGGGAGGTGGAGGAAGGTACGGCGGGAAAGCTGGCGGAGTGTGGTGATTTGGAGGTGGTGGCGGCGGCGGCGGCTGGGGCTGATTGTACGGAACAGATTCGTATCGGCCGCGACTGTGGGGTGGAAGGGGTGACCTGCTCGAGTCGCCGCGGTCCCGGCGCCCACTCCGATCTGCCGATCGTGACCTAGACCTGTAGCGGTTACGGGAGCCGGACACCGAGCGTGACCTCGATCTAGATCTCGACCGGCTATAGTCTCTGGAATCGAAGCGGCCCCTGCGCGGAGGGCTGCGCCGACGGTCGCGGCTGCGGCTGCGGCTGCGGCTGGGACTTCGGGAATCTGGCGAGAGCCTGCGCCGCTTGAAGGCGGGCGGCGAGTCGCTCCTGCTCGATCGGCCTCGCGAGAAGCTGCGAGAGCGACTTCGCGAGATGGAGCGTCCGCGATCGCGACCGTCCCCCGTCTTGCCCTGCTTGCGCTGCTTCATCTTCGTGCAGAATCCACGCGACCAGCCGTAGTACGTCTCTCCATCGACGACTTCGCCCGTGATCTCGTCGAGAACTACGCGTTCGCCCATCTCGGTGAAGTCCGTGGGCGCCTGGTCGGTCTGCTGAGGGGGAGCGGATTTGGAGTAAAGTCTCTCGACATCCGCGAGGAGGTCCTTGACGGCTTTGGCGAGCGCCTTGTCAGCTGGCCCCGGGGCGAGCTGCAGAGGCTTGATCATGCTGGGGTTCATCGGCTTCGTGGAATTGGGTTCGAGGTGCGGGAGCCAGTTGGCGGCGGGGAGGTCGAACCACGGCGTGTTCGGGTCGCCGTGCATCGAGGGGATCATGTAAGGGGCATCCTTCGCTGGTTTGACCGCCAGATTCGACCCCGTCTGATCATGCGCACCCTGGCCCTCGGCCTTGGACACTTTGCCGCCGTGAGGGGCTTCCTTGACCGTCTCCCGTAGCTCGTCGATCGTTTCCGCCGAGAAGTACCTCTGCTTATTCCAGAGCCCAAGAAGATCTTCCAGTTTGCGCACATGCTTGGGGCAGTTGTGGAAGCTCGCGGCGCTATGGAAGAGCGGCGTCAGGCTGGGCTGCAGCTCTGTCGTGAGGCGGGCGTCCCGGTCCCGCACGACGGCGTGGTAGAGGACGTCGTTGAGGATGTACAAGACGTGTAGACGCTTGCGCCGGGAGGAAGGCTTCGTCTTCTTAGCGGAGGAGTTGTCGCCGCCGGAGGGGAAAGACTTGGAGAGCGCTGCTAGGTATTTGCCGAGGGCGGCGACGCGCGCCGGCGAGGGGGCCAGGTTCTTGAGGATCCATCGCTTGCATTTCTATAAGAGGCGGCGGGAGTTTAGTTGACCTGCGACACGCGAGGGAACACACAAACGAGACGATGTGCGTGGCAGTAGGGAGGAGGAGAGAGGCCGTTTGTCAAAGAGGGCGTCAAACCTGAACGTTGGCGGGCGAGCACTGGTGTATCGCGTCGTGGAGAAGCGTGTGGAAGGTCTCGATCTCGGGGCGGGTGAGGGAGACGGGTTCCTTGCGGAAGAGGAGAGCGCTGAAGGAGGCTTTGGCTATTGCTAGCTCGGGAGTCGCCATTGTGATTCGTTTCGCATTCCCGCTGGCGCGCAGGCTGTTGTTGAGGTAATTGAGTGGTGATGGCTTAGGGATGTTGTGGTTGTAAGATTGTCGAGGCTGGAGCTAGAGCTGTCAAAAGACTTGTCGAAGCTTCAACGGCGCACCTAGGCGCGAAGCTGGATGCGCCGCAGCAAATTGTGGCTTAGCTTCGGCCAGAGGCGGCTGGCGGGATGAAATCGCCCGGGGTTTTCGCGGCTTCTTCCGTAAAGGCGCCAGGGACCTTGGCTACCCAGTGCGGATTGCCACGAGGTCCTGTCGCTAGCGGCCGGCCCTTTCTCCTCCAGTGGTGGCAGCTAGCTACCCTTGAAGCCAAGATACGGCACCGTATTCCGCCGGAGTGCGCGCCGTGTTCGGGAGAACGAACTGAACCGTTGAAGAACGACAGGTCATTGAGGGGCACGTGTTGGGTCCATGATTTGACAGAAATAGCTGGAGGTTTATGCAACCAGGTTGTGGTGTCTTTGGAGCGTTCGTGTTGCACATGGAAACCACTGACGTAGGTTTGAGGCAAAATGATTCATTGACAGACAATACGGTCCTCGTTACCAGCACACCGAAGCCTTTGCATACAAAAATGAGCGCCATAAGCTCCAGAAGGAGACCCAAACATGAGGAGAGACGTGAATTCTTGTGTCGTGTTCAATGATACAGAATGCGGTCAGAGTTGACCAGGGTGTTGAATTATAATACACGAACTCGGGTTTGCTCGGGCTCCGTCCACAACGTCGTCCACGCCACTATGAGAATCTGTCTCCCTTTGGACTCTTGAACGGCGTACTACTCTCGTATTTGCTCTTTTCGAGTAGTCTCTGCTGTTCCGTCGTCGGGGCGTGGCGTGTCGGGGCGGGATCGGAGCTGGACTCCTGGCTTGGGGAGCCGGCGGTATCGGTGCGCGGCTCGCCGCTCATGGAGGTTGCGGAGCCGGGCTGGCTGGGGACGTTGTCGCCGTACTCGAGGGACTGGGCCATTTGCTTGCGCTTGCGCTGGTCCTCAAAGCGAGCTGCGCGGTCGGCGTTGATGCTCTGCTTCGCGAAGTAGTAGGCCGTGCCGCCGGCTAACACACGATACCGGATTAGCTTTATTTGTCAAGTAACAGACGACGGCTGGTCAGATGGCCACGTACCAAGACAGAGCGAGCCCCATCCGAGCCTGCGAGAGACACGAGAGTCAGCTTGAAGGACGAGGAGAGACGAGTATGCGACGAGTCAAGCCTACCAGAACGATTTAACCTGGGATCAGGCATGATGTTAGCCAAGCACTTGAAACCAGATGCGACGGTTGAGCAACAACTTACGGTATTCATGTTTGCGGCAGAGTATGCGGTGTTGGCGATCAGCAAAACCGGTCGTTTCGCAGTGCTGAAGATTCGAAAGATGTGTACGGGAACGCAATCGGAGAGAATGAGAGGAAGAGAAAAAAAAAAGTTGCGCTGTTTGGAGTTGGTTGAATGGAATACGTGAACCTGGTCCATCGCAGCATTTGTCCAACCGTAGTCGACGCACTGTGTTAAGTGGGATGGTCTGATAATGGAGCTCTCCGATTGCTTGACCTTGCTCCGTGCACGCGAGTTGTGGACCCCGAGCCAGTGGGAGGTGGTTTTTGTGCCAAATGTAGCCTAGCCCGGACCGGGGGAGTTGGAAATCGAGATACGTATCTTTTGGAGGCTAGAGAGATGCGCCGGAGGCCGGAGTTGACGACTGCCACCGTGATGGACAGGGGAGCGGCAGATCAGGCTGTCCAGCGGGTTAGGCCTAATTTCGGAACAATTAGTGTCCAGGTCCTGTGCCTTGGGCAGACTTCCCTCAGGTACCAAGCCGTAGGACCCCCCTGTACTCTTTAGATGTTGTGTGTGTGTGCGTGCCCGGTGTGTATGAGGTGCGTTCCCTCGTCCCCCAATCACTGCTGAAAGGTACCTGGAGAACATGTACCTTGATTGATGGTATCTCTTGGAAGCAACTTCACAAGAAAAAAAGGCCCGCAGCTGTCTCCTTACCCTTGCTGCTTGCCGAGGGCTGTGGCAGTGGACGGAGACTCGGCTTGGCAGGGCCATATGTCATTATGGATATTCGTATGGCTTTGCTACCTCAGATAGGACAAGACGCCTGCGGGACGGCTACGGCGTACGTAGTGAACCTGACGTCGCCGTCGTAAAATTCGTAATTGAGGGCAGTGTTTGGATGACCAGTCCTAGGTAAGTCCCCTCAAACCTTACGTACCACCTGATATCCAGGTCCCTGAGGAAAACAATACCTTGTCCATCTATCTCAGTACCCGTGCAGGTATTACTGCGTAGGCAGGTCCTCCCTCCCGTCGTGTCATGTCCTGTACCTCATAAGCCACCAAAGTGCGTGCCTCGCCTTACGTTTCCCTTCTTTTTGGTTCCCCTTTCCCTGCCCGCCTCATATTTCTGAACGGTACTTCCCCTCATCCCCAGAATATTAGCGCACCCAAGTACCTCAGGCAGCTGGCCAACCTTGCTCTCTCAGGTACCTACGGTTGAGGTACACACCATCCACACTACCGTCCCAGCAAAACGGCTGGGAATCTTATTGCTCCAAGGGGCCATTGCAATGCCACTTCGTTGTCAATCACAACTTACTACGGATACTACTACTACTTCCACGACCACTGCAACGAAATCCATTCGATCCTCCCCTCTCGCGCCCTTCACCTCTCCACCGCGACTCTGACCCTACAAACAAAGGTCATGCCCGCCTGCGCCTCGAGGTAGCTTCGAAACGTCCGCCCAGCATCATTATGCTCCTCAGCCCTCTTGCACGGCCGTCCATCCCACTTCTCAGAATCTCTCCGAACATCCACGCGCATCAACCTCTCCTTTCCGCCGCCGCACCCTCGCGACCTTCGACCTCTCTCCAACACCTGACTTCCTGTCCCTCGAGAGGTTAAGCAGGCGTCCACCCTTCATTCAACGCCCGCCGTGCATGGGCTCATGAGGAATCAGTTCAAGACGTGGGTGTAATGGGTATCAGCACCCTGAGCCCCGCCGTCGTGCTCTACTGTCATCATGCCTCCTCCCCCCGACCAGAATGGGCCTGATGGCTCATCACTTGTTCGTTTGTCCGGCTGGCTAGCCTTGCTACTTAACGTACTGACGCTTCTCCCAGAAACCCGTCTCGTCCCTCCGAGCCAAGTTCGAGAATATGAACAAGGGCGAATCCGCGCCTGGCCCCTCCCCGCCCCGAACCATCTCTCCGGGTCCGAAGCCGGAATTCCTTCAGAATGCAAAGTCGTCAACCGAAAGCCTTCCGATCCCCCCAAGACCTCGAGAGCGTACGAGTATTTCGACCCCTTCGCTTCCGCCCCCGTTGCACGAGCCGGTTCCACGCTCGCCCGGCCGTTCCCTGGGCGTGCCACCCACTTTGAAGCCAGAACCCGTGAAAGCTCCGTCCGTCATGGTTGAGCCTCCTCAGTCTCCGCCAAAGAACACCATCGCTAGATTCGCGCATGCCGAAACCCCGGCTTTTCTGAACGCAGAGTCCGGCGCATCGACTCCGACAACTCCGACGACTTCGCGGCAGTTCAAGATCCCGAGTCGGCCCCATACCCCCTCCCTCGAACCGAACCGCCGCTCTCCCCGACTTTCGGCCTCCCAACCGCCCTCTCCGCCGCCGCCGAGAAGATCCGGCGAGGTTCGGAGGGAAAACAAGCCTGCTGTGCCTCCGCCCATCAACCGGGCTGAGAAGCCGTCAATGCAAAACCAGCCGAGGCCTTCATTCTTCGCGGACCATGTTGTCGCTGCTCCCGGCAGGGGCAAACTGAAGCCGGAGACCTCGCCATTCAGCAGCCCGCCGAGCAGCCCCGAACCAGCCCCTCCAGTGCTTCCCACAAGACCAAAAGCGCCTGCTGTGCAATCGGATCCTCCGCCGCAGCAGCAAAGGGGAAGGACATTGGATGTTGGATTCGCACCTCCGCCTGTACATCACTCGATCATGACCAAGAGGAACCAGCGGGAACAGGAAACGAATGGCTTCGTCAAAGGCCAGATCACGCCCCAGATTACCGGCGAAGCTCGACCCTCCGTGCCCGCACTTCCCGCGAGACCACAAACGATCGCCGCCGAGCCGCCGCCACGACCTCTTTCAATGACAATGAAACCGCCCCCGCGACCTCCCAGGCCTGGCGTCAACACCCATTCAATCTCCGAGGCTCAACCTCCGCCTAAACGTATTGTCTCGACCCCTACAACCCATCTTCCTCCGCCTACCCGGTTACCTGGACGTGCGAATACGGTGACTGACAGAATATCAGAGAGGTCTGCGCCACGCCCGGCACCCCCACAGCATCCTCCTCCTCCAGCGCATCCCGTGCAACCCGTGCAATCCATATCACCACCCCAGCCGCCGCCCGAACCAACCACCGCCTTGATCCCGTCGAGCAGCAATTCCAAGGTCGAAATCAACGGCTCGACCCAAAGCTTCCCGGACCCCTCCAATGTGAATCGGAGACCACCATACATCAAGCAAGGTATGCACGAAATTCAGACCAAGTACGACCCCAGGACATTTGATGTTTGTGGCGACCTCATCTGCACGACCGGCCATTTGACTCGTGTTTGGAGTTTGCGCGATGGTGAGCTGCTCATGAGCTTTGCGCATGGTGAAGGTATCAAAGCTACAGCAGTGGCCTTCAAACCCGGGAATAACGTAGACGAGGAAGGCCAGCGGTTGTGGATTGGCAACAATTTCGGCGAGCTCATGGAGGCAGATATCGCAACCCAGAGTGTGATTGCGACCAAGCCGAGTGCTCATGGCCGTCATGAAGTTATTAAAATCTACCGCCACTATAATGAGCTGTGGACGCTGGATGAGACTGGTGGGCTACTCGTTTGGGGTCCGGATGAGACCAGCACGCCTAATTTGACGAATAACTCACATCAAGCATTCCGGTTACCCAAGGCTCATACGTTCTCCATGATCATTGGGGATGAGTTATGGCACGCAACCGGCAAAGAGATCCGCGTTTTCGCACCCACGTCCGATGGACAGACGCAATTCCAGGTTTTGGTGAGGCCCCTGCTTCAAGACACCGCTGGAGAAGTCACCTCGGGCTGCCAAGTGCGGTCACAGCCTGGTAAGGTCTTCTTCGGCCACGCCGACGGCAAGGTCTCGATCTATAACACTCAAGATTTCGCTTTTCTCGGCCTCATCAACCTGAGCTCGTGGAAGATCAACTCTCTCGCGGGTGTTGGCGATTATCTCTGGGCGGGTTTCAACACAGGCAAAGTCTGTGTGTACGACATGGCAACGACACCTTGGGCTGTTAAGAAGGACTGGCAAGCGCACGATAAAAACCCGGTTGTGAGGCTCGCGGCGGACACTTCCAGCGCATATCGCATGGATCGTCATCAAGTCGTCTCTCTCGGTGCAGACAACATGCTCCGCGTCTGGGACGGCCTCCTCCAAGACGATTGGCACGAGACTGAAATGAAAGGAATGGACACGCAGTATTGCGAATTCCAAGATCTCAAAGTCTTGGTTATGACATGGAACGCGGGCGCATCAACACCTCACAGTCTCCGGTATGCAGACGAAGATGCCGAGTTCATCAAGAGTCTGCTACAAGCAAACAGCTCGCCGGATATTTTAGTGTTTGGTTTCCAGGAACTTGTCGACTTAGAGGACAAGACGGCAACAGCCAGTAAGTTGGAAATGTTCTTAATTGAAGATGACTTACTGACACAGACCAGAACGCTTTCTGAAAGTCAAAAAGAAGGAGGGTTCAGACCAAGAGCGGATGAGCCATCAATATCGCGATTGGAGAGACTTCCTTCTCAAGAGCCTTGACGACTACATGCCGCCTGATTGCCTGTATCATTTGCTGCACACTGCAACTCTTGTTGGGTTGTTCACCTGCATCTTTGTCAAGTCGACGCTTAGAGATCGCATTCGAAACTTGAGTGCGTCAGAGGTGAAGCGCGGTATGGGAGGACTCCACGGCAACAAGGGTGCCATAGTCGTTCGGTTCATGGTTGACGACTCATCTCTTTGCTTCATCAACTGCCATCTGGCTGCGGGTCAATCTCAGGCCAATAGCCGTCACAACGACGTGGCAGCTATTCTCGAAGCGCAGATTTTGCCCCCGGAACGAGACCCGAGCACACGTATCGACAGCTTCATTGGCGGTGGAGATGGCACCATGATTTTGGATCACGAACTGTGCTTACTGAATGGTGACCTCAACTACCGCATTGATACCATGTCTCGAGATACCGTGGTCATTGCTGTCAAGCAGAACAACTTGGCTAAGTTGCTGGAACGAGACCAGCTGTTGGTGGCCAAGAGGAGAAACCCAGCATTCAAGCTTCGAGCCTTCGACGAGATGCCGATCACATTCGCGCCAACCTACAAGTACGACGTCGGAACTGACAATTACGACACAAGTGAGAAAAAGCGTTCGCCCGCTTGGTGCGATCGCCTCCTATACCGTGGAGGGGGCAGGATAAAGCAGATCGACTACAAACGTCACGAAGTCCGCGTTTCCGACCATAGACCTGTTACGGGAAGATTCAAATTCACGGTCAAGAAAATTCAGCCAAAGGCTCGTGCCATGGCTTGGATGGATTGCCAGTCAAGGTTCGAGGACCTCAGACTGAGCGAACTCAACGATGACAAGTGTGTACCTTGCGTTCCAGATGAGAGATAGTGACAGTTTTACTAACGTACTTAGGATGGCATACTTGACCAATGTCATCGGATACGACGAAGCCACGGCTCGGAGTATACTGAATCCTAGAAGCGACCGCAGCCCGAGCAGGAACCGGGAAGCATAGACATACTGCCTCGAATTTCTCAGCGGCCCGATGCCGTGACCAACGGACTAGACGACGGGAAAGCGACGAACTCGGTATGACGGATAACGTCAGGCACGAGACTTATGAAAGTGAGGGGTTCACAACCGGGGCCGGGGTAAAAAAGGCTTTTCACGAAGAGGACGGACTGGCACGAGATAACTTTTTGAACGTCCAACAACGAGGCATTTGAATGGCGCAGTTTAGAGAGAGAGAGAGAAAGATACTCGAGATTCGTCAACCCACGACACGACACGAGTTGGAGGGCAAAACTCTACGGAAAGAAGAGGTTTTTATGCTTTGACGAACGACGCGTGCTGGTCACCGGATAGAAGGGACCGGCGAAACGAGACCAAACGATAATAAGAATTAAAAAAACAAAAACAAAAGATTTGTACGAAAAATACCTACTACAGCATTGAATACGGTCACTCGGTGGCATCTCTTGACATGCAATCCGTCCGTACCTAGAGGCGGCGGGATGAAGTGCCCCGCAGGCGCAGGATGCCCAGCCGCCCCCTGCAGCAGCCTGCGAAACGCGCGAGCGAGAGACGTGACGGTGCCTTGCATCTTCTGCCCGCGTTGACGTAGACGCTGCATGAGTGGCGGCCAACCGCCGTGTTAGCTGCGCTAGATGCCATGTCGTTAGATCTGTGTGGTCGATGTGCACACTTGTGTCAAATACCACTGATTAATGCAGAGCGGATGTTCTTTTTGGCCCGAATGAAGTAGATTAAACCCCTCCACGGGGAACTCCAAGTCTATATAGAAACCATTACTCAAGTGTAGAGCAGTTTTGAAGTGAATGACTACAATACTAGCATTGTACGTTGTTGGGCCTTTTTCTTTCCAGATTTTTTCTTTTCCAAAACAAATCGCCTCCCTTTCTACCTTTTATCCACGTTTTCCACCTTTTTTAAAAAAATCTTCGTTGACTACCCCTAAATCGCGAAAAAGCGGAAAAGATCTTGACGGCGTGGCCGCCGCTCACATGCCGAGGAGGGCCTTGGCGCCGGGCTCGCTGCAGACGTAGAGGACGTCGTGGTTGTCGGTGAAGCCGTTGAAGCGGGTGGCGGAGCACTTGGTGTAGGCGCCCATGTCCTCGAAGTAGAGCCAGTCGCCGACGTCGAGCTCGTGCTCGAAGGAGATGGTCTCGGTGATGCGGTCGATGCCGTCGCAGGTGGGGCCCCAGACGGAGTAGCGGACGCCCTCGCCGTCGGGGCAGGCGTTGGCGTCGGGGGAGTCGTAGACGGTGGAGGAGCCGGCACGCAGGACCTTGGCGACGGGGTGCTGGTGGTCGAACATGATGCTGGAGAAGTTGCCGTAGAGGCCGTCGTTGACGTAGAGCATGTAGCGCTTCTCGGCGAGAGGGGAGGACGGCTCGTCGACGGTGCGGCGGGCTATGATGTTGCAGGCGATGGTGAAGGCGGCGGAGACGTAGTAGCGACCGGGCTCGGCAATGATGTTGACGTTGCTCGAGACAGGGAAGTACTCGTCGAGGGCGCCGCGGAGGACGGCGGCCATGTCCTCGAAGGTGTCGCCGCAGAAGCCGCCGCCGATGTCGAGCGTCTTCATGTCGAAGCCGTAGGCGCGGCCCTGCTCGAAGACCTCGTAGGCGTCGTAGACAGCCTTGTAGAAGGCCATGGGGTCGGAGGCGCCGGAGCCGACGTGGAAGCTGACGCCGACGACGTTCAGGCCGAGGTCCTTTGCGGTGGCGAGAAGACCGTCGGTGTCTTCCTTGGCGGCGCCGAACTTCATGCTCAGACGGCAGAGGGAGGACTCGTCGTCGGTCATGATGCGGAGGAAGAGCTCGGCCTCGGGGAAGAGCTTGGCGATCTTGCGCAGCTCGTCGGCGTTGTCAAAGGTCATCTGCTTGACGCCCATGGCCTTGACGTAGCGGACGTACGAGTTGGTCTTGCAGGGCTGGGCGTAGATGATGCGCTCGGGGGCGGTGCCCATGTCGAGAACCTGGTCGATCTCGGTCTTGGAGGCGCAGTCGAAGCCGGTGCCGAGGGCAGCGAGGAGCTGGAGGACCTTGGGGTCCGGGTTGCACTTGACGGCATAGAAGGGCTTGACGCGGGGCAGGTTGAGCTTCCAGCGCATGTGCTGGCGGTAGACCTCGCCTAGATCACCGACGAAGAAGGTGTCTTCATCGCCGGGCTCACAAATCTCATGGTCGATGCTCTCCACGCGGTTGCGGAGGGCTTCGCCAATCAGCTTCTTGGGGTTGATCACGCCATGTTTGTTGTGATGGGCGTGGTCGACAAAATGCGATGTCTTTAAGACTGGTTGGTAGGTACTAGCATAATTGATAGTAGCTGGTGCAAAGCGGTCGATCGCGGCTGTTGCCATAACCATATCCCAAGCTGTTGACGGGGGTTTTGGTTTGGAGATTTGTGGAATGGGTCGGTGGGATGTCTCGAGAACTATCGGACTCTTCTTTCGACGGTTGGAGTTGGTGAGAAACTTGGTAAGAGCTTCTCGACGGTTGTCGGTTTGGTTGTTTTTGCTGGTAATAGCAAAGAAGATTGAGAACCTAAAACGGCAAGAGAGTTCTAGGGTGGTCGAAAGCGATAGCAGACAGAACCCTCAGTGATCTGACGAGGTCTCCTCGACTCCCCCTCGGCGAGAGGAAGAGGCGCTAAACCCGTCCTATGCGGCAGCTGGTTGGGGGTGGGAGACGAGGGCGTCTGGTGAAGCAAAGCGTCGAACAGGAAAAACTCGAGCTTCTGCTTAGGCGACTTCAGCAGCGGGTGGAGGAATGGCGTTGACGATGTGGAGGGTCTTTCGGAGGCTGAAATCTTGGTCACTGACGAAGCTTACGGCCGCGGAAGCCGTGCTGGGCTGTTGTGCCTTTGATATGACCAAAGGCTAAGTCGGGCGGTGAGAAGGGTTGATCTTTATACAAAGATCTGATTGGGAGGCGAAGCTATGTTAGCGAGGAGCTTCTTTCACTATGAGGGGTTTCTTGAAGGTGTTGTCGATGATGAGACGAATTGAGGACGGGGAGGATGGAGTGAATGGAATAGGAGAGCGATTTTCTGTCGTTTGAGGGGTGCTGGGTTGTGGTGGTGAAGTGTTAAGAGTAACAGCTTTACTCGTGTTGAAGATGTGATGACGATGCCATGTGACACGAGACTTGCAAGGTCAAGGCGAGTTGCGCGTCTGCGCGGGCGGGAGTTTCTTCCGTTTAAAAAAAGACGGAACGTACCAGGAGTTGAGACACTGGACGGAGAGGCGAAGCTCGAGTCCAGGTAGCTGGTTAACAGTTGTAGTAGTTGGGATTGCGAGTGTTGTGGTTGACGATGAACCTTTGGTTTGGTGTTGTCGACCAAGTTTGTGGCGGGGGGGGTGGTCCGTAAAGGCCTTTTATTGCGACGGGCTTGATGAGGTGAGGGTTCAGGTTTCGTCTCTCTTCTCCAGAGGTCCTTTTGGGTACCTTTTTAGTGGATCTAGAAGGAGGCTGGCCACACACAGAAACAAGAACTGCCCACAATTTTTTGTTCAAAATTTTCCCCCCTGGTCAACGGCGGCAGCCCGGTAAACTCGCCGCAAGCAGAAGCACTGACATTATTTTACATATTACCTTGGGCTACCTCAAGATACCTACCTTACCTTACGCCTAGGCCAGCGGGAAGCAACAGCCACATCACTCATCATCACTCACGCCGCATGGCCATCTCATTCTCGCCTCTGCCTTTTTTTTTTCTTCCCCTTGCCATCTTCCTTAAGCTTTTTCCCAGGTTCAGCCCAGCTTCAAATGATGATGCTCGCCCTCTGACTCTCCGGCCAAGCATCCCGGCGTACCCAGTTTCAATATCCCGTCCAACCCGATGCTCGCCATCCAAGGCACTGGCACAGCCAACAAAGGCAGAGAACATTCAACATACCGACTGCGTAACAGTGACTGAGAGACTGAAATGTATCTCCCCCCCCTTCGGCCCACCCGACTCCAGGGCAGAGCAGCAGAGCCCGGTACTAACCTCCAAGCTGCCGATACCTTATTTGCGGCCATTGTTCACTCATTCTTCAGCGTGAGGTCATGTACGGAGTACATCCGATCAAAACCCTTGCATCTCAGACACCGGAACCTGCAGAACGAGGTACGCGGTCCAATGTACCACATGTACCGCGTCTCCTTCGGGAACCTCCACCACTGGTGGATGTGGAAGGCCTCAACTTGGAGGTCGGCCGCGGCCCTTTCAGACAGAATGGCAGAGAGCCCCTTCATCCACCATTACGAATCGCCCGCACATACTTTGTACAAAGCTGCGCTTGCGGCTTGCTGCCGTTGCTTGGAAATGACATGGACCGCTTAAAACTCCATCTCGTGCATCACCGCAGCCCACCTTGTTCCGTCTGCCAACTCTGAGCCTGGCGGCGCGTCGTGCCTGATTGACGGTGACCGTCTCTGATCTTCGATGCAGGCAGGGCCAACAACGCACAGCATCGAAGTTGCTGTTGTGGGCAAGCCGCCTTCCCCCTTCCAGCCACGCCTACGACTCCCGCAGCACTCACCATCACCGATCACGCTGACACATCGGCAACTTTCAGACCGCAACTTTGCATACCTGGATTCACTTCTAGAAGCCGACCTGGCGCGTTGCTCCAACACCACCATCCCGCAACCCCGATGGTTCCATCCGCCCCAGCTTTCGCTACTGTCATCTCTTGCGACTAGTCAAGTGCCAGATGTCTCGACTGCTAGTTTGAGTCTATGTGGGTGACATATTCTGGAGAAACATGGGCTCGTCAACCCTAATACTCCGTGTCAAAGGCCGACTCAACCGTTGTACACAACAACGATCGGTTCGCAGCGCCCGTTGCTTCGAGGAAACGTCTCATCCCATCGTGATAAGTAGCGAGAGGTAACGAGGATGGGTGGGAGGTCCTCGCAATAGACTCCAGACTTCAGACCGCCAGTGCCTCTTCGCCTGTCTTGACTCCTCTAAACATCCCGATAAATTCCCTCACGCATGTCCACTCGGACAGCTACCACAATTAGCCTGATTCCATGCAACTTCTACGCAGGCAGCTCAAACGGGGGAGCTCTGCGTGCTCCGCACGCTGCTCCGGCCTAGCTTCTGTCACATTTCGCTGACACGGCGGCAACGTCTCTGGCCAAACGGCCGCTCATGCAAAGTGCTCCAGGACAAGCCGGCACATCGCCCAGAAACATGTGCATCTCACTTTTTTCTCTCTTTGCCCCTAACCGCGCGTACTCGCGGCATTGCTCACCTCGGTTGTGAGTCCTCATACTTCCAAGAGTAGGGAGGTACCTGCTGGGCTGCCTCACAACATGCGCAACGAGTTGGTGTTGACAAATTTCCTAAGCCTTCCTGGGCTCAGTCTCCCACGAGCCGCAGCGTGGCCGCCCACATCTTCCACCCTTTTGTGCCTCACTCACAACCTGAGTAATAATGCTTTAATTGTGGCGCCGCTGTTGAAGTGACGTATGCGGGGCACTTGCGCCGCGGTTTTCGTCCAATCTTCGCGTGTTTTTGTTCTGTCACTCATCCGGCGTGTTTCCATTCAAAGTTGCACTAATTGGCTTCTTCTGATTGGCTGCTGCGTCCCATTCACCCATATCGCCAACTTCACTGCATGTACTCTGCGCTTTAGTCCGACGACCCAATGCTGAGGATGTCGGTTCTGATAGAACGAGCTGGCCGGTTATTCCAAACTGGGAAGTGAGGAATCCCCAGGCTCACGGTCTTGATCTTGCGTTGTCTAGTGGTCTCCAAGCCATCGAGATTGGCAGGAAGACGTATCGTATCTGAACGCGTAGAGCCCCCGGAGCAGTCGGTTATCTGATAACTTGTTATGAAATTTCGAGAGTTGGGTATAATTACACCGAAGGTGCTGTACATATGGTTACACATGCGACGGGTAGCTTGAGCGCTTCCTTGGTCGTACTTTACAAGAGGCAACTGCCGAGCTATTGCCGCAGCTCAGCCCGGGCAGTGCCTGGCATGGTCGCGTTGAGCGATATCCGTAGCTCATTCAACATCGTTCCTCAATCATTCCGCGCCGTTGATGTCCATCTCATTGATGGTCCAGGATCCATCTACCCATGAGCGTTTTTCACCCAAGAATGTCACGCGTTCCTGCTCCTTCTCCAGAGCATCAACGATGTATTTCTGGGCAACATCGCGCACTTGGTCCTTGGAAACGTCGAGCATCTGCTCACGACGCTTCTGCTTCATCTCCTCAGTGATGCCGGACAAGAAGCGACCCATGCCCTCAGAGTTCACCGACTGGGGAGCATCGACGCTCTGGAAGACCGAAATCTTGGCCTCCTCAAGGTCGCGATCCGTCCATTCCTTGTCTCTGGCCCACTGACCCGCGTTGCGCATGATGGACAAGGTATTCTGGGGGTTAGGATCGCGGTATGAGTAAAAGCCGAAAAGGCCGTCCAACCCCCGAGAGTAAGCTCCGCCTCCATAGGCACCACCCTTCTCGCGAATTTCGTGGTGAAGGTGCTTGTGAGTGAGGAGCTGCGCCAGGATCTGTAACGGCGCACCGTCTGGGGACGTGTAAGAAACGGTGGGTACCGCCAACGAGCCGTAGTAAACCTGGTATGGTAACGGGAAGAAAGATTTGATGTTACGCTGCAGCGAGGCAGGACTCGAGGTTGACAATGAAGCCTGGTCTTTCGAAAGCGTTGACATGAAGCTAGTAAGCGCATTCAGGTTGGCGCCCGTGCTCTCGGACCCGCAAGTCAATGCCGTGCGGAAGTTACCACCGGAGAGCGCGATTTTCTGGATTTGTTTGAGCTTGTCAATGACATCCACCAGACCATCCGATTCAGGTCGGTTGGCAAGCGAAGTCACAAGCTTGACCTGAGAGAGGCCGCCGATCTGTTGTCTGAGCCACGCGCTCCGGGTGAGTCCAGCTTCCGCGTAGCCGCGGGCGTACTGGTGTCCGGATGAGGCAACATCGTTGACAACCCCATCGGCAGAAGCTTGAAGCAACTGCCTAATGCGTAGGGCGGCCTCTGGACTGTCAAAGTCCGTGTCCTGTACGAGCTTGCGCAAAATTGCGAACATGACGGGGACATTTCTATCCAGGGCCATGCCCGTGAAAATGAGACCCTCGCTAGCTTGGTGGAAGTCGGTAGGAGAAGGTGTCGAGTGGTAGCCGACAGAAACACCGCCGGTCTTCAGCTTGATCAAGTCCTCAAGCTGCTCCATGGACATGTCTCTCGTGCCGAGTCGCATAATGCTGTCAGAGAAGAGCGGGATCAGTTCTCTGAGCTCGTCCGGAAGGTTCTCCAACGTATTGATGGCTCGGAAATAAGTCAGGCCATTGGTCGGGGCTTCCCGCCACTGGATCTTGACACCGTTCGCAGTCTCGTCCCGTACGACAACAGGCTCCTTGCTGCGGGGAATGTCCTTCACATGGACTGTGGGTAGACAGCTCAGGTCCTCGGTGTTCGACTTGCCTTGCTCAACGAGCAGATTCAACTCACGCTCCTCGAACTTCTTGCGAGCCTGGGCATCGCCACCGGCCTCCTGCGACGCCTGCTGGATCTTTGACGCAAGTCTCTCCTTCTCCTCGCGGGCCAAGTCCTCACTGAAAGTAGCTGACGGGGCCATAGTGAATGTTAAAGTGTTGTCGTTCAACAAGTACCTGTCAATCAGGCTCTCAAGGTAGTCGCCCTTGGCCAGGTTGGCCTCAAACGCTGAAATGGTATCGTTCCAAGCCAACGAGTCGAAAGGGTCCACACCCGTGAACCACTTCGGCTTGAGCCTATGGAGCATGGACATGCCAAAGTTGGCTGTCTTGTGCTTCAGCGCAAGCTCCAGCTGGTGGAGAGATCCATCGATCTTGGTTCTGTCGAAGCCCTTCTGGCGAACTTCTTGAAGAACACGCTGCACCTCGGCCTTCAGCTTCGGCACGTCAGCCTCCTGAACACCGGTGAGGCCAACCGAAAAGATTCCCAGTTTCGCAGAGCTGTCGTAGCCAGCATTCGGGCTGAAGTCGGTACCCAGGCCAGCCTCAATCAGACCGCGATAGAGGGGCGAGCCGTATCCATCCATCAGAAGTGTGGAAAGCAGCGCCAGAGAGAAAGACTCGACCACGTCGGTGGCATCTCCCATGATCCATGAGATCGAAGTCTTAAACTGCCTGTCTGGATCCACCATGGGGTCAATGGGTCCATGAACAGTGACCTCCCTGGGACCAGAGCTCAGGTTGATCGGCTGGTGAATAGTTGCGTCCTCTTGTATCCTCTCGAATGCGCTGAGCTGGTTGTTGACCTCCTGCAGGTGATCAGCCAGAGGCATGTCTCCATAGGTAAACAGCTTCGCGTTGCTTGGATGGTAGTGCTCGGCGTGGAACTTGCGCAACTGCTCATAGGTTAAGTCGGTAATCTTCTGGGGGTCACCACCAGAATTGTTGATGTCCGGGAAGATGTGGTCCTGGAAGCGGATGTAAAATAGATAACCAGCATCCGACATCTGTCCCTTCATCTCGTTGTAGACAACGCCCTTGAAGACGAGATCGCTCTCCTCGCCATTCGCTGCCTGCGGGTTCTCCGGTCCGATGCGCCATCCCTCCTGAGTGTAATCGGACTCCTTAAGCAAAGGATGCAGCGTCGCATCCATGTACACAGACATCAGATTCTTGAAGTCCTGGGCGTTCGTTGTCGCGAAAGGGTAGAAGGTATGATCGGACGCGGTGAAGGCGTTCATAAAGTTGGACAGGGTTCGTGGGAGCATCTTGAAGAAGGGGTCGCGGATGGGATATCTGGACCTGTTAGCCAAAGATTCTACAACGGGATGCTCCGTATCGGCGCCCCCGGCCATGTGACACCCTAGAGCCAGACGGCATCTACTCGATGTTGCCACAACCACAGCTGCTGTCGCATCGTTCTCGTGGCCGAAAGCCTCGAACATCGTTCTCGTTTGGAAACGCAGTAGTGACGACAAGGCCGATACTAGCAGCCGGGAGAACCGTAGGCAGGTAGAACATAAACTGGAGGCACCGAAAAGCATCGTGGGACATTTAGATCCAGCTTACCTTTGACTGCCACATAGCGTGGTGTGCTCCAGGATATGGGGCACACCGGTGTCATCCGGCGGGTTGGTCTTGAAGCCGATGGAGAAGACATTGTTGCTGTCATCGCGGGCGATGTGCAAATAGTCTGCGCCGGTCTTGTCATGCTGTAGATGAAGAGCAGTCAATTCCAGCTCCGGAACATGCTTCGTCCGTACAAGAGTGAAGCCATGGAGCTTGTCGCCGGGCTTGGGGTACTGAGAGAGCTCAGTAACGGCCTTCTTTGCCGTGTTGACGGCGTTGCGCAACATGTTGGATCCAATATGGTGGCTAAGGAGACATCGGCAGCCCGGAAAGAAATATCGAAGTCGAGCTGTTGAAAAGTATGACTTTGGATAGGAAGGTGCGATCCGGAGCCTGCCTTCCTTGCCTTAGTATTTAGTCGAGGATAGAGCCACTGTGGATCTGATTACAAGCGGAAGTCGCTGCCCGGGACGTGATTCCCATGCCTGCCGGTCTGGATTTTTTTATCTTTTCAGGTCCGGCTCTGATCGGAAAGCACTGCTCCACCAGCTCCAACAGAAGGTCCAGGTGGCAGGCGCCATTCGTCATCACACAGTGATGTGGGGTCAATATTCATTAAAACGCTTCGTGTGGCACTTACCGGGTCGGTGGGCCGCCGTAACGCAGTAACGGGCTGCTAACACGGTGCAACTGGCAACTGCGATACCGCCCGATAGGCTGGGACACTGCTAGCTAGCCAAGTACTTCGTCACTCCTCTCTCTCTCGGTACATCTTCTCCTCCCTTCCACGCTGCGCGGGAGTCACGAAACCCAACGGAGGACGACCAGTGGTATTGGATGCATTTCTATCAGACATTGTCATTTGCATCGATAGCAACGTACCCAGACGGCAAGATTTTGGCGACTGATTGTTGGTGTCTTGGCTGAGACTCCAAAGAGGGGATCGGATACTGGACATTGAAATACACATCATACACTACTTACGGGTACGAGGCCCTGCCACTCCTCCACCCGTTTTTCTCAAGTACAGTGGCATTTCTAATACGCACGCCTAGACCAGGCCACGCTACTCCCACTCTAGCCAGTCGTTCCGCCCGACGTCCAAAATTCTGCGAAGGGGCTCAATGAAAGGATCACCGACAACTGCGAGCAAGTACTCGTCCGCCGTTTGATTGATGCCGCTCGACTGCTGCGGGGGAGGAAAGACTTGGACGGATTTCGCACCCGCTTATTTTTGCGACACCGACCCGCTCGATCGAACACGAATGCGAAGACCAGACCTTCGTGACGACGACAGCGACGAAGCCGCTTCGAACGACAACACGATTGCCCCTCTTCTGCGTGCCGAGGTATGGCCAGCAAGCCGGCTCCGCGCAGTACTATCAACCAGACAGACGCCGCAATGTCGACCGGTCAAGATGCCCACGGCCATGCGCCCGCCGCATCTGTGAAGAAGGGGAAGCAGAAGAAGGCGGTTGACTCCAATGAATCGGCCAAACTTCTCGCGCAGCGAATTTCGCAGCTCGAGCAAGATGCTGCCGGGGAGAAGGACCAAGAAGCAGAGATTGGTGCGTAACACCTCCCACTCGTTGTTTTTCGTGCCGGACGGACCGGACCATGTATGTCGCGTGAGCCTTGGCCTCACGGCACCCCTCTCGATGGCGGACTTGCCAGGAAGTGCAGCCTGTTGCAGCCATGCTCCCGTGCAGGTTCGCTGGCGGCAGTCGCACGCGGAGTCCTCATGCCATCGCCCTTTTGTCTTGGAAACTTTAATCAATGTTCAAGGCTGACTTGCTGCACTACAGAACGAGAGGTCAAACGCGCAACTCGTGAGATGACGCAACAAGTGGCCAAGATGAACGACTTGCAAAAGATTGAACATCTTACCAAGCGTTCAAGCGAGCTGCTGGCAGAGATGCGGCGCGTTGAACGGGAGAACCAGAAGAACAAGAAGCGTGGCGATACCTTGCAGAAGGAGAAGGATGCGAACCGCACTGAACTTAGCAAGACCATTGGCCTCAAGGAGAAGCTCGAGAAGCTATGCCGAGAATTACAACGGGACAACAACAAGTACAAGGTCCGTGGTATTCCTCGTCAGGCGTGTTGATGGGGCTCACGCTGACCTTGTTCCAGAACGAGAATAAGACTCTCCAAGACAACCTGAAGCACAACAGCACGGCTTATGACGAGAAATACGCGGCTCTGCTGTCCAAACTGGAATTTCTGCAGGAAGAAAAGGACCATCCAAGAAAGCAGGTCGTTGACATGAGTGTCGATACGCTGTAGGTCACGCCTGCTCGATTTTTATGAAGTTCGTACTGACAGGATCACCTCAAGGTTCCGGAACCGCTTTAAATCGTTCATCGAGCAGTACGAGCTTCGCGAGCTGCACTTTCACTCCCTCATGCGGACCAAAGAACTGGAGGTGCAGTACAATATGGCACGCTACGAACGAGAGAAGAAGGCTGCCGAGACGGAAGCCAGCAGGGCGCGAAATCTCCAGGCCCAGGTCCAAACGTTTACCAAGACGGAAAGCGAACTTCGAAACCAACTTAACGTTTACGTGGACAAGTTCAAGCAGGTACGGGCATGTCTAGCTTGGAATTCGCTGATGGAGTTTACTTGCTGACACGTCAAGGTTGAGGACACGCTGAACAACAGCAACGACCTGTTCTTGACATTTCGCAAGGAGATGGAAGATATGTCGAAGAAGACGAAGCGTTTGGAGAAGGAGAACGAGACGATGAAGCGCAAGCACGACGTTACCAACGCCAATATCATTCGTATGGCTGAGGAGCGCGAGGATTGGAGGAAGAAGGCTACCGAGGCAGCCAAGAGGACCGATAAGCTGAGGAGCATCATTGAGCAAATGCAGCAGCAAGGTCGTAAGGTACCCCCGGGAATGGTAGCAACATTGGAGAGTTGCTACTCGGACAGCAACGGCCACATGGAGGACGGTGACGGAAGCGACTATTCAGATGATGAGGAGGGCGAAGAAGACCCTAGCGAGTTTGATGATGATGACACGGAGGAAGAGCCTCAACCCACAGAGCCACAGCCGCCAAGGCCCTTTGGGCCAGAGCGTCCGCCAGTGCCTCAGGCTACAACGAACGGTCATTAGGAATCCGGACGGAGGAAGTCAAAGGCCAGCGCGACAAGAGACTCTCAAACCAACAGCGAGGATGCTGTCAAGACTGAACCTAAGCAGGTGGACGGGAAGCCGCATCAAAAGGAGACGATTCAGTTCCTTTCACGGACTTCACGCCTCTGTGGATCAAAGATCCGCAAGTTTGTCTCGTCATTCACAGTTTAGGTGATGAGGCGGGGATCATTTTGCTGGATTGGCTGGGTGCTGAAAAGCACAGCAGGCTTGATGCATTTGGGATTGTATGCTGTCTAGTTTTTCTGAGGGATTGAGTATGGATTGGTCTGGCGGACTCTGTCTTGGACGTTGTTCTGTGTAGCGGTTGTTCTGAATACAAGCGAAATCTCCACAACCTTGGCCATTGACTTTTGACTACAGGAAACTCTGCTGGTGTTGAAGTTTGAAAGTGCAGGAGAGGGTGGGAGAAAGATCAGGCGACTTGAGCTTTGCGGCCTACCAAATGTTGAAATATTCCAAAAATCGACCATTTTCCCATCACTTGGCGGTTAGTGACGTCGACTTCCAGGGGTCCCAGAAAGGCTAAGAGCACACAGCTGACCAACACCCCCAACAGATGGGAGACTTGATGGACAATTTCCCCAGATCCACCCGGCAACGACACTGGAGGTCCCTCACTGTGTCTGCGACACATACGGATGGATTGAACACTGAACCACAGCCACTGAAAACGGGCTAGGTAGGACAGTGTGGTAAGCAACCTCAATGCACGTGCCATCCCTTGCAGCGAGAACCCGGAATCTAAGAGACCTGGAAGTCCACCACAAGCACCCTGGGCGCAGTGCAAGCGCACCCGCACCCGCACCTGCAGCCAGCGAGAGGGAGGCGGAATGTTGGGCCCAACTTCTGACAGCTGAAGTTCGCTGCGTTTTGTTTTCGGAACACTTGAAACCAACATTACTCGCCCTATCCTCGTTCCGTGGCTCCCTTCAACTCTTGGTCCCGCCTTTGAGGTCTTCGCTCGACTTCGGTAATTCGCCTCCCATCTCCCGATCTCCTCTTCTACGACGGCCTCGACGATAAAACAGGAGAGGGCACTGAGCTAGTCGAGGCCAACCGATCGCAAGCCCGACTCCCTTCTTATGCCCGCGACGTCATCTCCCTACGCTCTGCAGCCATCACCACCATGGCCACGCACTTTCTTGAGGATCCGCGACTCCGCCAACGCTGGAACCAGATCTCGCACAACGCCGGAGAGGTGACGGAAAATGCTGCCGCCGGCATTTGGAGTTTTCAGCACCACTACATCAATCCCTGCCTTGCCTCTCTTGTCAGCTCGATCGAAGAATGCGCCAATCCCTGCCTAGGCGATCGAGAGGAGCGCGCGAGACGGAGACGAGAGCGCGAGCGCGCTGGAGGCCGGGCGGAATACAGCTTCGACTTTTACGATGACTGGTACGCCGAGGATCAGGACGGCGGATTTCTGGGTGGCTGGGGCAACGATGACTGGGACCGTCTACTCGCGGGCACCGGCACCCAACGAAAGCATGCGGGCGGCGAGGTTCAGGAACAACCCAAGAGAAAGCGGGGGATGAGCTATGGTACTCGAGGCCGAGGAACTAAAGTGTCGGAATCCGATCCGACCATCATACCTAGCACACAACCCATAGGCTTCCTGGGCAAGCTGCCATGGAAGTTGGGGAAGACGCTTCGTTACAAGCCCAGCGCGGCTGACCTACAGGACCACCCCCGACAGCATGATGAGATGGGCATGGGTGAGGCCGAGCCTCTTCTCGGAAACGACTCGGACGACGACATCTATCAAAGTCGCTTCGCCAAAACTAGGAGTCGAAGCGGGACGACAGGATCGGGGAATACGTCCGACTCGTATCGATCTCGGGGCGACTTGTTCCCTAGCGATGGCGAGGGCGACGAGGACGCTGTGCCGCTGGACGACGAGTTCATGGTCTTGGATAAAGTCCGAGATGACCGGAGCAGCAGCAGGACAAAAGCCAGCAAGGGAAAACGCCGAGCGGACGGCCGGGCGATGTCCCGCACGGTATCGAGGGCCACTATAGATTCCAGTCATTCGTTATACGGCCCGGGCCCTCGGAGAAGCTCGATAAGCATACCTAACACCCCTGACACACCATATGCACCCTCGATGGAGGAGCTGCAGCTGGAGGAAGAGCGGATCCAGCGGGAAGAGGACGAGGACGTGGAACGCAAGCGGCGGGCTGCATCACAGCTTGCATCGGAACGCGGCCTGCACGACTCCGGGTCCGAAGTCTACTCCGTCGACGAGATCTCGGACGCGGAATTTGTCGAGGCGGAACATGCGTCAGAGCCTCCGAGTCAGGAGACGCCGCCACCCGATTCAACGGCGGAAACAACAAACAGATGCGAAGCGCCGGTGATCCGGTCGACGGCGCAAGAGGGACAGTTTATACAGACCGAGGAATTCGTTCCCGCACGGTTACCGAGCTTCAGATAGCTCACAGACGGAAACGCATGGGGCCACATTCATGGACGACACAGATACAGTTCGACCCCAAGCGTTGATTCCGCTGGTGTATTAATAGTCGGTGCTGCCGACGATAATCATGTCATTTACGATACCAACGTCCTGGGATGGGATATGAGCAATTCAATAGAGCAGCATGATCATGGGAGTATGTTTGACACCCTCGTTGCACGGGCTTCGCATTGTTTCCTTGGAAAATAGAATAATCAATGTGATCAGTCAAGCCACGCCACACGCAGCCACAGTACAGCATCACTGATTTCCATTCTAGAAGCTGGAGACGTCCAGCTCACATGCGCCTGTGGCGTGAGGTTTCAGGCCGCTCGGGGCCGAAGCCAGGTTGGACGAGCTGCTGTCCCAAGAAGGCAATTGCCTCGGTGTGTTTCCCCGCAATGGAGCTCCCAACCCCCACAACCGCCTCTCGGTATGATTTCCCCGGATTACCTAGGTAGCTCGCCTCCAGCCATATCGAGTTGTCATGCAGCTAGGGTTTTTCAGAAGTTTGTTGACTTGCATCTGCTCTCTGCATGCTTTAATTCATACTTAGACCGCTCAGTTGTTGCTGTTGTCTAAATACTTGCTTCCCTCGCGTGTTCATAGCAGTGCCACTAGCAGCTTACATCCTCTGGAGAAATCGACACAGAATGGCACCAACCGGCCCAATTACCACACCCATAACGACCCTCCTGGGGATCAAACACCCCATTCTGCTCGCCGGCATGGCGCGCACGTCCGGGGGTCCCCTCGCCGCCGCCGTCTCCAACGCCGGCGGCCTCGGCGTCATCGGCGGCTTCCAGTACACCCCGGACCAGCTCCGCGAGATCATCGCGGAGATGAAGGAGAACTTCAAGTCCCCGGACCTCCCCTTCGGCGTCGACCTCGCCCTCCCGCAGGTCGGCGGCAACGCCCGCAAGACGAACCACGACTACACCGGCGGCAAGCTCGACGAGCTCATCGACATCACCATCGACTCCGGCGCCCGCCTCTTCGTGAGCGCCGTCGGCGTGCCGCCCAAGCACGTCATCGACAAGCTGCACAACGCCGGCATCTACGTCATGAACATGGTCGGACACCCGAAGCACGCCGTCAAGGCGCTGGATCTCGGGGTCGACATCATCTGCGCGCAGGGCGGCGAGGGAGGCGGCCACACGGGCGACGTGGCCAACTCCGTCCTCATCCCCGCCGTCGTGGACGTCGCGAGGAAGTACAGGCCCAAGATGCTCAACGGCAGCCCGGCGCTCGTGGTCGCGGCGGGGGGCATCTACAACGGTCGCTCCTTGGCGAGTTCGCTGATGCAGGGTGCGGTGGGCGTGTGGGTTGGCACCCGCTTCGTGGCCTCCGTTGAGGCCGGGTGCAGCGAGGAGCACAAGGAAGAGGTCGTCAAGTGCGGGTTCGACGGGACGGAACGCACGCTCGTGATTTCCGGCAGGCCGCTGCGGATGAAGACGAACGAGTATATTCGCAAGTGGCATTCGCAGCCGGACCGGATCAAGCAGCTTTGCGATCAGGGCATCGTGCCGATTGAATTCGACTTCAACGAGGGCAACGATGTTGAATTGCCGCACTTGATGGGGCAGGTTGCTGGTGCTATCAAGAAGATTCAACCCGCGGGCGAGATCGTGGAAGAGATGGTGCAGGAGGCGGTCGAGATGTTGAAACTTGGTGGGGGTTACTTGAGCGGTGAGCGCAGCAGGCTATGAAATTGATTAATGTAGAATAGTATTGTGTGTATGATCATCGGTATGGTATAAATAAGATGAACAAGATGACATAGGGAAATGGGTATTCTGGTCGCTTTGAGTAAAACAGTAACGCCTCCCTGCCCGAGTGTCCTCGCCATCGTCATTTATACAAACTCTCCTACACGAACTTCAGTGTGTCCCCATCCCAGGGCCAGATCCCTGAGCTCCTCCTCTATCCTCTCTGCTTCGTCCTTGGACAGCCCAAGTCTTTTCTGCGTGTTCTTCGGTGTGCCAAGAAGCCGGATCTCAGGAAACGGTACCAAATTCGACCACTTGGCACCACCAAGCACCAGCGTGACAGAGTCCAACCCAGACCGATACCGACACTTCAACCACGAAGCAGGGCTCTGGAACGGCTCCTCACATACGACAACAACATGTCTCGCGCCGCGGACGGGAAAGCCGCCGCCGCCCTTGCCCTCGACAATGGCGATGCTGTCGTGCTCGAAGTCGACGTAGATCCTCCGGTCCCCCCAGGTGTTCAACCTGACCAGGGAGTACCTCCTCAGCGCCTCGTACCTGGCCTCGCGGTTTGCGGAGAGCAGAGCCGGGTTGGGGGCATGGGTGGCGGTGAGGGTGCGCGGCGGCAGCGCGTGGTTCCAGATCTTGAGGCGGAGTTCGGCCGGGAGCCGTGAGAAGGGGGCGAAGGAGTGCTCCGGGCCGCGGACCTGCAGACGTAGGGAGTCGATGTGCGTTGCTATCGTGGTCGACTTGCGCCGTGCCTCCGTTGTTAGGACGGTGGTAACGGTATGCGCGAAGTGGGCGATGAAGACGAAGGGGATGAGTGGGAGAGGCATCTCGGTCTTTGGGTAGGCCGTTGCCTCGCTCTTGAATTTGTGGGTGAGTGTTTTTGACATTGTGGGTGGTTTTTACAGAGTATTAATAGGGGTAATTATAGTGTTTGGAAGAATAAGTTCCAAGTGATATTTGTGTAAGTCCTGGTAGGAATAGGGGCGAGTCAACAGAGGCGGTTGATGGGCAACGCCTCCCAGTCTTCTCCTATTTAATTGGACTTTTCAGAAATGGATGTGCGGCCGGCGGGCGTTAGTTGTGGGAAGGTGAATATTTAGTACTTTGGCCGGGTGCACGACAGGACAGTCGTCGGCGAGCACTGAAAGGTTGCGGATCGTTCTGGATGGCGATGGCGGGACCCGACGATGCGGTAACACCGGCGCCAACAACGGCTGTCGAGATCTTGGTAGATTCGGGCTTAGCCGTCGGGCTCTTCCTCAGAGACGAGAGAGCGATTGAGCCCGATTGGGTTTGAAGGTCGTCAAATGTAAGCCATTGAAGGCCCTAGTGCAGGGCCGGCGGAGTCGAGTTCTTTGTTCCTTTCTTTTCTTGGTGAACTTGTCGGCGCGTAGTCGGAGTTTGGATGTCAAAGAGAATTTATCTTTCCAAGTGGACGTGGAGGAGAGATGGAGATCGAGGAGGGCCGGATCTTGTTTATTTGTGTAACGTTGGCTACGACGGGTGGCACAAGACCTTGCTACATCGAGTCTTCGACTCTCTGCCCCGTGAAATCGTCTGTGAATCGGCAGGCTGTGGGAGGCTGGTGAGGTCTTTGATACGTATTGAGGCTTGAAGGGGAGTCGGATGTCGGATGCTTAGCGTCGGGTATGTTCCCCTTTGCCGTTCGTCTTCTAGGAAATGAGAAATGCATCGGGACTACGACGACTTTGCCGCTGTAAACGACGTATCAGATCGATCTTTTTCAGGCTCGATGGCGAGCTCAAAAGCTGATGAATTGTTGTGGCGGGGCTTGAAATCCATGTGCATCTTTCTTCATGCAGTCGGCGTCACGCCCGGGAAACGTCAGACTGTCTGAGACAGCGTTGCGGTCGACGTTGCGCGGGTGACTGATGTCAGGAGGCCGGGACTTGCATAATCAAGGAAGAAGGGTGCCTAAAGGCCGGGAAACGACGTTGGGTTCTGATAGGGCTGTTGGAATGGCATGTCGATATGAACCGAGACAAGTCTAGCATTCATGAGTATGCCCATACTGGAAGCCACGCGGTTGGGATTCTGGTATTTTTGGGAGTAAGACACAGGGCTTGCATGATTTTAACACCGAGACATGTTCAGCGAGACGACACATGACTGTATGGTGAAAAGCTGATTCTCAGCCTCCATGCAATGGATTGCCACATGAATATCGAGGTTCTAGCTCGAGATTCGGTACGCCCTGAAAGAAGTTGCTCTGCTCCCCCGTTGTTGGTCCAGAAGATCCATGAGCGTTCTGATTACAACACAGTCGAGGAAATCTTTAAGTAAGAACAGATCTTGATACAGGAAGGATTCGATCAGGATGGTAGTCAACATCGTCATATACAGTCCGAGATCTGACATGCAGTTGGTACGGATGACCTCACCTCACATTGGGGTCGAAAGTGGTTGGGTCGCTTAAGCAGCCAATTCCATCTCCTGCTGACCGTACTTACACGAAAACCACCCCTTAGACGTATAGTCAGGTTGGTATTCGTTCTTGCTTGGATTTATACAAGGAGCATATTTCTGCGTGGGCTACCCTACGGTTGTGCCTGTAGTTTTGCTGGAAGTAAAGTCAAAGAAGGAAAACTAAAACCAAACTTCAGAATGAATGAAGCTTCATAATCTCATGTAACTACTATTCCATGTTTCCTGGGAAACTGGCGCTCTTGGACTTACCAAGTGAACTTCGTGATCTCGCGCCATCGAGACATTGCCAACCATCTTTGGCTATCTCACACGATCAAACACTAATACCTTTCCCTCTATGAGACAGCCAAAATACAATAAGCCATAGCAAAATATGTCAAAAGAAGCGTTTGCTATCTTAACATTTTCCCTATTGCTCTGGAAGAACACCGTGGTCTCTTCAAATGTGTGTTGAGCTTGATTGAGGGACTCACCTCACCTTTTGTTTCTGCTTTCTGGGACATTTTCTGCCTGCTTTGATTTTCTTTTGTGGTCTTTCAGATGAACGCAAACGAGGAGCAAGAGCTGAATTCTGCCATTATCTTTGCTCCTTCCTGCTGTCGTGGATATCAATCTGCACTTTCCTTTATTTTAATATCAGGTCTCTTCCTTAGGCACTGACTGCCTCCTTCCTTGATTTTCGACCTCCTGCTCTTGCCCTTGCGCCCTTCGCCCATCAATAAATTCTTCTTCCCCATCGGGCTTCCCTTGAATATCTTTTCCACCTTTCAATTCAACCCGACGGCACTTTACGGTGGCCAACGACACTCCTCAGCTTTCATATTATATCTACCAACCTTGCACATCTTGCCATCGATAATTTGGCGACAGCGTCCTTCCATCATGTCAGTCAGCGGCACCTCAGCCCGATCTGCCTCGCAAATCGGCACCCCGGGTTCGAAGAAGCCCAAATCCGTCGTCCCGCCTCACAAGAGGATCCTCTGCCGCACCTGCGGAGAGCCCTTCGATGATGAGCAGGCGTTGGTCATGCACAAGCTTTGGGCTATGAAGGTCAAGGGTACCCATCCCCACTGCACTGTCTGTGCTATGGAATTCCAGACCATGGAGGCCCAAAAGAAGCATATGCTCGAGGTAAGTGACAACTGTTTCACAACCAAAAGCCCTCGTCAGAGAAGAGGGTCTCACCCTCGTCTTTGGACCTTTTTGAATCACGAAGACTAATTTGATCCGAAAGATGCACCCTCATGACCAGGACCTTGTCTGCCCAGGTTGCCAGACTCGATTCGTTCGTTTATCCGGCTACATGAAGCACTTCGAGCACGAAGAGTGCCCAGAGATCAGGCGCATGCAAGTCGACAGCAACAGAGCTCAAAAGCTCAGTTTCGCTCATGAGTTGGAGAAGCGAAGTGGTTCCCAGTTCGGAGACTACTTTCCCAACCTTCACCCCAGTGTGCAGTCAGCCCTTAGCCACCAGACCAAAAGCTACATGGCGCACCCCTCGTTCTTCAAGCCAGAGGATTTCCCCGGGCTCAAAGAAATCGAGGGAGCTCCCAAGTCAGGGGCCAACCAGAGCATTGCTTCTTCAACCGATGTATCGTCTCTGACGAACGCCTTCTCTGGAGCCAACTTGTCTTCCCCGATCGGACCGACCAGCTCGAACATCACGACCGCCCCAAGCTCCCCCAATGCCACAGCTCCTTCCGCTTCTCAGGAGGTTACGGACATACACAGTCCTTACCACAACAACTTCAACGTCATGAACTACTACAACAAGTTCACTCGCAAGTTCAAGTGCCCTAACAAATCCTGCGCGTAAGGAATCCAATCCCAGACCAATTACCCAGTAACTGACTAGATATAGCAAGAACTTTGGCTCGGCTAACGCGTTGCTCCATCATATGAAGTCATCGATCTCGCACTACAATGCCAAGCTTCAGTGTCCTGGATGCCTCAACTGGTTTAAGGACGCGTCCTCCCTCACAGCACACTCCGAGTCAGAGACCAACAGATGCCAAATCCGATACTCCGAGAACTACCGAGTCTTTCTCGACCAGCTCACGGGAGGAATGGCAGACGTTACTGGGATCAATCAGGACAAGACGATCCAGTACCAGGTCAGCAACGAGGCCGTCATCAAGTTTGGTAACACCAGACATGCCAAGAAGGCAGTAGAGAACTTCATGGAGCAAGAGGATGCGGAGCGCCAGGAGATGAGGTCGCGTAACCCTGTTTGGTGAGCTGCGGGACGAGAGCGTTGCCAAACATCGGTTGGATTGCATTCGATGCAGCAGCTGTTAATTTCGAGAGAACTGCAAAGCGGAGAGATCGGTAAGAAGACATTTGCTTACGTAGGAGAGTATTGAGGTAGTCAGGAAAGCGCAATGAAGTCAAGTGATCTAGAGTCATACTCGATGTTCGCCGTCGAAAATCACAGCTACCGAAGCGGCGAGCTCGTACGCTCAGGGCTAAAACGATGGAACGTCCGCTTAGGTGATTAAGAATCCTGTTGATGACTAGGTAAAATGTATCAATCAGGTACAGAAACTTGACGAAGCTGTCTTTCTGAAGTACAAGAGCAGTTCATCTTCATCGGGCGAGTATGCGGATGGAAGGAAGTGCCCGGCCTGCCCTGTCCTCTATCGGTAATCCATTCGATTGGCCGCCCAGCTGGGTACAGGCATCGGAATGGGAAGTACGACGGCAGCTTTGAGCCTCAAACCTTCCGGGTCTGACGCGTTTTAGCGGCAGTGAGAGACCCACCCGTTCTCTGTTTAGGTAGGTGCTAGGTGCCCTTACGCAACTCAGCAGTGACAGTGTCTTCGGAGGCAACAATGTTGACGTTGACACAATCCACCGGGAAGCCACATCATTAGAATTACCTAGGTACTTTGCCTCCGGCATTTTCTTATCCTTTTCTGCGCAATTCCCTCTTGAATTTCTTCGTTCTACCTGCATCAGCGTGCATCAGCGAATCGCGCGGTCACCTGTTTACCTCCGTCTATCCCGGCCGATCTCAACAGGTAGCCACCGACCTCGACAGCCATCTCCCACCTCCACTTCAGCTTGCGATCGAACCTTCACCTCGGTTTCCCCGAGGCCCAACAACGAAACCCAGAAGTCTGCGACCGAGTTACGTTCTTACTCCCTGTAAACAGGCGACTTCCTCGAACATGATCGCACTCCTCTCTTGAAGCGACCGACATACACCCCATCATGGACTATTCGCGGCTGAAGGCTGCTGCGCTGCAGGGCGGCGAGGACGAAGAAGCCGTCACCGTGGACACCAGGGCCTTGATTGACAAGGTTCTTGCCAGGTACTCGGGCGAGTGGACGACATTGCGAGAGCTCATTCAGAATGCTGCCGATGCCCAAGCAACGACAGTCAAGGTTAAGTGGGAGACCTTACCCTCGACCTCAGTTCCCCTGCCGAATACCACGAACCGATCCGAGATTCTCAAACATGTTATTGCGAACCACACTCTGCGACGTCTCGTCGTGGCAAATGACGGCCAACCTTTCACGAAAACCGACTGGGGGAGACTGAAGAGGATCGCAGAGGGAAACCCAGACGAAACCAAAATTGGTGCTTTCGGTGTTGGTTTCTACAGTGTCTTTGCTGATTGCGAAGAGCCATTCGTGAGCTCAGGAAACGAGGCCATGGCGTTCTACTGGAAAGGCAACGCCCTCTTCACCAAGAAGTCGACCCTACCGGAAGACCAAAGAAGCGGCGATACTTGCTTCGTCCTCGATTATCGCAACTCCACCACCCCTCTACCAAACCTCCTCTCCGTCAGCCAGTTCCTCGCTACCAGTTTGACATTTGTTGCGCTGCAGCATGTGGAATTCTGGATTGACGACTACAAGATTCTCTCTCTTCACAAGAAGACATCACCAAGTCTCGAGGTGCCCATCCCGAGGGACCTTGAGACACGAACAAAGGAAGGCCTCATGAAGGTCAGCACGGTGGAGCGCACCAGCACGCAGATAGACGCGGCTGTCATGAGTGCCGCCGGCTGGAAACCAAAGGCTGCAGCTGCGAAGACGCAGGATTCATACGGCCTCTCATCTGAAGTGCCGTCTCTTCGGAGTTTCTTCTCCAGGCTAACTTCGTCTGCGACGCAAGCCACCGCCAGAGGCAAACAGCAAAGGGAGGAGGCCGCAGCCCAGGAAGAGATCAGCGAGGACGTGACAAAGATCTCTACCTCAACCATCTTCCTCCGAGTAACGACTGCAGCGGTTAAGACCCATGTGTCGACGTCTTTTGCCAGCGAGCTGGAGCGAGCGACGAAGAAGCCGCCACCGAAAACCACGAAATTGGCCATTTTGACATCTTCCTACGACGAGACAATGGCATCAGAAAGCTCTCGCTCTGCCAACATATCAAAGTCCGTCGACGTGTTCGCATCTGTACTACCAAGCAAGAAACCAGGCGGCCGTATTTTCATCGGGTTTCCTACAACACAGACAACTGGTGCCGGCATGCATATCTCGGCGCAATCGGTCATCCCCACTGTCGAGCGTGAGGCGATCGATCTCAACGCCAGATGGGTCAGGACCTGGAACATTGAAATGCTCCGAGCCGCCGGTATCATGACGAGATTGGCCTTCATCAACGAAATGAGCGATCTAGACTCCAAGGTTAGAAACACGGCCGGAACAGGGGTGAAACTGTCGGCTGAAGACGTCGCGAAGCTCATGCCTGAAGCACTGCATATCTTCAAGACGTTTACGTTCACTGATTCTACACCAAGCGGTCACGTGGCTCAGATTCTCGAAGAATCGTTCTGGACAGCTTTCAAGAAGGCTTCAGTTGAGGTTTTCTCTTCTCGTGGTGTTTTGTCTTCTACCAAAGTTCGCATTGGTTCCGACGAACTTGCCAAGTTTGTTGACACAATCCCGGTTGTGCCCAAGGAACTCATGGAGAACTCGTTCGTGCGCAAGTTAATCGACTTCGGACTCATCAGTCCCATCACGGTGGACGATGTTCGAGCAGAACTAGAAGCAAAGGCGATGAACAAGGAGCAGCTGATCAACTTCATTAGTTGGGCTGGCAAGAAAGCCCTCAATGGGGAGTTGGATCCCCCCAGCAAAGCCCGTCTTCTTGACGTTGCCGTTGCAACGGTCAGCGAGGATGGCGACCAAGGGGACATCATCGCGCTTGGTACCATCACAAACTATCAAGTTGCAAACAAGATTCCAGCGAATCTTCCTATACCTCCAACCACTATCCCTCTGGCTTACACCAACACCTGTTCTTCCGTGGAACTTCAGGCTCTTGGCTGGGATCCCCTCGAAGTCGTCCCCTGGCTTCGATTCCTCATCGAAAACAGCTCGAATAAACCCGACGATCAGAACATCAAAAAGTCCCCTAAGTTTGCAGTGCAGATCCTTACGGTGTTGTCCAAGAATTGGGACAATACGAGCCAGAGTTCCAAAGCAACAATTATCACACTTCTCCAGGCTCACGCCGTCATGCCGACGAAGATGGGCATGAGGAAGCCAACTGACTCTTTCTTCCCCACTGTTAAGCTCTTCGATGACCTGCCTGTTATCCAAGGTTGTCAGAGTTTGAAGGACAAGTTTCTATCGGCCGTCGGTGTGCGCAAGACGCTCGATCTGGATACGATCTTCTCCAGACTTCTGAGCCCGACTGCCGAAGGCGGCGCCCAGAAATGGAGTCACATGGAGCTCATCAAATATCTTGCGGCTGTGAGAGACGACATCCCAGCTGAGGATATGAGAAAGCTCAAGGAGACACGCTTCTGCCCGGCTGAATGTGGCCCTAGAGGTATGGAGCCGACGAAGGGCAGCACTCAGCTTTACAAGGTCTCAGAGTTATTCGAGCCTAAAGACACGCTGAGGGCACTGCAATTGCCTTTGTTACAGTGGCCTGGCCCTCCTGGCAGTTACAGAGTCAACAGTAACGAAGGCCGATTCATGGCCATTCTGGGCTTACGCCCTTACCCCTCTGTCCCGGAATTAGTCGACATGATGTGTTCCAAGGACGCCGAGCTCAGAGTCTCTGCCATGGCCTACTTCATCGCAAACCACCACATCAACGGCTACGGGTCATTCAATCTTGCCGACAGCCGCAAAGCCTTTCTGCCTCTTCAGAACGAAAGTCGCTTGGTGTCCCCATCAGCTTGTTTTACCAACGAGCGTGCCGCTGTTTTGGGCTTTGACATCCTTCAGAGGGATCTCCATGTGCATGCCAACAAGTTCGGAGTTGTCAGAGACCCGCCTATAGTTGAATGTGTCTCACGTTTGCTGGCCAAACCTCCCCAGGATCGGCAAATGGCCATCACTCTCTTTGAGTATTTTGCTTTGCGCATTGGAGATCTTGGAGAAGGCAGCCTGGTCAAATTGCGAGACGCGCCGATCGTACCGGTTGTTCGGCAGGCTCGTGAAGGCAAGGATAAGTCTGGCTCGTACGTCACCCACATCAGCCCGAAGCGGTGCTACTTGGGAACCTCTGCAACGTATGGCGACATTTTTGATTTTGTCGATTTCGGCACAAACGCCAACACGTTTCTTTTCAAGTGTGGTGCCAAGAACGAACCCACCAAGCCAGAGATCGCGCACCTTGCTTGCAGTGAGCCAGCACGTCTCCTCAGCATCTTGCAGAGCCCAGATAAGTACCTGGCCCTGCTGAAGTCATTGGCGGAGAATTGGGCAACCCTGAAGAGAGACAAGGACTTGGTTCGAAAGATGAAGGCGTCTCCCTTCCTCCTGGCAGCAAAGGAAATTCCATCACCCACTCCGTCCAAGGATAGACTCATTGACATCGACGACGATGATGCGGACGCACCGATCAAGCAATACCAGCTTGCCGCGGCCAACCGAATCGTCATTCTCGATGATTACATCAGTTATCGGTTGTTCAAGGACCACTTGATCACTGCACCCGAAGATGAGGTTCTCGAGGACTTTTATCATCAACTGGGCGCTCAAAATTTGGGCTCGCTTGTCGAAGAAGAGATCAGAATTGGACCACATGCGGATAAGCAAGATCGGGCAGCCAAGTTGAAGAAGCACGTCCTCGAGCGCTCCAAGATCTTCCTCCATGAATACGCAAACTACCGCCGGGATTACATCAGACGCGATGCCAAGTGGTTAGAGAAGAGCTTGGAGGTCGAGCTCGTGCGGTCAGTCGCACTTCGCCGCTCACTCAAGGGCCATAGCCAGTCTCACACTGAGAAGCGGTCTGCTGCCAGTGCTCAACGTGGTTCCAGCTGGGTGTTGTTCGTCGCAGCAGATGGACAGCCCGACATGTACCAAATAGGACAGGCCATTTGCCAGCTCCTTCTAACGAAGCCCAATCAGCAAGCATACTTGTTCTTCGAACCCTTCCTCACCCTCGATCTTCTCGGCTTGCGAGCTCGTGGATACAACGTGGATCGCATCTTGCGGGCCAAGGCTGCCGAGGCAAGGATCGCCGAGGAAGAGCGCCGGAAAGCACTTGAGTCAGAGCAAAAGCGCATCCAAGAAAGGGAGCAGGAGTGGAGTCAGCAAGCAAAAGCCGCTGAGGCTGCTCGACAGGTTGCGAACAAGACCCCGGAACCCGTCATGCCCGGAGCTTTCACGAATGACAGTCCTGACGACTCTCACAAGCTGCCACCTCCGGCGCAACCGGGACGTAAGAACAAGGGTCTTTTCTCGAATCTTTCACGACGCTTTGGCTTTGAAAGCAATGATGACGATGAGGCGAAGGACCAGCTGCAGAAGTTCATTGACTCGCCCGAGGAGAGCCATCAGCATGGAGTTGCGGATCAACCCAGTGGCACTCACGGCGCCAGCGGCTCGAACAAGGGCAAGGAAGATGGACGTGTGACCAACCCGGCTACGGTTGGGCAAAACCTTCTCAACGCCATCAACTCTACCAGAGCACATGGCTCGAACAGCGTCTTCTCGCCGCCGACAGTGAACGAGGTCAAGGAACAGGCCACCTACTGCGACAGCACTCCAGCACAGAACATAGTATTTGCAGCGGAGGCTTCAAACAGTATGAAGGTCTTTGTCTCCAAGAATCTGTCAACTGATGCGGGCCGCTTCATTCAAACCTATCACTCGGCTATCAATTCGTTCGCCACCTTACTCACCGATGTGGGCGGTGTGTATTCACTATCCCCGCGGGTCCTTCACATCTTCTACGACGAATCGGGCTCCACGATCGCGTTCAACAGCAGTGGCAGTATTTTCTGCAATCTTCGATTCTTCCTTCAGCTGCACGCGGACAAGCTTAACGGATCCCAAGGGGGGGAAGCAAAGGCAGAGGCGGCTGTGTGGTGGTGGGTTGTGCTAGCTCACGAACTTGCGCACAACTTGGTTCAACCTCATAACTCGGACCACAGTTACTACACGTAAGTGAACTGGGCCATTTTTGTATGTGAAGCTATTCTAACCTCGAAACAGGGAGTCTTTCATCCAGCAGTACTTCGCCAAGATGGTAGCGAAGGCGGCGCAGTGGACTCAACAGGCGGCGGCAGCCCCAACTTCTGCCCCTGCTCTTCCTCCGGCACCCTCACAGGCACCTCAGCCGCCGCCGTCGTATCAAGAGAGTAATAGACAGGCGCCAGGGAACGCGAGATACACTTTGTTTGATTAGAGGTCGTCCAGACGACCATCAGTCCGTCATCGTCTGCATCGGCATCGGCATCAGCATCAGGATTCGCAGAAGTAGAACTCAACTTCATGTTCAAGACGGTTGTTTTGTTGGTTTCAGCATCTTCGGAGTTCGGTAGCACAATAGGGACGACCAATGAACATTTATATAAATCGTATACCACCTTGTGATTGGCCCAATGGTCCGCGTTGATTCTCATGCATTCAGGTTGCTGCGCCCCAAGAGCCTGCTCGGCACATGCAGCGCTTCGTAGGCGTCATTCCAGCCTGATCTTCTACTCTGCCTGTCGAGAATTTCCCCTCTTTCCCTCACTGCATCTCGTCTCCCATCTTGTTACCCAGCTGATCACGTTCTTCGCCTATCGAACATTGGACACGACACTGACGGTCAGTTCAGCGACACGCGCTTCCGACGACAAAGCAGGAAGCTATGCGACTCGTCAACGTATATACGCTCGAACTAGAGGAGTTCTTCGATGCGGACATCCCGGAATACGCGATTTTGTCCCACACGTGGGGCAAGGACGAAGTGACATTCCAAGACCTTTGCTGGCTAGCAGATTACGACAAAAACCGAACAATCTATGCGTCCCTCGAGGGCTTGCTCTCCAATCTTGGACAGAACATGCAAGCAAAGGCGGATTCCATACGGCAGCGATGTGGTTACGACAAGATTGTACAGAGCGCCCGTCTTGCTAAGGAAAGATACCTAGAATATGTTTGGGTCGACACTTGTTGCATCGACAAGACCAGCAGCGCCGAGTTATCGGAAGCGATTAACTCCATGTATCGCTGGTACGAAAAATCCAAAATCTGCTTTGCAGTTCTGTCGGACGTTACTTCGACTGGTGACACTCGGACTGGTGTGCGTTTCGAAGATAGTCGCTGGTTTACCCGCGGCTGGACATTGCAAGAACTCCTGGCACCTAGGGAAGTTCTTTTTTATGATGGACGATGGACTAAGGTTGGGACCAGAAAGCATATGGCGGATCGACTGCACCATATCACTAGTATCCCCATATCCGCTTTGGGACGCAACGTATGGCATGGAGAATTAGTGAAAGGCGACTTCTCCCTCGCGCAGAGGATGTCGTGGGCTAGCCAGAGGCAGACGTCCCGCAAAGAGGATGTGGCGTACTGCTTGCTTGGTTTGTTCGACATCAATATGCCGCTTCTCTACGGGGAAGGGGAAAGGGCCTTCGTTCGACTACAGCAAGAAATCATCAAGCAATTCTCTGGCCAGAGCATCCTAGCCTGGGGCATGAACCGACCTTTGACAGTCGGTTCGCTCCGCTCAAAAAGCTCGCCTCCTACCATTTTCGCGCCTTCCCCTGTCGAATTTGCAGATGCGAAGATACTTGACGGTGACAACCAAGGCGTCCCTTTCCAGTTAAACAACAGAGGCCTCCAGATACCACTGGAAATTTTCAACATTGTCCACCCAGACATCTGCTGCGCACCATGGGACGTCATGTTCGAACACGATAACATGGAAGATGGCGGTCATATTTGCCTTCTCCAACCTCTTTTACAGGTTGGAAACGCCCGGGAGTACATATACATGGAGGACGGTCAAGAAATGATGAAGTGCGCATGGCCAGTCCCTGTGGTACACTCGCGTCTCCCGTTGTCAAGGAGTCGAAAAAAGATATTGGTTATGGAACTTCATCAGCCAACACAGTTAACTAATGCCTTCCGGTATCTTGGTCTCCACTTTGACTTCGATGCAGAAGCTACAGTGGTTGAGTCGTTCCCACCAGTCTTCAGCGATAACAGGTTCTGCATGGACGTCACTAGGGGCGTTCTTTTGTTTCGTTTCGTCCTCTCGGACACATACGCGGACCTTCCTACGGCCAAGGGACACCCGGTGAAACAGTTTGTGGTAGCAGTTGACATTGAAAGTGACAGTCGAGGCTTCAAGCTTGGTGATCAAGGCTTCGAACGTAGTGCAACTGCCGTGTGTGCCTGGACGGGCTACGTGGGGGATGGAACCGGTAGGAAAGGAGGACCATACGTGTCACTACTCGACGCCTTCCTCGGCGAGGAGAAATTGTTGGACATGAATCAATGGACTGACGATCGCATCACATATGACGACAGAGTGCTATCTGTACATGTGGACGTCCGGTCGGATTCCAAGGGACATCTTTGTCCTGATATTGAGTTTGAGCTTGTTTAATAGATTACTTGGGTGTTATACACGGAGAGAAAGGTTCTGTTTGAGATTGAAGACCGCTAGATACTTGAATATGGTTGAACTCGATCACTGGCTCATTTCGAACATGGTGGGTTCCCGTTGCTTGTGGTGTTCAAGATTACAAGCCCTACGGGTGTTGGGATCGAGAAAACAAGTCTTTTACTATAAATATACCCAAGGTATGAAATCACTCACACACACACAAACACTCACAAGCAGCATCATTGGCAAGCAGAAACGTCTTGATGGACTTCCTTGGTATACACACATCGGTGCGAGTGATCTGCTGCTGGATTCTCGAAAGCAAACTGTACGATACCTCGTTGCCTCGCCTTATGCGCCCAATACCCTTCCATAACCGACGCCTTGCCAACCCGTTCATCCAAATTAAACACAACTGTTAAAACACATATCGTCATGACCTGTTAGGTCCGTCACCCTTTTTCTCCACCGTCTTGCGCGGCAGCACGACCACCTTACGGCTAAGCAACTCCCTCAGCTCCGGCGTGATCACCTTCTTGACCTGCGGCTCCTCTTGCGCCTTGCCGGTGTCTTTTCGAGGCGACGTTGCTGGTCCAGTCCCGTTTTGACCTTGCTTGGGCGCCGCGTCGTCCGCCTTTGACGGAGATCCGGGAGGATCGCGGAGCTTCTTGGGGGCTGGGAAGTTGCCCTTCTTGTCGACGGCCTCGACGAGGCGCTGGAAGCGGCGGAAGAGAGCCTCAGCGCGGATGAGTGTTGAGTCGAGGTCCATGGTGTTGGAGAGCTCGTTGACTGATTATCCGTTAGCCTCTGCATTTCAGGGGTAAAAAGACGAAGTAAACATACCGTATTTCAAAACCTCATCAAAGTGCTGTAGATGAGTCATGATAACATCGCGATGCTTTTCAAGAATAGCCAGCGCCACAAACAAGTGGAAGCTGCTGCTCAAGTAATCCGTCCACAGGATCTCCCACAACCTCAACACGTCCAACCATTCAAACTCGCGCTTGTACCATACGAGCAACATGCGGAAGAAGAAGAAGAAGTTGGTGCTGTCGGCCGACTTGAGATGCTCATATAGCTTGGGGTCCATGAACTGAACGAGGTGGTCAAGGGTGAGAAGCTGGGCGCGCATACCGGACTGGTCGCGCAGGAAGTTTCGCTCCATGCGGTCCATGAAGTGCTGGAAGCCCCAGAAGGCGATGGCATCGTCCTGCATCACCGCGTAGATGGGTGCGAGCAGGTCTGACATGCCCTGCACGTAGCCGAGGTCCTTGTTGTACTCGTTGTAGGTGAGGAGCATATCCTTCATCTGCTCCAGGTGGACGTTCGTGCCAACTTCGGAAAAGGGGGACTCGGGGTCCGGGTGGGGGATGTCTTCCCCGGCGAAGATGGGGACGTTGCGGTCTGTTCTGTGGACATCCTTTTCTAATCCGATGTGAGTAGGAGTCTTCATAAATTTTGGAAAAGGGGGCCTACCGATGCGATTGCGCTGCTCGCGCCACCACTCTCCATCCTCGCCATTACCTCCCATATCCACGAGTCTCTCCCACCATGCGCCCTTGAGCTTAACGTACTCATCTCTCAGGGACGCAATCTGGACCTTGCGCTCTTCCGCTGTGCTGTACCAGTCGTAAACTCCCAGAATGAACAGCCAAGCTTCCTTCCGTACGCCATCGTCAGGGTCGAATCCGCCATGGAATACTCTTTCCTTAACCTCGTCCACTGTAACGGAAAGCCTGCCAGTCCGCGGATCAAAGAATGTGTTCCACTCCGTTAACGTAACCGGCTTCCTCCTTTCTTCCAGAGACAGGGTACTACTGCCATCGAGAAGCTCAAATTCCCCGACGTCGGTATCCTCGAGCTCCAAGACTTCCTTAGCAGTCCATATCCTCTGGCTACGATCACGTTCGCTCTGTTCAGCGATACCCATAGCCCAGCGCGCGAGGTATATTCTCGCGCTGTCAAACTCCTCTTGCAGCGTTTGAACCTCCGGGTTGCGCAGCAGTCTCTTCACCTGCGGCGGCACGTTTGGGTTCTGCATCACATCCTGAGCCGCCCTCCGCGTAAAAGTCGTGACCTTGCTGAACTTCTCCATGATGTTCCAACCGGTCTCCTTGATCAGCTTCACGAAGGGGTCCATCTGCGCATCTGCGCCAGATCCGCCTGCCCTGGACCCTGAAGCCTCATTCCGCTGAGCTGTACTGGCAGTGGGCTTCCCGCCGAAGGCCTCGCTATCCTCCTTGGACGGGTCTACTAGGTAGATGTTTGGCTCTGCACCCGATCGTTCGATGGGCACATATCGCTTTAACCAACGCAAAACCTCATCGCCTCCCCAGAACATCTGTCCATTCTCGCCAAACGGGTCGAAGCTATCCCTGGTCCGCCTCTTCCTCTTAAGAATCGTGCTCTGGCATTCGCTGTCATGGAAGAAGAGCGCGGGGAAGCTGTCGCCGGCGCGCGAGTTGATAATCAGCGACCCGAACCACCATCCCAGACTAGGCGGCCGCACGAGGAGCGAGTAGATCGCGCCGACGGGAATCGCAAAGGCATACGTGCCGACAGAACCTCGGTGGGACGTGACCGTCGGCGGGGGCGGAACGAGGTACGACTGCTTCGGTGGCGACTCGCCTTCACTAAGGTCTACCTTCACGTATATACTCTCGACGTCGCCGAGCGAGGTTTCGGGGAGCCATGCTAGCAACAAGTCATCGGCGGATGGGTTCTTCGAGTCGCGGGAGGACGAGGAAGTCGGTCGTTCGCTTCGTTTGCCTTTTTGCTGGAGCAGCGCAATGTACCCGGGAATGTTGTCCTTGGCCGAGGGCGTGGGGTGGACGTAGACCTGCATCGTGAAGCTCCGTTAGTTCCGGGCCGTGGTGGGGTGGCGAAGGGGCGGTTTCGCGGGAACTCACCTTGCTCTTTGAGAAGAGCAACTTCACACCGCGACCGGTCTCGCTATGGGTTATGGTGTTGTACTCGCCCTCCTCGTCGTCGCTGAGGGCGTAGAAGCTCTCCGACGGAGAGCGGGTGCGCCCCTGCTCCGGGGCCTTCGACGATGGCGGGGGATCCGAGTCTGAGGTCATCGCGCAGCGTTGGGTGTGATGATGTAAGACGATTACCAGGCTCCCAGGGACCCGGGGAGTCTTGAAGGTGTGTGAGACTATTCAAAAGGAGAAGAAACAAAAGAGAAACCGTACTCTTTGAGTTTCTTTCGTAAGACTAATAGTGACTGGAGGAAACGAGAGGGTCTGGGGAAGAGGCAACAGCATGTGAGTGAAAGTGTGGCTGATGATATGGGATCCATGTTGGGGCCAAGCAGCCAAGCAGCTCAGCAAGCGTGCGCAGAGGTCGTCAACGAGGCGTGTTGCCACCAAAGCAACCCCGCTATGGAAGCTTGCATCCATGTCTCAGAGGGGTTCTTCTCACTGTATCTGTACCGCCACTTCAGCAGACTTTTAGCGTCTTCTAAGGGTAGAGCTACCAGAAGCTCCGAGGTGCGCCATGTCATCTGCAGCATGCATGCGTCGTCATTCGCGTCTCCCGCCGGTCTACTAGTTTTTACGTATTGCACGCGCAAGCGAGTCGTCGCTCCGTCATCCACGACATCTGAATATGCTAGAAGCGAGAAGAGGCTTCAGAGGATGCTGCGATGTTTCTTTACGGAGCCATTTTGGTGACTCCTCTGACAGACGTACGAGTTGACGTTACGTTGCGATGCTTCTTGACGCGGATAATGGAAGCCGGACACGTTCTCTTCGCTTGCATGTTTCGCTCAAGGCGTTGATATTAGTGGTTGTATTGGTTGCGTGCTGTAGCTCTGCTTTTGCACTCTTCGGACGGCATGTCTTCCAGCAACATACATACTCCGTCCTTGCGCATGTGGTCTGCACCGCTGAAAGTTGATGTGCGTCTGCAGAACTTTGCAAATGTCTTCCCGTCTGCCCACGACTCCGCCAAGCAACCCAGACAGACAGGTTCGCACCGCAAACACCCGGTGAGCCCGCCGGTATTCCCAATATGTTCTCTCCTTGCTCCGCGAGTCACACCCCTAACCGCTCTCTCCTTATCTCATGCGAGGACCGCTTGGGAGTCCTGTTCGTCTGGGTCCGCTGGGAAGCCCCGTTGGCCGTCCACCGCCTCCGCCACCACCATAAGGACTGCCTCCGCCCCCGCCTCCACCTCCGCCTGCGCCGCCTCCATCGTACATGCCGCCCGGAGCGAATCTGTCCTCGTAGTCGCCTGAGCCGCCGCCGCCCCTGCCTGGCGGTTGGAAAGGTCCTTGGTTTCCTCCCGACGCGGGGCTCGTCGTTCTCGCACCTCCCCAGAGTCGCTGCTTAAGCCGATCCTGTGCCGAACCTCCTCCTCCAGCCGAGCTGCCAGGCGGTGTGCTCACAGCCTCTCGTCCGTACGCTGCACTCGACTGGTAGCTTCCCGCGCGCTGGCTGGGCAGAGGCCGGGCCTGCACGTCGTCTCGTCCGCTATCGCCGGCCCTCGCGAATGGGCTCAGTCGCGCGGGCTGCTCGCCGCCTCGCATCGGGGGCGGCGCGCCGCGGCCTTGTCGAAGGCTCACGGGGTCCTGCCGCGGCGGCGGCGCGGCGTTGTTGTTATCCCACAGCGAGCTCAGTCCCGTGTTGGGGCCGGCCTGTTGTTGCTGCTGAAGTCCGCCGTATCGAGAGCCGACCTGAGAAGCGGGCTGGGCGTAGACGGGAGCTGCTGGCGGCGGTGCCTTGGGGTCGGGCGGCAGCCATCCGGGGAAGGCGCGGCCCTGCTCGGTGTAGTATGCTCTCAGCACTCTGCAGACGTGAGTGTCGTCCTCGGTGTCGCCGTCATTTTCGCTCTGGAGCAGTCGGCTCTGCAAGCTCGAAATCTGGGAGGTGGTGTTGGTGAGGATCCTCGAGTACCACGATGACATCGTGCCTGTTCCTTGTGCCTGCGAGGATCCTGCGGGGCAAAACTGAGAGCTGCGGTGCTGCGTTCGTCGGACGGGTTGGGGTAGAAAAGCTAAGTCTTCCGATGGCTGAATTACCGCGCTTCGGGTCTCGTTGGGCACAAAGAAAGGGTAATCGCTCGCTGGGTAGTGTATTCGTGGATCGCAAGGGGAAAAAGAGGAAGAGAAATCGGAAGGGCCCGAAGTGTTGTTTCGTGGGCGGCGTAACCGTGGAGAGTTGCTTGAAGTGGTCTGTTTCAAATAAGTCGGCGTTGAATGATAGGGAATGAAGGTCGACCTGGGTTGTCTCCGACACCTTGTGGCTCGGCGGAGTGATGCATGCCAGCGGTGGGGCCCTCCCGCATTGTTCTAAAGGAACTTGCACTAATGGAGGCGCTTGGTTCTTCACCGACGGACCCCGGCGCTAAACCCACCTTGATTCACCTTCGCCCAACAAGACATCAACCATCTTTGAGGCCGTGAGCTTACCTCGAAGGCTTTCGTCCATGTTTTTCATGAACTTTGACCATACTGAATGCTAGTTCCAATACTCTCATGTATTATGTAATTACGTCTTCCTTCGTGACAATGTTGCCCAGACCACCACAATCATCAACTACAGAGCACGATAGACAAACATACGATATCAACTAGATATCAAGCAAGCCCATATTCGCACACAACATATCTGATCAGAAGCAAGGCAATATTCTAGGCTGCTCTTTCTGTTCCCAGTTTCTTGATTTTTGAGTCTTTCAAGGTCTCCCATCATCAAAATGCTGCGTCTTTGGCGTTCATTCCACTCCATTATATTCGACCCAGCCCGTGTAATTCGGACCGTGAACTCAAATAAGTCTCAAGCGGTCTCATCGAACAACTGCATGAGTTCAACCAAAGTCAAACATAAACGATGACTACAACTAAGTCACAACTCGAAGAAATGTTGCATTTAAACGAGGAGACTTTACGTCTGAGCCAAGAGGATTTCATCTGAGCAACGAGAGTTTGCGTCTTATCAAATAATTTAGAGAGGAGTTGAATAAGCTCTCTGAATAGCATGCCATGAAGCCGATTGAAAAATATGAGCAAGGAGTTAACAACAGCAATTTCTTGCTGTAAGCATATGTTACTAAGTTTTCCCCAGTCCAGTATTGCTCTTCCTAGGTGCGAGCATGGCATATGTTTTCAATCTCATAGACTGGTTTCATCATCGACAGAAGAAGGCTCAGCTATACAGCGCTTCGCTTGGGCAACGCTACAAACAGGGACAGAGACGATGAAGGGATGATGCCTCTCGCGCAAAGCTGTAACAATAATTCAGCAGGTAGATATTCGTTCTAATAGTATTTCACAATGCAGTGCTATGCACAATGCCTTCCCGGGATCAACTTTTTCCTTCCGTAGCCAGCCATTAAGGTATTCGCGCCAGACGCCGTTGAAAACGATCCGAGCCTCTATTACCAAGTCAACTCCTCCGCCATCTTGGGTCTCTCCTCCTGCTTCTGCTTGAGCCTCTTCTGGTTCATCTTGACCGCGCGGCCGCGCTTCCGCTTGTCGCCCGCCTTGCGCTTCGCCTCCGCGTCGCTGTCGTCCGAGTCCTCGCTCTCCTCGTCGTCGTCGTTGTCCTCTTCCTCCTCGTCGCTCTCGAGCCAGTCCTCGATGTCCTCGAGCTCCTCGTCGCTCTCGCCAATGTCGGACACGTACTCGATCTCCTTCTCGAGGTCGTCCTCGAACTCGTCCTCCTCCTCCTCGTCCTCCTCCTGATCCGACTCGATGCCCTCGTCCATGTCCTTGTCGCGCTTGCCCTGACCCTCCTTTTCCATGGCGTTGAGAACCTTCTTCCAGATCGACTCGCTGACGTTGAGGGGCTGGTCGCCATACGCGCCGGACCGTAATCTCTCGACGAGCTCGCGCTCGATCGTCCGCTCCAGCTTCGCCGCCGCCTCGGCCTTGCGCTCTCTCGTCTCCTCGCGGCGCCTGATCTTGGGCGCCAGCTTCGGCACGAGCTTCTCGCCCATGCGCTCCTCCTCCGCCGCTATCCTCCGCATGCGGATGTTGACCTGCGTCAGGCGCGTAAGGCGCTGCTTGCACTTGTGGAGGAGGAACTTGGGCCAGTAGATGAGCTTCTCGTCGATCATCTCGAGCGCCTTCTGGTAGTTGTTGGGCAGCTTGATGCGCTCCCATAGCTTCGACGGCATGTGCGCGCGTTCGATCGTCTTCATGTACAGGTACAGGGTGTCCTTGTTGGGGGCGCGACGGATCGTGGCATAGCGGGAGTTGGCCAATGGGCACGACTGGCGGTTGCAGAAGCCGGTGACATTGTACTCGTTTCTGCAGAACGTCTGCTTCTTGTCCGTGGAGAGCTTGAAACTGCAGAACTGCTGGTTGATGATTTGCCTAATGCGACGTTAGCATCAAGGGATAATTAAAATTTCTGGTGGTACCACCGTACCAGATAATCTCGTCGGACGCCATCTTGACGGTTTTGCGGACAAACAAACAAGGCTCGTGGTGTTGGACGCCTTGCCGTTGGTCGAGTACTGAGAGCTCAAGGGAAAAAGAGAGGCGGCGGGGCGCTGGTTTTTCTGCAGAGGCAATCCTCAAAAAATTTCAGGATCGAGCAGGCGCAGGGATTCTTATCGCGATAAGAGCGGAAGCAAACCGGGCCGCTCAACCAATCGTAGTCCGTGCGTTACAGATAGCTTCTATCGCGACTGGATCTCTGAAATCTTTCTTCAGCTCTCTCATTCAGTTCAGGACGTCCAGTATCTCATTTTTCTTATTCAATTATGGGGGCCTTGCAGTGTTTCGATTGATCAGATTTGGTTTCGATTTTCATGTGTTTCCGATTGATTCATGCCTGCTCTCGTCCGATCATCGAGGAGCCTCGGCCGAAACCTCCCCGTTACAGCTGCGAGATGTGTTAGTGGTCGAGGCCGTTTCCCCGGAACGGGGCCGGTGCCGTGGGGTCACTCTCGGCCGGCTCAACGGCTCGTTCCCGCCGGGCCCCGACTCCAGTCACGATTCATCTCATCCGAGCCTGAATTTACCGAAGATACAGTATATGCTTTGTCAACGGCTCAAGGCCGCGCCGGTATTGCAATAATTCGAATTTCCGGACCCGGGTGCACAGAGGCAAATCACCCCTGAAACTCTAACATAACCAGTCTCCTAACACATGCATCAGGTCTACAAAGGATTGTGTCCCACAAGGGTCCTCCCAAAACCCCGATTTGCAGCTGTCAGAACTCTCATAGACAGCCAAGCAGGCGGAGATGCCCAAATCCTAGACTCAAACGCCCTGGTGCTCTACTTCCCCGGCCCCAACACCGTCACCGGAGAAGACGTTCTCGAGCTGCACGTCCACGGCGGCCCCGCCACAGTCAAGGCCGTCCTCTCCGCCATCCCGAAATGTAAATCACAAGGCAAGATCCGCTACGCCGAGCCGGGCGAGTTTACTAAGCGGGCCTTCCTCAACGACAGGCTCGACCTCGCGCAGGTCGAGTCCCTGGGCGATACCCTGTCCGCCGACACGGAGCAGCAGCGGCGCGCGGCGGTGCGCGGCAACTCGGGCGTCCTGGGACGCACGTACGAGGGCTGGCGCGAGCAGCTCCTGCTCGCCCGCGGCGAGATCGAGGCGCTGATCGACTTCTCGGAAGACCAGCACTTCGACGAGTCGCCCGCGGACCTGATGGACAACGTCAGCGCCCTGGTGTCCGACATGCGGGCCAGCGTGCTCCGTCACGAGGCCGCAAGCCAGCGGAGCGAGTTGTTGCGGAACGGCATCCGGATCGCTCTGCTGGGGCCGCCGAATGTGGGGAAGAGCTCGCTGATGAATCTGATCGTGGGGCGCGAGGCGTCGATTGTGTCCATGGAGGCGGGCACGACGCGCGATATTGTGGAGGTGAGCCTCGATATACGCGGGTATCTGTGCTCGTTTGCGGACACGGCTGGCATCAGGACGAAAACTTCCGTGCGGCCCGGGGACGACCCCTTTGAGCCGGCGCTGGGTAAGATCGAGGAGGAGGGCATCCGCCGCGCGAAGCAGAAGGCTGCGGAATCAGACATCATTATCGTCCTGGCGTCGGTCGAGCCTCAGCGCGAGGGTGGCTTCCGGGTGAATTACGACGCGGAGACTTTGAAGCTTGCTTCCGAGGCTCAGGCGTGTCTCGTTGTGGTAAACAAGCGAGATGCGGTAGATGATGCTTCCCTTGCTGAACTCCTCAACCAATTCCGGAACGATATCAAAGCCCAAGTGCCGGATATTAGCAACGTAGACCTCATCACGATATCCTGCCGCGAAGCCCAGGTCAAAGCCACCACTCAGAAAGATCCTGGAGCCATCAACGGTCTTACCGACCAGCTGGTGCAGTCTTTTGCGGGCATGACGTCCCTGCCGTCTGATGAGCAGGATCTGCTGGGCGTCACGGCTAGACAGGCGCAGCTCCTGGAGCAGTGCCGCGGGTACTTGGACGATTTTATGGCAGTCGCGCACCCCGAAGAGGAGGGTGAAGAGGCGGACATTGTGTTGGCTGCGGAGTATCTGCGGTACGCGGCCGACTGTCTTGCCAAGATCACCGGCCGGGTTGAGGCGGGGGACGTCGAAGAAGTTCTCGGTGTGATCTTTGAGAAGTAAGTTACAGGCCGATTTGAGAGTTCTGTTGTCGAATGCGATGATCACTGACAGGAGGCTTGCAGGTTCTGTGTAGGAAAATAATGATTAAGATACTACTCATGCTGGACAATGAAGTCCTCGTATATCTAAATCTATCAGGGAGCGGGGGATGCGAGACGAGCCCTCTTCAACGCCGGAAGCAAGGAAAACAAAACCCAATTCTACCCAAGGCAGTGCAGCGCGATGCTACGCTATGCTATGCAGTCTCCGAAAATATCCAAAAGAGCGATCCGGCGCAAGTAACATTCCATGACCTGAACTCCGACCCAATGCTGTGGTGATGATGAAGGGGGCGCGAAATACAGTCTAGTATCCCAAAGTTGCCGATAGAGAAAGAGAGATAGAAGTCGCCTGCCAGTGCTGTTTATCCTGGCTCTTATGCGCGCTTTGCCCTGTGAGGCCGCGCGATGGTGGTGACATGAAAACTCCGGTCTAATGCGAGTGTTGAGGAGGAGGGCAGCGCAATCAGTTGTGCTACCCCATGGCGATGTTCAAGACATTGGCTGCCGTCCCGAGACAAGGCGTCGGGAGCGGCAGGCTTAGAAGTGAAGAGGGTGCGGGAGGGTAAGACGCTTATTTGTCCTCCTCGTCGTCACCGTCCTTGTTGTATCCGGAACGGCCCTTGTTCTGGGTGTCGTCGTCGTCGTTGCCGTCCTTGTTGTAGCCGGAGCGGCCCCGGTCGTTCTCCTCGTCGTCGCCGTCCTTGTTGTAGCCAGAGCGTCCGTAGACAGCGGTGGTAGGAGTGAAGATGAGAGTGAAGCCGGCCATTGTGAAGGTTGGGAGTATGGGAGTGGTGATGTGGGTGTAAGTGGTTGATAGTGTGGTTTGTAAGTGAGAAAGATGAGAGTCTTGAAGATTGAATGCTTTAAGTGTGAGCTTGTTGTGTGAGTGTGATGATTGTGATGATGATAATAAAATTGATTCCTGAGGGGTCATAGCAATCGTTTATATAGACCTCAAGGCAACTAAATTACTTGAGGACCATGTATGAGGCTCATCGTGTAGGCACGTAGTAAGAGCCAGCCCTACCTTGGAAGATACGCTGGTACCTGGAAATGGACCTCACATCTGAGCCGTCATGCTGAGGCGCGGCCGACCGGTACGGATACCGCACCGCACCGAAGGGGCGGCGTTGGCATTGGCATTGGCATTGGCTTGTCAAACGGGCTTGTGGTTACCGAGAAACTAGAGTGTTGACAGCGAAAGAGGCAGAGAAAGAGACTTGCGATGATGCTGGCTTCGGCACGGCCCCCATGAACGGCCAGGCAGCATTCCTTCCAAAATTGGAGTGTGGAGGGGTGGATGACATGAGCCAAAGGACCGGGGCAGGGGGTCGGAGAACAAGCTTTAGCTCTGTGGCCCTGGTTCTCGGTCGGGGTCGGGCGTGACACGGTTCGCCGGCTTTCCTTGGGACTCTGAGGCGTGTGTGTGTTGCGCAGTCGCGATGTCAGAAGCGCCGTGTAGTACGAAGACATTGCGAATGTGGGTGTGTCGAAGATGTGTCATTGTCATCGCGCATCTGCAGAGTACTCGGATTCTGGGCGTAATGGTGGGTGGGTTTCGCAGGGTCGTCAGGTCGCCTGTGATGTCCCCGGTCATGGTGGATGGGAACGAGATGCGTGCATGCGCCGGGGTGCCGCGGGCCTGGGTGCTGTGCCCGAATACTGGGAAGAAGGACTTCTGGGCAGACGCAGGACTCAGAGAGAAGCCATCATGCTACGACACCGTAATAGGCTGTCTCACCTCTGGCTCATTTCCTTTTCAGGATGTTAGAGGTCAAGGGTGGGCGTGGCTTGTACGCTCCGAACTTTTGGTAACTGACGATGATGGGGGGCAGGGGTACGAGCAGGCACGGGAGATTAGGAACACTTACCAGGACGACGGGTTACACGGATTGGATCGCCAGCTTTTGGTGGAATTGGTGGAAGCGCTAGAAGGGACAGGAAAAGAATGCTGAGCAACGCGAGTAGACGAATGGGAGGTGAAGAGACAGGGAAGTTGTTGATCGTGTAGGGCTGAGTCTTCTTGGGGGAACCCAGGGCACTATGATTTTGGGTGCAGCAAAGTAAGCACCAGCCCGGCCTGCCTCTAAAGATTCCGTACGCCTTTCCTGCCTCAGCAATACGTATCAGGTCGGGCCGGTAAGGCACGCAGTCGAACGTACGCAGCACGCAGTAGCTTACCTTAGCGCAAGAAGAAGAAGAACGGTGAGGCAGAGGCAGGCCTGATCATGTTGCAGCCACAGGCAGCAGTCGTTGAGAGTGTCTCTGTCAGCATCGTCGAGGCTGTGTAGGCTGTAGAGGCTCTTTTGCAACAACCGATGAGGGTCTTCGTGTAGGTGTGTAGGGTGGGCAGCTGACATAACTGCACCAGCCATGTTGACTGGACGAGAGACCGACGCGACTGGGGAGAATCTGTAATTCCCGGTCACCCGCCTGGTGGTGATTCGTTCTCAAGAGTAAGAAGCCACGTCTTTCTTCGAAGTTCCCTCTGCGCTGCGGCACTATCTCGTTGATACTGATCGAAACGTTCCGGCCGCTCTTCGTCCTTGGTCCTCGCTTCGCCGACAAGCGGTAAACCCGCCCGGCGCCCTTGTTCAGTGTTCTTTGTAATAATCCGGCGTGTCTTTCGCCGGTTGATGATCGCCGCTGCAGGTGAGCAAGGCGAGTAGAGTCATCGGTGATGGATACGCACACCATCGTCAGCCCTGCGCGCATGTGACGAGCAGGAAATGGAATTCCCGAAGCCAAATAGCAAAAGGCCGACGTGATATCGGAGACTCCGCGGCGGTTGTCGTCTTCGCCTCCGTGGGGGGCCGCTGTGCGGAGCATCGGCAAGACGGGACCACCTTGGGGGTGCCCGTCCGTTTCTGGATGATGACTTGAGTGAGATGCGTTTGGCCTCAGTTGGAAAGGCATCCATTTTTGCTGTAGTCATCATGTTTCGAGATGCATGAGATTGCCTTCTTCACCAAAACCCCTGCATCAGGATTCGGGCAAGGCCGAAGTCTGAAGTCATCGCGTCCCTCGTCATATTTCAGTCTCAGTCTGAACGAATACCCACGCCGCGATGCGGTCAGGCTACCGTTGTAGAAATACGTATACCGGGCACTCGCGTATCCAAATTTGTCATTTCGATGCTGCTGCTCCGACCGAGAATGGACGAAGGGTATCCGATATGACTCAGCCGATGTGGCACATCCCCTGTTGCTCTGGCAGGCTTTCCGCAGGGCATACCATGCGATGTCATTCGTATCCCTTCTGGAAGCGAAGGGCGCGTGTCGCAGATGCCACCAGACTGCAGTGAAGGAATGGTGATGATGTGAAGTCGGGAGAATTGAAATTGTGTAGGGAAGTCGGGGTCGGGGACGTGAATCCCGGTGGGGTCCCGAAGAGGTAGGTGCTCGGAGCGCTGGAAGCTACGTGCTACAAACTTCCATCCTACACACCAGACCTTCAAATTTCACCTCCAATTTCGTGCCATTGAAAGACGCATCAATTATCTCCGAAAACCTTTCCTAGAAAACGGGATCGAACACAGGAAGATTGGCAGCAATAGTGAGCAACTCACTTTGAGTCCCCAGAAAATGAACACCACGCATTTCTACCATTGCTAAACGCACCATACCTCTCAGCTTACCTCAGATATTCTTCCCTCTTTGTCAACTGAGGGATCTGTATCAACATGACCCTGGGTTTATTTGCGCTATGAAAAAGCATCATCATTTCATCGGTACCAAGCTTAGTGAGAGCTCCAGGTTCTTCTAGAACATAGATCTCTTATCCGCAACTAGCCGAAGCGTCACTCAAGAAACTGTTCAGAGGCCGGTGTCGATACTGATCTCGTGAGGCTCTGTCACAGAGAGATGGAACAGCAAGCTCACATGCCTCACGTAATATCACAATACGCCACAACCGATGCCGTTCTCTCGAGGCGTAGGAGGCACACGTTGTCCTACATCGTAACACCAAACTACGCCGACCACACTCCAACCGAGCCTGATCTGGTATCCCGTTACGCGAGCTCAGCCAGAGCGCCTCTCTTGGCTGAAACCCTTGTAACTATTTTCGCAGTGTTAGGACTCAACACCAGCCTCGTGGGGCTCTAGGCGGCTATGTTCACCACGGCTCTTACTCAGGGCATCACTCTCTCCAGCGCTGCTGGGTTGGTTTCCGCCCCCAAGCCCCCCAAGACCGAGAGCAGAAGGTCAGAGTATCTCGACTGGTCAGCGATACAAAATATACAATCGAGCTGTTCGAGGCTGTGTTTCAAGATCTCATACCGAGACCTCACATCCTCAGCGACAATAATCGCCGTCGGGGAGCCGATCAGGATGAAGGAGGGGGTAACATCCCCCCTTCCTCGGCCCATTACCCCCTCGCCTGATCTTGTTGAGCCGCCCAGCCCTATGACCTGCATGAGAACCACTCTGGTGCTGACACCCAACCCAACTTCTGGAAAGGGAAACAGACTGGCAGGCTCATGCCTCCACGCACAGCCCGCGTGCGCTGCAACCCCCCCTCGTACGACGAACATAAGGCATCTCGTGTAACAACCTCATCCCAAACCAAACAGTTCTTGCGCAGTGAAGTATTAGTAGATAGGGCTGGTGCTGTCATGTATGCAGTCATGGTAAGGCGGCCGCCGGTGCCGATATCCACATGGCTATCCCGTCTCACTCTCGACCCCCAAGAATGAAATGGAGAAGTAACGTAACAATAACTAAGTATGCCATGTAGAAAGAAGAAAAAGCCACTCATCAGTTTGTACCTCCCTCCAGGCTTGAACGACCCCACCCGAGTGTTATCCATTCCTTCAAAGATCCTGTGAAACGAAACACACAGAGTCTTGGCTTTTTGCACAAGGCAGATTTCGCACGCGAGTCTTCGGCCCAGGCTGCCGGATCCTACACGGGTCCCCGCGGGCTCTCCCGCATCACAGAGAACAGCTGAGCTCAGCCCTACGCGGACTTGACTCCGGCCTTGTTCTTGCTTTCCCCCCATGTCTAAGGATTAAAGGATTCACAAACGTTCGAAATGTGATTGGACGACAGAGCCCGGGAAACAGGAAACGTGAACGGCCAGACGTCATTGTCGGCGGGGATTCTGAGGATGGAGCAGTTTGCTGTGAACGAGATGTGGAAGTAGAACAGAGACCATCCCGGGTATGCGAGATCTCGCGGCCATTGTAAGCCTGAGGTGTCCTGACCACGTTGACAATGACAATGATCTTGGCTCACTGCCTACCTTGGGCATGCCGCTTACGCAAACAACCAAATACGTTCGTACGGCGTCTGATCTGGTAAGCATGCGCTTACGAAACAGACACGGTGGTCGCTTACACACCCTTGCACGTCTACAAAATAGCCAAGCTAAGCTCTGGCCGGATGGACTTGCCTGAACGGGGATACCGACGTTGAAGAGGTGCCAAGATCTCTGGGGTCCATTGAACAGGGAAGAGGATATTTCGGCGTACATCTTTTTTGTCCAGAGATGGAGGAAGGAATGTCTTTCATGGGCGTGCTGTTCACATGATGTCGTTGCGAGAGATGATGGGATTCGCTCACGATGCGGGAAAGGGTTGACAGAAACCGGGTTAGGCGACGCTTGTCGCGGTTTCCTAGGAATAGTGACGTTTGTAAATGCATCAGACTCCGCGGCGTCCGCTTAGAGGGCGACGTAGGTCATCATTCTGTCTTGCGTTCGTGGAAGACGTGTACGCGTCCGAATTTCCACGATGACGTTCACTTACGACGCTCACCGCGAGGACAAACTTGTTCAATGCAGTGCAAAAGTGTCTTGACCGAAAGTTGCAACAACGGACGCGCCATCCAAATCACTATTTTCACCGAAACCTAACACTTTTGGCCATCATCGAGGTCAAGATGCACGGACAATTGTGCTTTTGAGGCCAATCAGCCTTATCCATATCTCATTCGAAGGACTTTTTCTTCTTCGTGCAGTTGTGCCAGCTAGTCTATCGCTCATGCTTCGTACATGCGTTCTGCGTCAATGTTCAGAAGGAAACTTTTGTACTGGAAAAAGAAAGGCCAAGCAAGTTTACAGCTCGTCCCTGACGTGACCGCCGCTGCTCGCCTTGCTGGGCTCCTCCATGGCCATGAGCTTGACGACCAGACTCGTCCAGCCGGTGAAGTGCTGGGTGCGCTGGCCCTCACCCGTCTCGGGGTTGTACTGCTCCCAGGCGAAGCCGGTCTCCTCCCAGCTCTTGTAGACGGTGTCGACGAGGTTCTTGCGCAGGCGGGTGAAGAGGTCGGCGGCCTTGGCCTTGTAAGGTCCGTCTTGGGAGGCGATGTTCTACGACTAGTCAGTGATGTGTATATCCCGGGATGCGTGTGGCGAATTACCTTGAGCTGGGAGACGGCCATGTAGTTGATTGGCATCCAGACGGGGCTTCTCCAGTAGTTCTCGGCGGTTCCGTAGAATTCGTCCTGCTTGCTCAGAGACCTGATACCATGCGGGCTGAAGAGATGCTCCTCGTCACCAAGGAGGTCCAGCAGCTTGCCGAGCTTGGGGTCGTCGGCCTCAAGAAGACCGACGAGGAAGGGGAACAGGGAAATGTAGCCCTTGTGGCAGACAAGCTGGTGCTCCTCGAACGCATCAATAGTGGCATCGCAGTAGCAGCCCTCCTTCTCGGACCAGTGCAGGTCATTAAGGTTGCGGCGAATGGCGTTCAGTGTGGTCTTGAATTCATCAACTTCCTCCCGCATGCCCAGAGCGTCGGCGATGTTCATGAGGGACTTGGTCATCAGGCCAACCCATGACATGAGGTCGACGTGGAGTTCGCCGGGGTGAGGAGGTTGAGGCCGCGGGTAGTCGTCAATACCACTGGTCAGAATGTGAGTCTCGGTGCGTCCTCTCCAGCGGTAGGCCTCCTTGTTAGAGAAAGCATCACGGTCGTAAGACTTGATGTCGCCGCGCTGCGTCTTCCGGAACCAATCGTACTGGCGGCGGAGAAGGGGGTAAAGCTTGCGCAGGTACTCCTCGCCGAGCTCGACGTTGTCCAAGTGAGCGGTCTGAAGCGCGGAGGAGGCACCGAGATGCTCCTTCTCAGCGGGCAGGCTGCCATTGGTCTTTCGGAGGCGCTCCATGAAACCCTCGATGATGAGGAAGAGTGTGGGAGGGTTGGCGTAGTGCGGGTATTGGACTTGGAACTCTTCGGGGACCTTGCTTCGGGCCTCGTTACCAAGAATTTGCTCCCGTGCAATCCATCCGTCCTCATCGATCAGGTTGAACCAGCTCTTGACCACCTCAAGAGTCAAGTCAATGTCCCATTCGGCGATGGGAATCAGGTGGAAGCCCTCATCCCAGAGGAATCCGCGGGGGAAGAAAGGACGGGATGGGACAGCGGTGTAGAGCTCGTAAGGTCCCTCCAACGCCTGTTGCTTGCGAGCGCGGGCAGCGGCGGCCTCCTCCCAGAAACCCTCGTTCTCCTCGTCGTACTCAGGGGCGTAGGACCGATCGACGAGGTGCTGGCCGTGGAAATAGCCAATGCCACCGAGCAGGTTGGAGAACATGCTCTTACCGAACTTCTTGTACTTTTCGGCAGTGAAAGGAGCCTTCAGGCTGAAGACGGAGGAAAAGCGCTCGCCGAAGGACTCGCTCACTGTCTTGATCTCGCGAGTAACGTCGGCGCTGGTGAGCTCTGGTCCAGCTGAAACAGACGAGAAGATGACGTCGAACTCGAAAGGCCCCTCGAAGGCCTTCTGGACGACGTGAGTGTTACCTTCACCAGGCTTGTGTGCCAGTTGATAAACCAGGTGCGGCGGGGGCGGGTCGTCGGTGTCGTACTTCTCCTGGACCTCCTTAACGCTCTCCTGGATCATGTTGAACACAACCCCTTTGCCTTGCCACTGGAGCTCCTCCGGGACAGTGACGGAGCGCACAACGGTTCGATCGCCGAGTCTGGTCTTTGCCAAGTCATGGTCGCTGGAGGGGTGCTTGCCCTCCCCCTTGGTGACGACCAACTTGTACTTGCCGAGCTCAGGGGAGCTGCCTTCAAATACAGCATCACCGTCGAGGCCGGTCGGGTCGACAGGGCCAGAGTAGGCGATCTCTGCGTCAGTGCCCTCTTGAGCAATGTAGTAGTGAACCAAGGTCTTTAAGTCAGAAGGAGCACCCTCTCTGGGGACGCCCTTGATCCTGGCCGCCCAACTGCCGCCGTTAGCCCCACCAGGCACTTTGACAAACGAGGTGGTGATGTCAATCTGGTTGCCTTCATCGTGGATGTTCTGGATACCACCCTTTCGTGCATCGTATTCGTCCCAGCCATAGCCATGAAGGCCCTCGTGCTGCTCACAAGTGTATCGGAAACCTGTTACTCCTTAGCTCATGCGCTGTTTAGGTATGTGGCCCACCTCACCGTGTTGAACGTCATTGTAGGTGTCGACACGAGACCACATCAATCCACTCCAAAGAGTCTTGGGAGACCTTGACCGGACACCAAAGTACAAGTTTGGCTTATAAGGACCCCAAAACAGGCTTTGGTTGTTGAGGCGGCCGACCTCGCTGGTCAAAACAGAAGCCGAGCCAGGACCATCTTCTGCTGCAAGGGCCAGCTGTACGCCAAAGATGTTGAGAAGAGAAAGAGAAAGAAAGACGGCCAATTGCGTTATCCGGGCCATTTTTGCGGTGTGTGAGTGATCAATCAGCGCCCATCAGAGCTCTGATTTGAATATCTTACACTCACACAGCTGCTTATTGAAGTTGTGTGAGCGTTTCTGTGGAAGTAAGGCGGAGTGAAGTGAGATGTGGTAAGTGAAGTAGCGAAGTACCTCTGAAAGACCTGAGTGAACACGTTGGAAGACGGAAGCTCGAGCTTTGCTGGGGCTGAGGTGTGGCTTTTGACAGCTTGAGGTGCGTCAACCCCGCGGCCAGCCAATCAGCCCCCTGGACGGTGTCGAGCTTGAGCCAGCTGTCCTGTGGCGTTGATCGTCTTAGCGTCGACTCCGTTATCGACAGCTGCTACAATCCCTGAAACTTCAGCACTGGCGCTGGGGAAGTCTCCCACTAAAAAATTCCCCGGTCGGTTTCCGTCGTGGTACCTACACCGTCATTCATCCAGTTCCGTTCCAGTGGTTGCATGCCGATTCCATCCCGTCCACTTTATCCGTACTTTGGAACTCCTAAACTCGCCCTGCATCCTGCACGAACGACGGCAAGCTTCCTGTTAACCTGCAGCCTTCCTTGCGCTTACTTCCAAAAACGCGCAAACACCAGCCAGCTCGACTTACAGTCGCCGTCGAACGAGGACACCACCCGACGAGCTTCTCCGACCTCCGTTGTACCTGTCGTTGAGGCCAACTCAGTGAAGCGCGAAGACATCGCGACATGGCTGCATAGCTCGCCTGCGCATGCCCCCTTTGAGTTGAAGATGCTGGACTGCAGACAAAAGTGTTAGGATGAGCTTAGACTCGCTGTTGCCCATCGCGCCCGCGAGGGTGAGGGCATTGATTCTGCCCTTGGGCCAGATCAGAAGTGACCGCTTCTCGTCCTTCGTCGAGCGTTTGCGACCCGAACATGTCGTCTCCTTGCGGGATGTCACCCCTGATGGGCGGCCGAATAGAAGTAGGTTAATTTTGCCATACGGCGCAAACATTGTGCTAATTGCTGAGACGTAGATATGTTCTCGCCCTTGGCTTTTCCTCACGGCGCGGTGTTTTACGAACTAGTAACCTACACTCCTCCTCCCTCACACCTCGCCCTCCTACCTTTCGACTTTTACCGCGAACCTCTAGCCATCATCGCGATCGCGGATGGCACCGAGCTGAACCGAGTTGCCTTTAATAAACGCCAATCCAACACTGCGCCGACCATCGCCGAGCAGAACATCCGCACGCTGTACCAGGAGCTGGAGGATCTACGAGATCGTTTCGGCAAAGCGCTGGTCCACCAAGTCTTGATCTTCGACCATGTGCCCTCCAAAGAAAATCCGGTTTCTATGCTCGAGGGCCTCATCGCTATACCACCGCCGGACGAGTGCAAGCGGACGACGATGAAGACCATAATGTGCGACATCACGTCGCAACTCTTGGCAGAAATGACCACCGTGGCCAAGATGTATGAAGCATACTCAACCATCGAATCCCCTGGATCATCCCACGCCATGAAGCATGCCAATGGCGCATCGTGGGACCTCAGTGGTTCTCCCCCGATCAATAAAAGGAACTCACAATTCGCGCCCACCCCGCAAAGATCAAGCTCAACTGGCGGGCTGCAGGACCGACACCTACACCGTATGTCCATGCCGGTTGCGCCGTCGAAATCCAACTCCATGGTGCCGTCCAGCAACTCGACCCCGGCCCGCTCCTCGACTCCCGTCAGAAGCGGCTTGTCAAACCCACCCACCACTTTCGACGACTTAGCTACGAGTATGAGTAGCGGCTCCTCGACTCCTGATCCCACGCCTTCGGTTGGCGATCACTTCAGGTCGGAAAGCTCAGATAAAATCTCAGACCGAGTTTCAGTACAAGGCTTTGGCCCTGGTGGATCAAATGAGCGTTCGAGAGCGAAAGGAAAGGGTAGAGTAGCCATTGTCCTGGCTTCGCTGTACCTGCAGGCTGGACGTTGGACCGATTCACTGAAAGAGGCCGTAGACGGTGCTACCGTGGCAAGGTCCATCAACGACCATATTTGGCACGGCAAGGCGCTGGAACTGATCACACTCAGTCTGGTGCTTCTTGGTTGGGCAAATATCGAGTTCGCGATTCCTACAGTATGCCTGCCACCTCAAGATAAGTCTACAGCAGCAACTCTTGCGGCGTTGGAGGCAGCTACATCAGACCCCAGTCAGCCGAAACATATGAGGAATCTTCAGCTCATATTGCCAGAGCTGCTGGAACGCATTGTGGGACTCTACTCCAGAATATCGGCGGAACACCTTCCTCCTTTACCCCTGGCCGAAACCACGATTCGATTCAGCAAGATTCTCTCGGCTCTGCACCTTGCCGATGGAAGGCTGGGAGAAAAATCACTCGATATGATCATCTTCGGGAAACTACCCCCGAAACCGTTGACGACGTCTCCTCGTTTGTCCATTACGCCGAGCCGGCAACTGATCACCACCCTTCTCTTTCGCGCCTTTCCTTCGTCTGCCTCTGAGCTTCTCACCATTGCAGACAGAGCTTCTATACTGGCTGGCATCGCGTCAGTTTTGGGCCCCCTCGGGCACAATCGTAAGAAAGCTATGGTTACTAGAGAGCTTGTCTCGGTTCTCATCAGTGGCCTGGTCGAAGCACGCACCCGAGGTGCTGCAGAGATGGGCATTCATCCTGCTGCAGGCTTAGTAGCTTTGAATGCTGCCAATGGACACAGTAACAGCGCTGTAGCTCTCGAGCTGGGAGAAGGTGACGTTGAGCAAGGCATCGAGGCTTTTCTTGCTCTTCTATGCAAGTCTTACGGCATCGTAGGCTTCGATATGAAGAGTAAGCCTTCAGATGGCGCCCTGTCCACCGAAGACTCGGACGCTGCTATCATCGATAGAATTCGAGGACAGTCGGCTGCGAGATTCTTCGGGTTTACGAGCGTTAAACTGAATATTCTGCGGGCTTGTATCAACTTTTCCGAGGCTTTGCCCGACTTCAACGGCGTGTTGAAGTTTTCAAGCGACTTGCTTCGAACGGCTGGCTCTGGCGTTGCTCCCGGACCCCGCAAAGAAGACGCATCACCCGTCATTTCCCGCGATGAGCAGATTCGATTGGTGACGAATATCGCCAAAACATCCAACCTATCCAAAAGACTCGGACTGGATCACCTCGCTGCCGAGTACTGGGATGAATTTTTCGTTCGTGGAGTTTCTTTGGAGCCACTCCCTAACAGTAGAATTCCTGTTCCCCACGCAAAGAGTACTCTTCCTGGAGCGGTAACTGCTCGAACGTCTCAGGACGTCAATCCCTTTATTTACAACCCTTTTCTGAAGCAACCCGACAAAGCTTCCATCCACACTTTGGTCACAAACGAGCCAGCCACTTTCAAGGTTACCCTGCAGAACCCCTTCGACATCGAAGTTGATGTGGAGAGCATTCGTCTGGACACCACTGGGGCAGAGTTCGAATCAGATGCAGAAAGTACTGTCATTGGCCCCTACCGAACGCAGATATTGAAGGTCTCCGGAACGCCGAAGAGCGCTGGCGCGCTCAAGGTGACTGGTGCAATCATTCGAGTGCGTGGCTGTCGAGAGAGGCGATTTCCCATCTTCAAGCAACCATGGACACCGGAGACGGAGCTGAAGGCCAAGGCTACTGGTTTGCCAGCCCTCGAAGATAGCATCTCTTCAGCGGCTCTTGCAAGTCGCTCTTTGAAGGTTGAAGAAGTTGGCTTGAACGTTATTCCCCAGCAACCTGTTGTCATTGTCAAGTCCACGACACTACCACAGGCATCCATCATGGTGCTCGAGGGAGAAAGACAGGTCTTCTCCATCACTCTGCAGAATCTTTCGCAGACCACGCCTGCAGACTTCATGCTGTTCTCGTTCCAAGATTCGACTCAAGGACCACTGCAGGCCGGGCTCAACAACCGAGATGCGACGCCCGCAGAGCTTTACGAGTATGAATACATTCTTATGAGGCGCCAAGCTCTGAGGAGGCTGAATAAGAAGGAACCCGAGAGACGCTTCATCGCCCCCGGTGGCACTGCGACGTTCGACTTTGAAATCCTGGGCAAGCCCGGACTGACCAACGCTGCCATTCAAATCGACTACGCTCATCTTGGAGTGCCCCCCGAAGAAGTCACTGAGAAGTTTCATACTCGCCAAGTGTCATTGCAACTGACAGTGACTGTTAACGCCAGCGTCGAGCTCTCAAGATTGGATGTGCTCCCCCTCGCTGGACCTGTGCCTCGGCCACTACTCAGTCTTACCCACCTTGACTCTAAGTCTGATCCCTCGACCCTGGCGGATGAGTATTGTCTCCTGTCCATGGACCTCCGCAATGCCTGGCCCAATAATATGGAGGTGCAGTTGGACGGCGAGGACGGAATAACGATTGAGGAGCATGTTCTTCCTGGTAACACCAGTAGGGTCATTGTTCCTATACGACGGATTTATCTCGACGATCCTCATGCGTCCATCCCAGCCCTGAACCCGTCAAGGCAAAGGCAGTTCGTTGTTAGCACCAGCAAAATCACGCCCGATATGGAGCGTTCCAATCGCGAGGCATTCTGGTTCCGCGAGAAGATTCTCAACACCCTCACCGCTCGATGGAAGACGGTATCGGGCCCGAAGCGAGGCGGCTACATCGATTTGCGCAGTATTAGACTTTCTCCGCGAATGATGGACGCCCTGAGAATCGACGATATCGGTATTGACATTTCCGTCAAGGACTGCAGCACCGACGCGGTCGACCACTCTATATTAGTCGACAACTTCGTGCAGATCAAGATCGGCGTCACCAACCGCTCGTCACGGCCAGTCTACCCCATGTTGCGTTTGATGCCAGCCTTGTGCCATCGACCTCTAAATGTGGCGTTGGATTTCACAAGGAAGTTTGCTTGGAACGGTACTCTGCAGCAAGCCCTTCCACCGTTGCCGGCCAAGTCGAACACCGAAGTGGAAATCGAAGCTATGGCCCTCTGCCGGGGAGAGTTCGAGATAGCCGCATCCGTTGAGGAGTACCAGATCTGGGAGGAACCCAAAGAAGAGAAAGAGAAGGAGGAGACAACGGCGGGTCGGCAACGATCGGATACACAGACAATGATGAATGCGCTACTCGGTGCGAAGGAGCGGCGCATTTGGCACTCGCGACAACCCTGCGTCATCAAGGTGTTAGATCACGACTAGCACCATGGGGCAGCCATCTTGTGCCTGACGAAGTGTACGATGGACGTAGACAAACGCATCACAGCAGATTTGGAGCAGCCACTTTTTACGTAGATAATACACCGTCACTAGACGAGTCTAGAACACGTTGGTTGCGAGTCCAGGGATAACAGATCGACCCAGCTATTGAAATAAGCTTATCCCTGCCAAACGACCCTGCGCCGAATCATGCAAGGGGCCCTGACCGCCTTCTTGTTTTTGCCTCCGTTGCCACCAAAATCCGTTTGTCACGCTGTATCCGGCGCTAGCCGACCGCGGGGCCCTTTTTTTCAAACCCCTCCAAGACTCATTTACACGCGGTCAAAGTCATCCAGTTCGAGAGAGCGTTGCATTGAGACCTTGTCGTTAGTCCGGAATACGGGGGATTGATCTCAAGGATGGCGCGGCCTCAGATCTTGTTTCTCGATGCCTACGACTCCTTCACGAACAACATTGTCTCTCTCTTGACGACCCTGCTCGAGGCGGATGTACACGTTCTGCCGATTGACACGCCGCTGCTTGATCACGACTCGCCAACGTTCGAGGATGATTTTCACCACGAGTTGTCACGCTACCACGCGGTAGTCTGCGGACCTGGACCGGGCTCTCCTGAGGTTGAGAAAGACGTCGGGCTTATGAGATGTATCTGGAGGTTGCGGGATGAGCAACTTTTGCCAGTGTTAGGTATCTGTCTGGGGTTCCAGAGTCTTGTGCTAAGTTCAGGTGGAAAGGTGAGGAGGCTGCGCCGCGGGTTGCATGGCATGGTTCGCAACATCCAGCATGAGAAAACGCATTCCTCTTACCAAGAGGATCTTTTCAGAGGCGTTTCCGAGTTCAAGGCAACGCTCTATCACAGTCTCTGCGCCGACATCGGCCAGGATGTGATCCCAGACGAGGACTGGAAGTCCAGGCGCTGGGAAGCACTCGACGCAGCCTCCGAACTCATCCCTCAGGCTTGGGTGGATGAGGAACGGGATGACGGGAATGAAAGGATTCTCATGGCCGTCAAACATCGAAGCAAGCCCTTCTGGGGTCTTCAGTATCACCCGGAATCGGTCTGCACTCAACCTGCAGGCCACGCCGTCATTCAGAACTGGCTGCGCGAAGCTATGGAGTGGAATTTGAAAGCGAGGAGGGAAATCCACACTCAAGAGAAGTTTCTGGCCAGGAATGCCGTCAGGCCTAGCCTGCTCTCGGAGATCAGGTCTGCGGCTCAAGGGGGCCGCGCACCCGTTCTCGCGTGGACAGAGATGCCGACATCTTTGGCGACCGTAGGGTTGGATTGCGAGTATACCTACAAGACGATCAGTCTCCCACCGAAGGTTAAGGTGCCAGACATCGTGGAGATACTGAAGAGCGGTAAGACGGAGCACATTATTTTGGACTCGTCCAACTCGAGCAACATGGCAACGGGGGCTGCGGACGTGCGAGGAAGATTCAGTATCATTGCACTGGATGTGGAAGAAGCGTTGCGCATCGAGCATCATGTCGGAGACGACTTCGCCACTGCTCGTCTGCCTTCGATTCAGGGGCTGCCCGTCGACATGATGGAGACCATTGCGTTCGGCTCCCAAGAGAACATATGGCATCTGCTTTCTAGTTTCCTGGAAAAGCGACGCATTCCTGCATCGGAGACCCTTGAGACCCCTTTTCGCGGCGGTTTCATGGGCTACCTCACTTACGAAATGGGTTTGAAGGGAATCGACGTCACCATGGCTCTGGACCGAGGACACCAGAGACCAGATCTCTGCTTTGCGTGGATTACGAAGAGCATTGTCGTGGATCACGTCAAGGGGCTTCTGCACGTCCAGCATCTCCAAAAGCGCAAGCTGAACTCCGACTTTTGGATCGACTCTGTAGTGGCATCGCTCCAGACATCACACTTCTGGCACGCCGGCAAGGCCACCGTCAACGGCCACCATACGGATCCCATGACTGTAGCAACACGACCTCTCATCCGAGTCCCCGACGCTACCGAGTACGAAGCCAAGGTAACCCGATGCCAGGACTACATCGCGGCCGGAGAATCGTACGAGCTCTGTCTGACGGACCAAACCACCATCACCCTCCCGGGTCGCCCGTCCGCGGAGCCGTACGCGAACCGCATCAACGGACACCCGTCGCACAAGTCGGCGCACGTCGCCCCGTGGAAGCTCTACAAGACCCTTCGCGCCCGCCAACCGGCCCCGTTCGGCTCCTTCGTCCGCCTCGGCGGCGCCACGCTCATCAGCAGCTCGCCCGAGCGGTTCCTCGAGTACGACGCCAACGGCTTCTGCTCGATGCGGCCGATGAAGGGCACCGTCCGCAAGTCCAACGCCGTTGCGACGCTCGCGCAGGCCGAGGAGATCCTGCACGTCCCTAAGGAGGAGGCGGAGAACCTCATGATCGTGGATCTCGTCCGGCATGACCTCCACGGCGTGTGCGGGTCGGGAAACGTGGTGGTGCCGCACCTGATGAAGGTCGAGGAGTACGCCACGGTGTTCCAGATGATCACCATCGTCAACGGCCAGCTGCCGGGTCCAGGTGCATCGGAGGATCGGTATACCGGCCTCGATGTGCTGTCGGCTAGTCTGCCGCCCGGCAGTATGACGGGCGCGCCGAAGAAGAGGAGTTGTGAGCTGCTGCAAGAGATCGAGGAGCACAGGGAGCGGAGTCTTTACTCTGGCGTCGTCGGATATATGGACGTCACTGGCAAGGGCGACTGGAGCGTGACGATTCGGACCATGTTCAAATGGGACGACGAGGTCGCGCCGCCTGAGGAGGGCGAGATCGAGCCTAGAGAGGTCTGGCACATCGGAGCGGGCGGCGCCGTGACGATTCTGAGCACGGCGGAGGGCGAGAGGGAGGAGATGTTTACGAAGCTGGCGGGACCCTTGGGGGTCTTCGCGGAAGCATGAGCGATCCGAACGACAATGGTTTTGTAGAGAGAACGGGTTTCTGGCGTTATCACTGGTTGCCGAAGGGGGGCAAAGGGCAAATGCTTGGGCTTTTTTGATGATACCTCAACGTATCTGGGATATTAGACTCTTGTGACCTTCACGGGTATTAGACTCAACTTAGACAACCCGGATGATCCATATCGGACAATGAAAGAAAACAACGCAGGGCCGCTGCTGGCTAAGACAAACAAAGATCTTCAAAATCCGTTCCCTTCCAATGTGATGAGAATGCCTTCAAATTAGATGCTTCATTGCAAAACAGAAAAGCGAACAAGGGAACGCCCGCCTGACGGAATGATGCTGGATATACATGGGAGAAGAGCCTCTCCCCGCAAACGCACTGATCCAATCCCTCCCTGCCGGATGCCCTGAGCGCCTTCGTTATCCCGAACATGGTCGTACTGTACAGGTTCGCCGCTGCTCATCTGGTCAAAACTATGCCTCTCCTGACTGACACTGCCCCTCCTACACGAAGCACGACCCCAATCATGGGTCGCGTGCCGCCGCAATCGGCCAGTTTAAAACTCTTGCTCTTCCTGGAAGAACATGCCGAAGCTGATGATGGTGCCGTAGATGAGGAGACCGCCGATTATCGACATGACCATGGCCTCGACCTGGATGAGATTGGAGTGCGCGAGAACGACGGGCAGAGCTGGTTTGGGGCGGATCGATTAGCACTTGCGATTTCAAAGAGCGAGAGGTGCACGAGGGCGGGACGGCTCACCAATTCCCATTACGACCAGGAAGCCGGTGCAGAAGCGGCCGAGGTCCAGCACGGCGGCGCCGGAGCTCTCGACGAAATCATCAGGGTTGGCGCATCGCGAGCAGATCCAGTTGGGGATCGGGGCCAGGACGTATGTGGCGACGACGAGGAGCGGGTAGTAGACCTTCCAGAGGGCGCAAGAGAGGATAACGAGGAGGAATCCGACGGCGAGGACGAAGGAGAGGGCGATGATTGTCTTGAGCCCGGCGGTCGGCATCTTGTCGGGAGGCGTGCGACGGACGGGAAAGTGGGTTAGATTTCCTTGTTTCGGAACTCGTATCGGGTCGTTTGGGTATAGGGCCCCGTCGGGGCTTCGAGAGTGTTTTCGGGGGGAACGTCCAGGCAAGAGCGACTGTGAATCGAGTGTCGATGAATTGTGCGTCGAGTGCGGTTCGTGGAGGTGGGATGGGAGAGGTTCGTCGAGAGTTGGCGGCTCAAGTTCGCAGGCTGAAGCTGTAAGGCGATGGCGGGTCCTCAGACGGGCCCTGACGCAGCGTCGTCGGGCGTGCTGGGCTGCTGCTGCCGTCGTCAGCGCAGCACGGCGCAACTTTGTTCCAGGAGCCGGTCCTCAGCGTGAATGGAAGCTGTTTGGCCTGTTTGCTAAGCTGAGCCCCACCTTTCCGGCAAGACCCCGGCAGGTACGGCGGTACGTAGCTCCAATGCACGGAACACGCCCACCCTTGCTCCAGGCTGAGAGAGTGCTACGAAAGCTCGACCTGCCTTGAGCTGGGGGGTTGATTATCCACAAGCTCTCGCTCTCCGCCGCATCTGCTCTCTTGCCCAACAACCACGAAGCAAACCACCCCGCGATTCCCTATCTCCTCCCTCCCAAGAACCTCCCCCAACGACGAATTACGGCGGCAGACCGATTGGATTGCTTGACGAAGCTACGAAGACTCCCTTACGCCCGCCATGTTCAGAAACAATTACGACAACGACTCGGTGACATTGTAAGTTGCCTGTTTGGCTGGTCTTCAACCTTCCCTGGCGGTTCCTCCCCCGGTGAGCGGTGGAGGCAGGCACGATGACGAAAGGACATCATTGCTGACGGCCGAACTTCCAATAGCTCGCCGCAAGGCCGGATATTCCAGATCGAATATGCAGCCGAAGCAGTGAAGCAGGGTTCCGTGGTAGTAGGCATTGCGAGCAAAACACACGCCGTGCTGGTAGCAATCAAGGTACGACATCATCGACCGCAGTATCCCTCCCTTCGACGTATCCGTCCTACGATACTAACCAGGTGCCCTACACAGCGCAATGCCGAAGAGCTGTCCTCCTACCAGAAGAAGATATTCACCGTCGACGAGCACGCCGGCATCGCCATCGCAGGCCTGACCTCGGACGCCCGCGTCCTCTCCAACTTCATGAAGCAGCAGTGCCTCGGCCACCGCATGACGTACGGCCGCTCGATGCCCCTGCGCACCCTCGTCGACATGATTGGCGAGAAGGCCCAGATCAACACCCAGATGTACGGCAAGCGACCCTACGGCGTTGGCCTCCTCGTCGCCGGCGTCGACGAGCGCGGACCCCACCTCTTCGAGTTCCAGCCTAGCGGGATGACGGAGGAGATGCTGGCCTTCGCCATCGGCGCTCGCTCCCAGATGGCCCGCACCTACCTCGAGCGCAACATCGACCAGTTCGAGGACTGCTCCCGCGAGGAGCTCGTCCGTCACGGCCTCAAGGCCCTCAAGGAGTCTCTCGTCCAGGACCGCGAGCTGACGGTCGAGAACACGAGCGTCGGCGTCGTCGGCTTCACCGAGAAGGACGGCCAGAAGATTGTCCAGCCCTTCAAGCTGTTTGACGGCCAGGACGTCAAGGAGTGGATCGACAGCGTCGCGGCGAGCGAGGGCCAAGGCGGCGGCGAGGAGGGCGGTGAGGGCATGGAGGTTGACGAATAGATACGGAAATGAGACACGGAAGGAGGACGGGGGGTAAAACTTGCGTTGCGTCGGACTGGAACAGGCCATCGTACACCTTCTGTAGTGGACTGGTTGGGCTGGCTGGGATGGGAAGTAGCGACACGCGAGCAGGCCCGTTTAGACTTGTACCAATACACCGCGGAAAAGGAGACTCGACAGCCGATGAAATGAGCTGCATCCAATGATTCAAAGATAAGAAGCCCTGGACACGGTATCCGACGCTCGCACTGTTTGTGACCGAGACAAGTTTGCGTGATTATTTGTACGTTTGCTCTCTTGCTTGTGTAACTCTCATAATGGTATGGTCTATCAAAACTACTACAGGCGACAATGCACAAACACCATCCAATGTCTTGGTTCATGTGTAACCCGCATCCAATCGAAGAGGTATACCCCCCTATTTTCCTTTCCCAAATCAACCAAGCCGAAGCGCGATGCAGAGAGAGGGGAAACACGAAGGGCGCCAGACTCCAGTACGCATCCGCTTTCGCAAAGCACACACACTGCCCACCACCTCCTGTAATTTTTCCCTTTCCCGTTCCTCGTCAGTGATCTTCATTACATGCCCGCTTTGGAGAGAAACATTGTGTGGTGAACGGCAGATGGGATTCAAGAGTTGGACCAGTCGAGCTTGAAGGTGGCCTCCGAGACCTTGTAATCCCTCAGGGCCTTGATGGCGCCCTCGGGGGTGGTGGAGGTGACGAGGATGTCGGCGTTGGCGGCCCTGATGAAGCCCTCGTCGACGCTCTTGCGGACCCACTCGAGGATGCCGTCGTAGAAGCCGTTGATGTTGAGGAGGCAGATGCCCTTGTCGTGGATGCCGAGCTGGTTCCAGGTGGCGGTCTCGAGGACCTCCTCGATGGTGCCGTAGCCGCCGGGCAGGGCGATGAAGCCGGAGCCGGGGCCGCCGGCGAAGACCTCCTTGGCCATCATCTGCTTGCGGGTGTGCATGTCCTTGACGACGGTGGTGCGGCCGTAGACGGTCTCGTCGGGGACGTACATGTTGTCCTTGTTGAGGGTGCCGTAGGTCCCGTCGCGCTCGAACTTGACGAGGGCCTCGGGGATGATGCCGTGGACCGAGTCCGGGCCGGCGAGGGAGACGAGGGTCTTTGCCACCTCGCCCATCAGGCCGACGGTGCCACCGCCGTAGACTGGGAGCTGGTCAGCATTGGAAGATTTTGTTGCGTCTCATCATGTCTCTGAGTGGTTGCGCCCACTTGGGTTGTCATCATCTTATGTTGTGACTGAGACTTGTGGCGGATGAGAAAGAGGCGATGAGTGACTCACCAAGGTCGATGTTGTTCTCGGCCATGAACCTTGCCAGCTCACGGGCAGCCTCCATGTGCTGGGGCTTGAAACCGGGAGAGGCGCCGCAGTAGACACAGATCTTTGCTCTACGTTGCACGCCGTTGCCATTTGTGCCGTTGGTGATTGTTCCATTGGTGTGGCCGTTGGTGTTACCATTAGTTGTGCCGTTGGCGCTGGGAGTTCCGTCCCGGGATGCCGGGATGGGGGAAGGACCGCCGGACTGCATTGTTGTTGTTTATCTGAATGTTGAGGGAGGGAATGTGATGAAGATTGCTGAAGACAGTCTTTTTTGGGAGAAATCGTCTTCTTATGTGTCAGTTGTATTGGGTGAGAAAAGAGATGTCAGAGAAGCTTACAGATGAGATCGAGTCTCGTCTTAATACCTCGCCCGTGTTGGTTGGGTTGTCAAGATGACGGTGGTTTTGTGGAGACGTTCTGGGGCTGTAACGTAGTTGTAGAGACAGATGCAACCTGGAAGAGTCACGGCACAGCAGTTGCGCGGTTTATGGTGCTTCCCGAAGGTGTTCCGCAAAAGATTGGCGATGGCAAAAGTCCCAAAAGTCAAAAGAGAGAAGCCCGAGAGAGAAGCTGAGAAAGGAGCAGGATCAGACAGCGGTGAAAGAGGCCGGTTATATACGTTTCTCAGGATGGAGTCTTGGGCTCGAAAAGGGAGGCAAGTTTGTCTCGTTTGCAGTAGTTGGGTTGGGGTTCAGAAGGCGTTTGACGAGTTTGGTGTGTATCAATATCCTGGTAACGACATGTAGGGTCATAAAGTTGAAAAGAAAAGAAAGATTGGACGAGGCGAGAGCAAAGCACAGATGGGAATGAGACAACGAGATGTCAGTTACCGCCGCGGCGCATGGACGACGGGCCGAAGGACTGACTGGTTTAGCGTGGGTAAGCTGGAACGACACGGCGTACTGCGTAGTAGGTGACGGGCTGGAAAGGTTCGCTCGGGGATCCTTTGGCCCCTCTTGCCGGTACAGTAGTGGACGATTTAGGTCGAAGCGTACAGCATAGTAGACCCAGCTGGGAAGAAAAAGCAAAGCGGAATCGCCCTGTGTCTTGGAGCTGGAACGAGGATGTGGACGGGTGCGGTGTGACGAGATGTTGACATGGACGTGGACTTGGGACGGGCGAGACAGGACACACGACTTATGTCTGTTGTTGAACTTGGTTTTTGCTGAAGGCAATATCGATCGGATCCATCCAGTCCGCCTCGTTCTCGTCCTCGATTTGAGCCAGCTTGAGTCCTCCCGAGACGGGTTTCGGGGCACCCCCAGCTGCCTGCAACGGCCAAGAGTGTTTGGTTTGTCAACTTGTTACGCGGCGACTGGTCCAACTGCTCAGGTGACCATGCTAGCGAGGCCCGAGTGCCATGCGGTGCGAAATTCCGCCTCCCGTCGATGACTCTACTGGGCCGTCCCGCTAGGATGAACGTAGAGGCGGAATAGGACGGTGGCGGTCGTGGGGGATGCTCGAGATAGTCAGAAGGAACCGGAAACAGGTGAGGTGACGGCATCCTGGAGCAGCGGCGTTGGTGTAATGGGAGATGGAGAAGATGTGACAAGATTAGGCCAATAGCCAGATGCCACTTCTCAAGCCGTATACACGTGTAACGACACGGTTCCTCACGTGTGTTCAGCGCCGTTGACGAATGGATTCTGAAGTCTCCTTGGAAAGGAGATACGTAGCAGTCTGGATCAGACGTTGGCTGGTTCTGAGTCGTCGGTTGTACCACGTTGGAAAGAGCGGAAAGGCACCTTGCCCTTACACGAACCGCAAGATAATGCAGGAGCGATATAGTGCTGGAACCGCCGTGCATCTCAACAGTCTTCGGCGCCTGTCAAGGGCTCTCCCCGGCCCCGGGGATGCTGCACTGCAACCTTGGCCTCTTCCGCTCAGCGCGGGAGTCCCCTGTTCTTCTTGTGCTCCGGGCGGCCCATGTTGCTGGTGTGTTTGCCGCGGGAGTCAGTTGTTGATCCGTTGCTTTTTGAAGGTGTTCGGTTCACATCGGTGGAATTGTAGGTATGCATGAACCTAGGTATGATGTGCTTTAATATGAACCATGACCAGTGGCTTATATCGGTATGAGGTTGGTATTGCAAGGCAAAACGAGAAGAGATATGGTGTAAATGTGAATACCACTGTAGGCACCTGGAGAATATTCGACAAAGAGAAAATCGGTGCTGTATTCGTACTGGACCTCTAAAAGCCTGGCCCAATACCCTGGGTCGTGGCGGCGCCTCGGTCGTTGATTCGCCCGGGCAGCACGCAATTTGTCCCGCCCGCCAAACCTCAGGGGTCCCCGTTAAGTTTGCCGTCCGCTTCGGACCCTTCCAGACTTCACTTCTCCAACCGACATCGCTTGCCAAATCCTCGGTTCCCGCGCCGGAGAAGACACGGTAATCTTTCGCGACTCTGCTCGACAAGTCGCCAAACCGTGACAAGCAGTCCGTGCCCGAGCAAACAGCCTCTCCGTCACCCGTTGCGGTTTCTGTGCGACCTGCCCGCCCATCGTCCCCTGCAGCGAGCACGCGATCTGTCGTCTCTCGGCCACGACTGATTTTCTGCCAACGCCGTTGCGATCCGTTGACGATCAAGATGTCTCAGCCCAATGCGCCGGCCCAGCCGGCCGCTCAAGAAGGCGTGAGTATTCGGCTCTGAATTGCGGACTCAATTGCGACAATGTACTGACTTTGAATCGCAGGGCATGGGCATGACCCAGAAGCTGATCCTCGGTGCCACCATGTACTTCGGCATGAATATGCTCATGAACAACTTGTTCCAGAAGAACCAGTCCGGCACCCAGGTAAAGGACGCCAATGGCAAAGTCATCAGCGTCCCCGCCAACACCGAAGATATTCCTCCATACCTCCTGCGGCCTAAACAGTTGAACGAGGGCGCTACGTACAGCCAGATTCCCCAGAAGCTGGCTCCGATCTGGCCAATGGACAGTCATGTGGATATCATTGTCACGGTCTCCGACAACGTCGTTCCTGCCCCGTTGTCTCAGACTCCGAAAGAGAAGATAGTCTTGAAGGAGGAGAAGTTCAAGCTCGGAAACTACAGCGAGAAGCGATCGATCGATACTACTATTACGATCCCCCCCTCTGTCCAGAACAACGGAACTCTCTGGGGTCACTTCTACGTCCATCTCCCTGGAAGCCAGCCTGATCCTCATGTCGAGTCGTTCGATCCCGCCTCTGCCTACTACTTTGCTTTCCCCCTCACCCAGTACATCCCCAAGAAGAAGGAATTCAAGACTCGCTCGCTTTTGGACAAGGCCGAGGAGGAGCCCGAGGCAGTGGTGGAGGAGAAGGATTCTGGTCCCATCATCGCCAGCTACTATCACCCGAACGCCAGTCTGTCAATGATTCCCAACACCGGGGTCCTCGAGTACCGCACCACGCACCCCGCCATCCGCCAATTCCTCCAACTCGAGCCTACCGGCGCTAGAGATGGTTCTGGCAAGCACTCTTGGTACTGTAAGTGACACCGTATCAGCGCAAATGTCCCGAATCTGAACATTGCTGACTCTTGCAGACCCAATTCTCTTCGTCAACACTTTCTGGCAGTTGAAGAGCCAGATGATGTTGCTCAATGACACCGTCACGGAAGTCCCGCTTCACATTGACTTGAACAACCTGCGCTCTTGGCAGTTCAACACGCTCGCCGCTATCGAGGCGAGCGCGAAGGAGTCTGCCCGCCAGGCTGCGTTCGGCGGGTCCCTCCCTGGTGGTGGTGACGGCTCTGAGATTGAGATGGTCAAGGAGATCTTTATTGACACCAACCCGATTCTTCTCGGTATCACAGTCATCGTCAGCATTGCGCACATCATCTTGGAAACTATGGCCTTTGGATCCGACATCGCTCACTACCGCAAGAAGAAGGATAACGTCGGTATCTCTGTCCGGTCCATTTTGGCCAACGTCTTCATGCAGGCCGTTATCCTGCTCTATCTCATCGACAACTCGCAAAACACTAGCTGGATGATTCTTGGCTCTCAAGCGGTAGGAATTGTCATTGAGTTCTGGAAGATCACAACGATCGTCAACGTCACGGTGAAAGCAGCACCACCAGGCTCCTGGCTGCCATTCGTCATCGCATTTGAAGACAAACACAAGCTCAGCGAGACCGAGGAGAAGACCAAGGAGTACGACGAGATCGCGTTCAAGTACATGTACATTGCCGGAGTGCCGCTTCTCATCGGATACGCCGTCTACTCGTTGATCTATGAGACGCACAAGTCGTGGTACTCGTACATCATTACCACGCTAGTTGGAAGCGTTTACGCCTACGGCTTCTTGATGATGGTTCCCTCCCTGTACATCAACTACAGACTGAAGAGCGTCGCACACATGCCTGCCAAGGCCATGATGTACAAGTTCCTCAACACTTTCATCGACGATCTGTTCGCATTCACCATCAAGATGCCTTTCCTCCACCGCCTGTCTACTTTCCGCGACGATATCATCTTCTTCATCTACCTGTACCAGCGCTACGCTTACAAGGTCGATCACACTCGCGTCAACGAGTTCGGTCAGGGTGGCGAAGACGAGGAGGAGGACAAGACCAAGGCCAAGGCCAAGGAGCTGCTCGAGAGCGACCCCACTATTGAGAAGGTGAAGGAGGTTGCTGGCAAAGCCACGGGCGCCGACACTGGCAAGGCCAAGAAGAGAAAGTAAAGATGGAGTCGCGTGTTCGACAATAGTAGATGATTGTAACTTGGGTGTAGATAGAAACTCCAGGAGACTGGATTAGATACCAAGTATATACATCACAGACTTCCATCATTACATTTGTTCCTGAACAGGGCAGTATTTTATGAGGTAGTTATACTGCTGTCTTCATTGCTGTCGCTGTCGCCGTTACTCTCACTGTTATTGTCACTGTTATCATCTTCGCCGTTATTGCTGTTGGTGTCGCTGTTGGTGTTGGTGTTGCTGTTGGTGTTGCTGGTGTTGCTGGTGTCGCTGGTGTCTGTCGTCGTCTCTCCCGGTGTTTTCACTTCCGAATACACAGCGATGATTACCTTAACACTATGTCTTAGTTGCAAGTGCTACGTAACGTCTTTGGGAGCGTCGAAATGGCTTCTCGCTTGCCAAGTTCCTCTCCTATCCATCTGATCGGTGTCACACTCAATCGAGGCTAATGCTGCTTGCCGCCAATGCAGTCATCGCCGTATCACCTCCACCATCCATTGCTTCTTATCTGTTAAGCGTCCCAACTCAAATGCAAGATGCACGCTTGGACATCTAGTGGAAGCTAGCAGAACACGGCCGGAAGAAAAGCAAGAAACGAGCATCGTATACGAGCGCATAACTAGCTCTAGCATGGACTCAAAACAAAGTAAAGTAAGGTAATCAGCTACAGCAGTCTGGAGGTTGCTAGCTCGTTCGCTGGCCGTGGCTCCAATGGTAGCAGGGGCCCCCGTAACAAACGGCCAATGGCGGGGGTTGTTACTGTCGGAGCCCCGTGCCTGGTAGGGCAGAGACAAGCATCCGAACACCCGTATGTCACTGCACCTATCAGAGGGTCTCTCATCCCTTCTAATGACGCCAGGTCCCCTCAAACGATGTTTTGGAGCCAGGATCTCAGCTCTCTCAGCTCCACGTTTGCTGTTTCTCCAGGTGAGGTATCCGTACACGTACGGAATCCAGGCACGAGTTGAAGGGGGCATTCCCTGGGCTTCTGGAGAGTGGAGTGTTTGCGGGAACGATATACCGATTTAGAGCAAGTAATTTCTGGGCAGAGGCCGTTTACTTGGTGTTTTTCGGTTGATCGGGTAGAGAATACGCAATACGGCGTTTGAAGGGAATGGAGACGGGGGAAAAGCCTAGAACTTCGGGCCGTGGACATGCTGTAAATAGCACACTCATGAAAGTGGTTGAAAACCCCTGGAAAGTGAAGGAATTCAGCAATTGAAACTTTCACTGGCAGGCATGAACACCGTGAGGTGGTTGCCCCAAAGCAGTCATGGCTGACTTGATCCTCCACTAACACAGGCACCCCGAAACCTAAAGTTCCCGTAGACTCTCGTCTTTATTTTGGATTGGATTGATCGCTTCCTTCCCGTCCAACAAGAGGTGTCGGCCAAAACGCACCGGACCAAAAACAACCAAGCGATTGATAATCTCTCTCAAACTCCGTGTCTCTCGGTCGTGCTTCTTCCCTTTTCAACCTCGTACCATTCCATCCCTCGCCAACATCCCTCTTCTGTTCGTCCTCTCTTGTCCACGTCCACGTCCTTCGTCCGACTCGACTCGACTCGACTCAGGCCCCCCGTTCTCACATGCCCGGGTTCCCCCGCCTGTCATCATTTCGTCCCATGGATCTTCGGTCATGACATACGGATGGCCGCACAGGTCCCTCAGCAACCAAAACAACGAGTTGAAGAAAACGCAACAACCACAACAGAACTCACGTCCAACATAAACCGAGACGGGCACAGGCTTCAGCCTCCGCCAAGCAGAGCTCCGGATTCTCGGTTCGCCAGATCCACGCTGCCTCGTACGCAGTGGAGTTCCATACGTCTCTCATCATCCCAAACTGGAGCGTCCCCGGCACGCCGAAATCCACGCGAGGGAGCCAAGACCTCACTCTAGGGGAAACGTAAGCTACAAAACCTGTTCGGACGGTGTGGCCGTGCCGCCCGCGTGCCCGCGCCCGCCGTCCGTCGCCGTTCACTTCCCCCTTCGGGATTCCTGGCCCCCAAAAAGAAGGGGGTTGTCAAACGGGATTTATTATTGGGGGCTTTCGCACCGCACCGCGGTACAGCAGAGCAAGCTGCTGCAGCACGCAGCACACCCCATCCCCCTCCCTCGAACGTGCCGCGCCCTCTCCCCCGAACGCCGCCGCCGCCGACCCCCCCTCGAAGCCCGGAAAGCTGCGAGAGCAACGGAAGGGACACCGAATCATGAGCAGCCCTACCGTCGGGTCCCTTCTGGCTGCCATCGCGACTCTGATCAGTGATGGCCTGCGTATCTTGAAATTCGCCGATAAGCACCACTGGGGACCTGACGAACACGAGCAGTTGCGACTGCTGGAGGACACTCTCGACGATGCCAAGAAGGACTTCCAGGAGCTGTCGGTCCTCGTCAATGGCCAGCGCTACTACATGAACGATCGCAAGCGTGAGTCCCCCGCCCCGAACCGCACTTTTGTCACGGTAGCCCTGCGTGCAAGATTGCGGAATTTGCGCGATTCCACTAGACCCCGCGGTTTGCGACTGCGCAGCTCTCACTAACGCCGCGTCTAGCCCACTCAATCGACGAACTAAGGAGGTTACAAACGAAATTCGAGACGCACATCGAGAACTTCAAGGACTGGGCAAAGATAGGTGGACCGATCAACCCAATTTGGGCACGCGAGACGACTGAACTGCGCCGGGAATTGCACCGCGCGCAATGCCGGGCAGCGAGGAGGATATTTACAGCCGAACAAGAGTCGTCGTCAAGGTGTCTAGGTGCATTCCTCGTCTACCGGAAACAGCGCGAGTGGGCGAACAGGGTGATCGTAACCGAGGAGGAGTACCACCGGCGGCATGTGGAAGAGGTCGTGGCGTGCAATACCATCGGCAAGTTTGAGCGCTTTGGAGACAGAGACATTGCCTTTATCTGCGACTTTTGCGACGGACACCTCGTATGGGAGGACTTGGAAAGCATACCGGCGAGGCGCGCGGCCCAGGACACAACAAATATCCCTGTGTCGCCAAGTTCGACCCAACTGCCGCACTGGCAGGCGACGGCAATCACCAACTCAAATCGAGAGCCAAAGACAGTGGTGTATGCGCCCTTAGCGATAGCGAACCATATCGCCCCGTACCAGGGGGATTGGATAGCCCGCCTGGAGTGCCCGTACTGCGAGGAGGCGCCGTATATCGAACCGGGCGAGGACGGCGAGGACGAGGCGCGGAACGCCCAGGACGAGTCCGGTTTCGAAGACCTGGCGGCGTTTCAAGAACACCTGGAGTGGCAGCACACAACGGCGTCGATACCTGCCGTGTCGCTACCCAAGGCGGCCAAGGACTGCGTGATGATGTGATACCATAATTCGACGACGATTTTTGGCGGCGCAAACGGTGATTCATGTACATAATGTGGTCTTCATGCCGGCGAGGAGTTGGGGAGGGTTCACAACGGGGGCGGTGTTTTTATCACAGCCATACGATGCATGAGATTATTCTGGTTTCCTTGATACACCCAATGGCATATCTGCCTCAATGTTCACCTAGATACCACAGAGTCTGATTAGACCACAAAACAACAGAGACGCCGATCCGGTAGCGTTTGGGTCATGTTCCACATTAAGCTTGACTAAAAAAGATAATACACCATGCGGCAGCAGACCTCCCTTGTTTTTTTCGGTGCCCACCCAGAAGAAGCCTACGCCGGGACTTTGATATACATGAACAGACACATCCACCCTCGGCGGAAAAAGAAAAAGCAAAGCGCCCGCTTGCCGCTCAAAAGAAGCGCCACCACAAAAACACAATGATGATAAGGCCGAGGGCGCCGAAGGGGCCATACTGCTTCAGCAAGAGCTCCCAGTTGATGCGGACGGCGGCGCGGCGGTACTTTTTGCTGTCGTCGCGCAGGCGGGAGCTCAGCTCGCCCATGCGCTCGAGGGAGTCGCCGCGGTAGAGGAGGTCCTCGATGTTCTTGGTCATGACTTTCGTGACGTCGCGCAGCTCGTCGTTGAGCTTGTCGAGGTTCTGGGAGGCGCGGGCGTCCGAGTAGGTGGATTTGGTGCGGGAGATGAAGGTGTCGAACTCCATGAAGGCGTAGGGCCGCAGCGCGGGCGAGTGCAGCTGGGCTACCGGGTACGTCTGGGTGAACTCGCGGGCGAGGTCGGAGAGGTAGGTGAAGGCGAGCTTGCGCGGGTAGGAGCGGTCCGTTATGCAGAGGAAGGTGATGTCGTTGTCGATCAGGTAGCTGGTGGTGGTGGTCTTGTTAGTCTTGCGAAACGGGGAATAGGGGAGATGTGGTCCGGTCATGGGCTTACTGGAGGTTATAGGAGCCGCTTTCGATGCTGGCTTGGGGTTCCGAGTTGCGGGAGAGCTTGCGCAGGATTTGTTTGATTTGGGACTTGACCTCGGCGAGTGCGGCTTCTTGCTGTTCGTCGTCGACGGAGGCGCAGAGCATCAGGCCTGTGGGGGGCTTGTTAGCGGTGGAATCGTTGACTCCAAGATACGAGTTCGTACCATCCAGCCTTGCTATTTGCGTTGAGCGGATCATTTTGATATGTGAGGGTGTCGCGGAAAGGTAGGAAATAGGAGAACTAAAGAGTTCGAGGACCGACGTGTCGAGACTCGGGTCTTGGTCGAAGGTATGGGTAGCTATCGCCGGGTCTCGTTCGGGTAGGTATCGACGTGTCCTCTGGATGCGGTTGGAGGTCTCGTGGCCGAATTGTCCCGGTTGATGTGGCGGATTGCGCACGCTCTTTGACGTTTTTGTTGAAACTATCTCCGCAAGGTTTTCGAGGGAAGTGGTAGAGTTCTGCGTGTCCCTTTCTCCTTCAGGGGTTCTCTCGGGCGGGATTCCAACTTAGGATCATGGATCTCGCCAAGTTGGACCGCTGCAGAGGAGAGCTCTCCACGTCCCTGGGAATTGAGAGATGACACCATGGGTACGGGGCTGGCCAATTGGAGGGGTCGGACCGGGGATACCCTTGAACGTCCGTGTGGCCCGCCTGTGGCTTGACTTGACCAGCCTTGTTTAAATGAGACTTTGTGAGGAGTTGTGAGACTTTCACTCATCAACCGCTTTCATTTTGAGGGAGGTGTGGTGGGAATCTACGCCTTTCTGATGCCAAAATTAGCTGGTCGTTTGTTGAAAGTCATTCGTTTTGTTTTCTCAGCGATACCCTCTGAAGTTTTGTTTCCTTAGCCTGCAAGTTTAAGCTAAATCTGTAAGTCCCAATTAAGTGTTCTCATTCTCATCTCATATGGTTGTTTGCTTTGTGAGCGCTGTTTGAGCGGCGATTGTCCACGATGATCTCTTTGCTTCCAATGCATATATCCGAAATTAGTCCTTACTATCAAAGCCATAGTTCACTTTGTCTATTCATATGCTGATGCCCGCTCAGATTGTGTATCTTTGGCAACCACGACGGCTCCCGCCCAAAATGGCAGTCACTCCTCCCTCATCCGTAGACATAGAAATGGCCGATGCCGCCTCAGCAACTTCCGGGCTCACCACCCCGCCAGAAGAACACGGTTCAGTCTACGAAGACGTCGTCGAGAGGAAAGCAAGCCCCACCAACAATCAAATCGCCTCGCTCCAAAAAATCAATCTAGAGTCTCCCATCACCAATACCGAGTCACCGACGATGGCGAGACGATCGTCGCGCAACAGGAACAAACCCAAGCCGGTCGTCACGTCACCAACGAGGCCGGCGAAGAAGAAGATTGTGACCAGGAAGCCGAAGTGGACTGCGGAGAAGCTGTTGACGGATGCTAAGTCGCCTCTTGCCAACGCGGATCTCAGAGTATGTCACCTCCTTGCTCGCTGATTACTGATTTCGTGCATGCCGTTATTGAATTATTGTTCCTCGCTGACACTCTTTCGCAATAGACCATTCTCTGCCAGCCTGCGGCGTGGGATGTTCTTTCGCCCACCGATCGCGCCGAGATCATGACGCTATTCCCCGACGGCACGAAGATCCTGGACGAAGGCACGGACAACGCGCGCCCCGACTTCGAGGCCCTCCTCAACGACGACAATTTCCGCCACGACTGCGCCACCTACACTGATAACATTGCCAGGGGAAAACACGACCCGGAATGGCTCGAGCAGGCGTGGGCTGCGCGCGATCGCCGCAGGATAGGCGACTTTGACGAGTACCTCGCGCAGAAGTTCGAGGATGAGTGGAGCTGCAAGTTGCCTGCCGCGTCCGGAGAGAACGGTACGAAGGGTGGCGAGAAGGTTGAGTCTCCTCCGAAGGTTATGGACAATCTAGAGCAGCCCGCTCCGCCTAGAGCAATTGCAGAGCCGAACTGGGACAACGAGGTTGAGGTAGCCGTAGCCGTCGAGGAGCCCTATAGTGAGGGTGAGAGCGAAGGTGAAGGCGGCCCGGACCAAACGGAAGCCGAGATTCAAGACTCGCAAGCTTCGAATGATGCGAACACAGACGCGAAAGACGAGTCTCCTTCTCCGGATGGACCGCGAGTCACACTGGGGTCACCAGTCCCTGGGGACAGCGAAGATGGGTCGAAGGGTGGGCAATGATGAGAAAGTGACTGGAGTTTGGATGAGAAGGGAGCAACACGGCACATCACGACTTTATGACCCATGGATTGCGATGCGAAAGGAAGGTCTGCAGACGAAGAGGCATAGCAGGCATGATGTTTCTATGGCACTGGCGTTGGTTTTCTCACAGGGTGGGCAGCAAACTGCTTCATCTGCATGCGACAGAGGGTTCTCCAGGTTTTCTGCTATGGAAATAATTTAACGGTACTACGATTCATGATGGCGGTAAGAACCTACACGAATTCAAAGGCAAGGGATGAGGACTGCTTTTGTCGCACACATACAGTGTATGCTGTTCGTGATGTCCGCTCTTTTCCTCTGCCAGCCATTCTCGCCACCCTTGAAAACGATTTTCTTTAAATCCTTCTTTAAAACAACATGAGCTATGAACTCGGGACTTTACGAGCAGAATACGAGTAATATCGCACTTAGGAAAAGGTGTCTCGGTCTAGCTCCCGGTGATCGGTCGGTCGAGGCCCCACATCGCCGAAGAAACCCCAAATTCAGTGGGTTTTCACCACGAAATAATGTGTGATCTGCCAACTTCAACGGTACAGATTCATCACGGTATAAACGGCGTGCGTCATCGACTCTATGTTGGAGGAAACTTAAATCGCGACAAACTTCTGATTCGGCGTGAAAGGGCGAATTTCTGAAGCATTTTTGGCGAATTTCTGAGTTCACCGTCGACGAGCTACCATCCGCTGACGCAGACGTCCTCTTACTATCTGCAGCTGCAGCCGGTCACCATGGCGCCTTCGGCAGAGAACCACAGTCGCTCACATAGCCTTCTGCTTTTCCAGAAGCTTTTGAATTTGAGAGACAGCGCAAGCCCTCTGACTCTTGTGCTCGATAGCCTAGAGCAGAGCGCCGCACCGGTAGTACGGGAGTTCGTCTCTAGAGCGAAGGTGGGTGATCATTTCTATCTCATTCACAGATTGCTAGGCAACTACCTTTTTGGCGTGTTTGCCGAATTACGTCCCGCGAAAATCTTGTTGACGATGAGCAGGTCGCAAAAGCAAAAGTCATACTACTCTCCTTCGCGACCCTGAAGCGCCCACGAGATGTCGACGTCGTCATCAAGGCCCGAGGGAAGACCCTCAAGGCGTTGAGGGCGGAGATCCTCTCACACTACCCCAAGCCAGATGCCTCAGCAGCCAAGGGCGCGCCTCCTTCCCAAAGTGCGTGATAGCAACCCGTCTCACAGAACCTCTGACTCACGCCGCCCAACAGAAACCGTCGTGCTGCTCGACTCCCTTAACGACCTCGCCACAGCGGCGCCGCAGATCGTCCCGACGTTCCTGTCCACCATCATCGTGCCCTCCGTCTCCCTCGTGGCCGTCTACCACACCGACGTGCCCCTCGTCCTCCCGCGGACCATGAGCGAGTACGAGCCCCACCCGCTGACCGTCCTCTCCCACCTCGCGACCTCGATCCTGCGGCTGTCGAGCCTGAGGCAGGAGATTGAGCGCCAGAAGGCGAGGAACCGGAGTCTGCAGGAGCCGGAGTGGGGCCTCGGCGAGGAGAGGGAGGGCGTGTTGATCGGTCTCAAGGGCGAGACCAAGTCCGAAGACTACCGCGGCGTGGTGGTGGAGATGGAGGTGAGGAGGCGGAGCGGACGGGCGATGGCGGAGAAGTTTGTCTTGCTACCCTTGGCCGGCGTTCCTTCAGCGTCCGGGAAGGCATCGAAGGTGTTTTTGCTCTCGGAGCACCCTGTGTTTGCCGCTCCCGAGGGCGCTGAGGCGGATGGCGGTGCTGGAGAAGAGGAGGAACCGGAGAGCACGTTCAACCTGGGGCTTACGGAGAAGCAGAGACGGGATAGGGAGGGGATTGTGCTGCCTTATTTCGATGCGCAAACGGACATTGGGGCCGGCGAGGGTGGAAGGATTTTGTACGAGATGGGTAGGGAGGATGATTTTGATGATGAGGAGGATGAGATTTAGACAAGTTTGTTATGCGCATCTGGTAGACGGCGTATTGCCCGCTCCAGTATGAATTCATGAAGATGAACATAAATTGCAGCAACTAGCTCGAGAATATGTCTTCGTTAGTTGCTCAAAGCTCGAAGCTTCACGTCAAGTGACCAAATTTCTCATGGTTTTCCTTACTGGCGATGTTCTTCAATACTTCGACTTCGAAAACGACAACAGTGAATACGACAACATCATCAAAGAGACAGTTGGTTCATTGGCAAGTCCCCTCGGCGCCGACCAAGCTTCCTTGGATGCCCACCTAACTTGCGCAGACAGCCGAGCATCCCAGCCCACCTTCATCCGTCATCTGCCCCTGGCCCAGGGGCGCCGCGACCAACTCTGCTTTTGAGGCCAATGTGAAAACCTCATGAGGCATCACAATCGATTGGCTGAGAAAATTCAACAGAAGAAAACATTCACCGCGCAGAGAAATAAATCGACTGCCGGCTATTGAGCCGGGGCCATTGCTCGCCACGCACGGGCCATCCGGAAAACGTATATAATAAAATATCCTCGATTTTCCGCTCGCGATTGTTTTTCTCTTCTTCAGCTCTCTGTAAGTTACCTTACCACCCCCTACCTTTTCGATACATTGCTAACATACACAAGTTGCCTTTTGGCTTAGATCAAGTGTAGGTGAGTACACAATCCTCATCGGATTCCGACTTCCACATCCCTCTGCCTACCGTTATGCTGACATTTTCAAGTATCTGTTCTTTTTAACTTCATCGTTAAAAGGCTTCCACGGAAGCCAGCAAAATGAAGATCATTTTTGAAACCTCGGGGAGAGGTCACTCGAGCTTGCTCGACACCTCTTCCCACCGTGTCCCTGGTATCACACTGCCTCCAGGCGACGCAAAATTGTTGGTTTTCATTGGTTTCTCTGGCTTGCCCAGGGTTGTGAAGAAGACTGTCGAGAGAGCTGTTGAGCAGGAGGACTTTTGAAAGGTGTCGTGAAGTTTGCGGGTTGCTAAAACCAAGAAGAGAAGAAGCTTTCCCCTTTAGCACAATGGAGGAGAAGGGCATGAGGGAGTCTCAAATTCAGAGAAGGCGAGGAAGCTTTGGGTTGAAGCTGCAAGGAGGTTTCAAAAGATATCGTCGTCAGGAGCAGATCCCCTCTTCCCTCTCGACCAGAGCTCCTGGTGTTGAGAAACATCTGCGAGGTTGAATTGAACGTGAAGACACTCGAGTTTGCCGTGCAGTTGCTTCAGTGGAGCCAATGCAACTTGGATGCCGCCTGTCGGAGCTTTTCCAGGTTCCCCTGGCACTAAATTGAGTTGGCGCTGAGAGCTATCTAATTACTGTGTAAACGAACCACCTGTCTGTCAGTGCTTGACCCCAAATTTTCTTCAGCCTCAACGTGACGTCGTTGCACATTGTTCTCGTAGTGGCACTCCAGATCATCATTTCCCTGAGCACGCATTATACTTTTCCCTCCAGATAGGCACCCGTATCCACGCACGGAAATGGTTCGCGGACGCGAGAACCGACAGTGGGAGCAGCCCGACCGACGCAGCCGTGGTGGCGGCGGCGGCGGCGGACGAGACCGCGACAGCTACCGAGATCGCGACGGCAGGCGCGACGACCGCGATAGAAGAGGAGACGACCGCGACAGAAGATACAGATCCAGGTCCCGCGACAGACGCGACAGAGACCCGCGCCCCAGATCCAGAGACAGGCAGAGGGATCGTCCTCGCGACGACCGCGACGGCGGCAGACCTCCCAGGCGAGAAAGAGACAACGACCGGCGGAGGAGAGATGATGACCGCGGCGGCGAAGACAGACCACCTAGACGGCGCGATGAGGATGACGAAGTTCGTCGTAAGTTACTACTCAACCATCGGTATCTTCCTCTTCCGACGACTAACCACGTTTTGCCAGCACCGCGCGACAAGGACCGCAGACGATCAGCCTCCCCGCGCCGAAGCGGCAGCCCGCCACTCCCTCGCCGCGAAGACCGCTACACAGAGACCCTACCGACGCGCACGGTGGGAAAATCGAAGAAGGAGCAGCACACCATGTCCTTCAAGGTCGGACGCAACGACTCGCCGCAGGTCGACAGCGGACGCGATAGCGAGCGTAGCGACACCCCGATGACGGGACGGGACGATCGCGACGATCCAGACGACGAGGAGCCCGAGCCCGAAGTAGAGGGCGACGACCTCGCCGCTATGCAGGCTATGATGGGCTTCGGCGGGTTCGGCACGACGAAGGGACAGAAGATTGCGGGCAACAACGTCGGGGCCGTGAGGAAAGAGAAGAAGACCGAGTATCGCCAGTACATGAACCGACAGGGCGGATTTAACAGGCCACTCAGCCCGAGCCGGTAATTACGCATGTGGCACTTGATTAGATTCCACGCTTGATTTGGACGGCATAAGAATCGGGCCGTGGCCAAGGAAACGGAGAAGGAGCACAGCTTGAGGATTACGGCAAACGCCCGAACAGGGCTTCGACGATAGAGATGAGATTAATGGGCGTGGGTATGCTTCCCAGTTGTATTTTTCCTCCTAAGATACCTATAGATGACTGGTAATTGACATCATACCCAAAACGCTGAACCCGTTCAGATCTATTCAGACATGCTTCCGAAATCTACCCCGAGGCGATGGACGCTGGCGCGGGAGGTGTAGACTCCCTCCTCTTACCCTCCTTCGCCTCTGCCTTGAGCTCGCTGTCAAAGATGTCCACCGCAAGACTGGACTCCACAAAGTCCTCCAGCTCCTCGGTCACAGTCTTCAGCTTCTCCTTCACCGCGATGCTCCCCTCGAACCCGACAATGTGCCTCGCCGGAGGATTCTCGTGACCTCCAATAGCCGTCAAGGCATGTACGGTTTCCAATACCAAACGATCCGTGGCGCTCGACGGTAGCCTGGGATATCTCACAATAACCTCGGTGTCTAACGGCTCCATGGCAGTGTCGGGATTCATGTTGAGCACGTTGCCAAGCATGTCCCGGATACTCGGCGCCGGGTTGATCTCGGAGTCGTAGTAGGGGAGCTGCGGCGCGAAGATGATCTTGTTCGTAAGAGCCTGAATCTCCTTGTTCGGCTGGACGATGGTGACCTTGATGTTGAACGGGGCGATTTCGTATGCCAGCGAGTCGCAGAAGCCCTCGAGAGCCCAGATAGCAGACGTGTAGATGGGCATTCCTGGGGTCCCAATGTGCCCGCCCGTGCTGGAGAGTATGATGATGTGACCCGTGTGTTGTGAGCGGAGGAGAGGCAGGGCGGCCTTGATGAAGTTGACCTGCGAAAAGAAAAGGGTCTCAAACTGGTCGCGGACGAGATTCTGAGTAAGAGGATTCGTGGAAAGTTCCTCGACGCTTCCAACAACGGCTGTCTTTTTATCAGTATCAAGACGCCTCTTCCTCACAGCATCTCATGATCTCACTTACCGTCAGATTTGCAACACAACAAGATGTCTATCCTCCCAAATACCTGGACTGCCTCTGCTACAGCAGCACCGCATTGGCCCATGATACGTCCGTCGCAACGGATGCCGCGTATCCTGTCCTTCCATCCTTCGCGATCCTTACGGTTGCTCTTACATTCGTTGATGAGCTCTCTAAACTCGGCGCTGCGGTCTTCGTCCTCGATCTCATTCGGCGGCAGACATGCTACGACATAGTCGCCGTGACCCAACAGCAGGCGGATGAGTCTGATTATGAGCGGTGAGAGGGCTGTGGTCAGAAACCATGTCCTCGGTGAGTTGTGGGTAGCTTCGACGAATCAGCCAAGAATCAAGGGCGCTGTCTCCATTTGAGTACTCACGGAACGACGGCGCGGGAATGGTATTGGTGTGTTTGGCCGGCGTGGGCTCTGGTCCTTTGCGGTCCGTCATGTCCGGCATTGGTCGGAGTTGCTCTTTGAGGAAATGCGAGCCAATCAACCTTGCATCGCGGACGGCTGACCTTGAAAAGCGAGATAAACCAGATGCAGGACGGGATCTCTCGAGGATGGATGCGTGGGGATATGTAGGTAGGTCTTGGTCGTCGGGCGAGCATGCATTCAGTAGCGGGGGGTGGCCTCGAAACGACGGCAGAAGTCGAGGGATATTAATACTGCATCTTAATAAGAGCTTTGTTATTAGAGGCTGATACGGGCGATCTGATGTACAAGGGGGTCTTCGACGTGCCTTTAAGGTTGCAATCCCTGGTGCCGTCTGCAGTTCCTCGGTCTGGATGAGGGGAGAAAATGCATCCGTTCCAGCCCAAACCCCCCAAACCCCCAAACCCCCGCCCCCGAACGCCCTGTCTTCCGGATCTCAGAGCCCGAAAGGAGCCCCACCGCGGCGCGATTCCAGCGGCACCCCACGCTGCTGTCCGCTGTAATCTGGGGAACGACCCCTCCATCCAGTCACGTCACTTTTTGTTCCGACACCGGTGTCTCTTCCGCACTTTGGCGGGGTTGCGGTGTCTGGAATAGCGACTTTTTTTTCTGGCACCACTCCCCTCCGTGAGTCATTGTAAACCCATTGGATCCGACATAAAACGCTGCCAACGCTCCCGGATTGCTGTAAGACTGGACCGTTGATCTTCCGCCGTTACTCCTCGACCCAATTGAACACCAACAACCGCCCAAGATGCCTACCCGCGCCGACATCACCTACTTCGGCGCCGGCCCCGCGCTGCTGCCCACCGACGTCCTCGAGACGGCCGCCCAGGCACTGGTCGACTACAACGGCACCGGCCTTGGCATCGCCGAGCACTCCCACCGCAGCGAGATTGCGACCAAGGTCCTCGAGGAGGCCAAGGCCGACCTGACGACCTACCTCGACATCCCCTCCGACTACGAGATCCTATTCATGCAGGCCGGCGGCAGCGGCGAGTTCTCCGCGACGGTCTACAACTTCGTCGGCGCCTGGGTCGCTCGCCAGCGCGACGCCGTTCTCAAGCGCCTGGGCGCCACCGAGGACACCGATGAAGTCGTCGCCGAGCTGCGCAAGATCGTCGACGAGAAGCTTAAGCTCGACTACCTCGTCACCGGCGGCTGGTCGCAGAAGGCCAGCGCTGAGGCCGCGAGACTGCTCGGTCCCGAGTTCGTCAACGTCGCCGCCGACGCGCGCAAGGTCAACGACGGCAAGTTCGGCAAGATCCCCGACGAGAAGGACTGGAAGCTCAGCAAGGGCGCCGCCATGGTGTACTACTGCGACAACGAGACCGTCGACGGCGTTGAGTTCCCCGGTTTCCCTGCCTCGCTCGCCCCCAAGGACAACGGCGAGGGCCCGATCGTCGTGGCCGACATGTCCTCCAACATCCTCTCCCGCAGAGTCCCCGTCAAGAACTACAGCGCCATCTTCTTCGGCGCGCAGAAGAACCTCGGCCTCACGGGTGTGACCGTCGTCGTCATCAAGAAGAGCCTCCTCGCTGCGCAGCCCTCGCCCGCGCTGATGCGCAAACTCGGCCTCCCCATCAGCCCCATCGTTCTCTCCTACGAGACGATTGCCAAGAACAACTCGCTGTACAACACCTTGAGCATCTTTGAGTGAGTCATGAAACACCCAACCCCTTGTCATATGGGTCCATCTAACGGGCATTAGTGTCTACGTTGCCGGACAGGTTCTCAAGAAGCTGCTCCGCACTTTCCCTAACAAGGTCGACGGCCAGCAGGCCGTTGCCGACAAGAAGGCCTCGCTGATCTACGCCGCCCTCGAGGCGCACCCTAATGTCTACCGCATCGTCCCGGACAAGTCTGTCCGCTCGCGGATGAACATCTGCTTCCGCGTCACCAAGGGTGGGGACGTCGACGCTACCGAGAAGTCCTTCCTCAAGGAGGCCACAGCTCAGGGCCTGACTGGTCTCAAGGGCCACCGCAGCGTCGGCGGTATCCGCGCCAGCAACTACAACTCCATTCCCCTGGAGGGAGCGGAGAAGCTTGCTGCTTTCATCCAGTCCTTTGCCAAGGCTTAAATTTGTGTCGGAGACGGGAGACTTATGATACCATGTACAGGAGCGTTAAAAGGAGGGACAAAATAGGGTTCAAAAGCTATATGGGAACTTTTAGGGAGCATTGATATAATTCAACATTTTACTTCCACCGTTATCCCTTTGCCTAAAAAGCGTAAAGACTGTAAAGGGTTTCTTGAGGCTCCAGCTGTGTGATGTCCAGCGGAGAAAATTTTATATCTTATTCTCGCTTCAACCATGGTGAGAGTTGCGTTTGATTACTGTTATTATACAATGACTAGTGCTAAGTTCCTGGTTTTATTTTTATCGGCGTGGAAACCTTTGAGCCCAAGGGGCGAAAAAGGTTACCTGCTGTGTTTGATTATTTGGTAAAGCTCATGTTGACGGTTTAATACGTCCTGGAGCTCATTAGGGTTTGCGATTTCCGTGTTAAACTACACAGCGAAGTTGGTTCACCAATCACCCAGGTTTCTCCTAAAGGTACATGTCTTTTCAAGGACTATATAAGGGTTCAGATTTCCCGGTCATCCAGAATCATTGTCAGTATTTGTTCGGAGAGGCGGATCCCATCAATACACACCATCTACCTTCGATCATCAACTATCACTGTCATTATTCAATCATAAAAACCACCAGTCACATCAACCGTACCCATCACCCTCCGGCAACATGAACCCCGAAGCCCCGTGTTTCGTGCCCGCTACGTCGGTCACAGAGGTTAACGACTTTTCTCATGGGGATCCCCCGTACTACAATTCGAACATGGCTACCGCGATGGCCATATATCCCTCCAGCAACTTGAATCCCGAAGCCCCGTGTTTCATACCTACTGAGTTGACGGAAGTTGACCAGAGAGGTTAACGAGGCATCTCATGGACATCTCTCCCACTTCAACAAACAACATAAACAACAAGGCTACCGCAGCTGCCTGGGATTCTCCCAGCAGCCCCGTGTCTCGTGCCTTCTAAGTTGACCAGCGAGGTTGACTAGGTCCATCATGGACATCTACCACATTGCAAGAACAATATGGCTACCGCAACTGCCAGGGGACCCGCTGCCAGCTGCCGCAAACTAGGTCCTGGCTGCCGTAGCTAGCGACCGCTCTGCTGCATGTCTTCACTCCGAGCTGCCTCAAGAAGGAACTGGTTGGATATAGATTGACGTATCCAGATATTCAAGTAAGCATCACTCAAAATTGAGAAGTAATCAAGTCTTCAAAGAACGAATTGGACGAATCTAACCTGGCTTATCAGTCAGATACGTACTTACCCGACTTTCTGAACACCTTTGACGGAAAGATCTTAGGCCGGCTGCGCGGAAAAGAAGAAGCTTGGGCTGAAATGAGAAACACGAAACGCAGTGTAGGAGGATGATATGAGCAGTATCATTACTTAGAACACTAGCTCACTATGTGAGTCAGGTCATCATATGGGTTTCCATGTTGTCCTACTCATGCGCCCATGGTCAAGAATTCGCATACCAAGTCCTCATCCTGGTCCTTATGGCCCGCCTGCATATTGCTGCCTACTAACATGATATCGAGAACATGGAAAGTTCGCACATTGTATGCTATGCTTCTGGCACCGATTCTGGCACCGATTCTGGCTCTGGCTCCGGCTCCGGCTCTGGCGCCGTGCTCTTCATCGCCAACTTGATTCTCCAGTTGATAAAATCGTCCGTCAAGATCTGTCCATGTCCAGCCTCCTCGACTCTGAAGACCTCAATCTCAGGGCTTCCGGGCTGCCTGCGTATTCTCCATACACCGTCATCGTTGATGGTCTGACGAAGCCCTATAATCTAGTCAGCACCTCACCTCTTTTACCATCGCGACAACAACACAAAACTCACAAACGAGGAACTCTGCCGCAAAGTTGACGCACATATCCCCATTCCACGCCGCGTTCCCCCGTCTCTCCACCGTGTCCGGGATCTTCTCCGTCTCGATCTCCTCGACGCTGGTAAGCAGCCCGCGGTTATTTCTAAATCCAACGATGATCTTGGGCACGCCCAGCAGGAAACTCTGGATCCAGAACTTCATCAGCTTGCGGTGGAAGTTTCCCACGTCCCGGTCGTCGCGGATCGACAGGCTCGTCTTGAGCTCGACCCAGTTCGTTGGCGCCCCCTGCTTCGCGGGCTTGGAGTCCCAGACGGCGTCGACTTCGCCACCGATGCAGATGACGGTTTGACCAATGCCCGTTCGGACGACGGAGCAGTACTGGGCCTTGTTGTTCACGATTTCGTTGGGGCGGTTCTCAATGTAGTCGCGAGGCGTGTCGCCCCAGGGGGCAGGTAGTGTTGCGAGGGTTTCGAATTTGTAGCCTTGGGAAGGTGAGTATATGCTGCCGAAGCACTAGAATCGTAATACGCACCCCAAAACTGCATCACTTCGGGCGGAATGGGGCCTCGGCGTTGCTGCGCGTTCTGCTTCTGCTGCGAAGCAACTTTGTACTCGTGGTTCTCTTCAATGAAACTGCTCTTATGTCAATTTTCATGATGCCACATAGAGATGTTGACACCATACATGCAATCCTGAGTCCGGTCAGCTCAGTCGATGTTTACTGGGGCTTGGTTGCGCACTTGGTACAGGGTGGCATTCATCTCGAAGCTACAAGAGAAGTCAGTCTCTGGTCGAATGACATATTTGTAAGATGCGAACTAACCCGTCGCGATCTTCGAAAGGCGAGCCCATAATCTGATGAACGCTTAGTGAAATTGAGACTTGGAAACTGAGGTGGGTTTCCTACCTTCGTCATCATGCCGCGCCATGTCACAATCTGGGCATCTATCTTCTGTCCAGTCTCTTCTTCATGAGCCTTAATGGTCTTTAGAAGAGCTACAAGGTGCTCGGGCTTGGAGTCATCGTGTTTGATGAAGGTGTCATAGCCATCCGACAGATCGACTCCGAGTACTGGTGGGTAGTAATATCTCAATGAAGAGTCGCCCAGATGAAACTCGTGGTTGTCGTCGTATGAGAAGCATGCAAATTCCTATTAGATAATTAGATGATGATGACATATAAATTGCAGCGACGGCAGGAGTTTGAGGCTTTGGAGCGTTACGCGCAATATAGTTCACTCACTTTTGGCCGTTTGACAGGCTGGCTAGTGCCATAAAAGCGCCCAATGGGTTGAATAGGGAACTGCGTTGACGACATGACGCAAAACCCCAGCGAGTAGTCTGCCTCAAATATTATGATCGTCCTCTACACTCAGTTTGACAGGTCTCTCATTGCCAAGCGGGTATGGATTAAGTATTGGTGACTATTCCGGTCTCACCGTCGGTGTCGGGATCGGGAGTTGTTTAAGGAGTATTGCGGCGCGTTCACGCGGCAGGCGGGGCACGGCGGGATGGCGAGCCATCCGGGGCGGTGGGGAACTGACCACAACCGCTGCAATGAGCCACTAAGAGCCCTGGATGAGCTCCAGACAACGCTGAAACGTGCAGTTGGATGGCTGGGCTGGGAGCACCCGAGCCCCTAGCTGCAGCTAAGGTATGCCAGCCTGCATCTCGAATCCCACGTAGGTATCGACTCAACAACGACTTCGACATTTTTGATCTGCATTTAGAGATACCCCAACCACGGCGACCGAGGCGACGAAGCCAGCGCCAACTTACCTGTATAGACTCCCACTCTCTTCGACTCCGACTCCCGCGATGCGATTCTCTCCCTTCACGACCGTCTAAAGCATCCTATCTACCTCCTCCCTCACGATGTCGAACCGGTACGGCGGAGCCTACCGCAACGGCAATGGCTATGGCAACTTCGGTCGACGTGAAGAGGATTACGATCCTTACGGCGATGGCTACAGCGGCGGCGACAGAGACAGAGACAGAGAAAGAGACAGGGACAGAGGCGACCGATACGCCGTCGGCTCCCCGCCGATGAACTCATACTCCCGATCCCCGCCAACCATGCGGAACCCAGGGCCACCTCCCATGCGCAGCCGCGAGCGAGTTCAAGAGACCAACGCCGAGCGACAAATAGTACAGGTCCTCGAGCATATCAAGCAAGACTGGCCGGCCATGTGTCAGACCGACTGCGTCCCCGTGCAGCTCGCCCTCCAGCTCCTCGATACCAGCTCTGTCGGCCGCGCACACGATTACCGCAAGTTCCAGCAGACGCACACGTACCTCCAAGACTCCCTCAAGGGCATCGTCCACGAGCATCACCAAGGATTCAACAGCTCTATCGGCACATTCCACAAGATCCAGGGTAGCATTCAGGCGTCGCAGAAGAAGGTGCGCACACTCAAGGACTCGCTCTTGACGTCCAAGGTCAGCTTGTGCACGTCGGACCCGGAGCTTAAGAAACTCTCGGCCGCCTCGCAGGCTTATGACGAACTGCTCACGACACTGAATGAGCTGGAAGAGTTGAGATTGGTGCCGGATCAGCTGGAGGCGAGGATCTCTGAGAAGAGATTCCTGAGTGCTGTGGAGGTTCTGCAGAATGCGCTACGGAAGCTGCGCAAACCAGAATTGGATGATATCGGTGCCTTGAGTGATCTCAGGGGATACCTGGCCAACCAAGATACGGCGCTCATGGATATTCTAGTGGAGGAGCTTCACGAGCATTTATATCTGAAGTCGCCGTACTGTCAAGAGAGGTGGCAGAATCTTGCCAAGACGCAAGGAGCCTCTAAGGAGGGCAACTATGAGGCAATCACGATCGCGCCTTTTCATCAGATCTTGGACTCTATGGACTTTGAAGGGAAGGCAGCTGAGGACCCGGCTAAGAACCCAGAAGCCGACACGTTCTCCTATGTTACGCTGTTGGTTGAGGCCTTGAACAAGCTGGGAAGGCTGGAGACGGCCGTAGATACCCTCAAGCAGAGGCTGCCCGTCGAGCTCTTCACCATTGTGAACGAGACTCTCAACGAAGTTGATCAGCGTCACCCAAGCTCACTCAGAGGCGGCTCTGCCAATACCCAGGGGCTGCATATCTACGGCAACAGGGAGACACAGATGAGAGCTGATGTGATTTACGACCTTCTGTGGACGCTCTTCGGCAAGTTCGAAGCCATTGCAGAGGGACACCGCGTCTTCCACGAATCCATCAAGGCACTTATCCGGAGAGAAGGCGCTGGAAACAACAGCGCCTTGCTTGGGAGCTTCAAGGAGCTTTGGAATCTGTACCAAAACGAGATTCGTTCCTTGCTACACAACTATGTTACGACAGATGCCGATGTCTATCAGTTCAACTCATCACCAAAGCCCGGCGCCAACATCAACGGCAAGAAAGACGCTGCCAGGGAACACTTGTTCAAGTTTGCTGAAGGTGATCCTAAGGCTGTGGATATGACGACGGAATATGAAGCCCTCGAGGGCATCATCCGCGCTGCTGTTCCTGGCCTGACAGATACCTCCCGCAAGGGCGCGGACAAGAAGCGGCCAGCGTTGGAAGCTAACACTAAGAGGGTCACGGCAACGGGTTGGGAGAACAAGCAGACGCAGGGCACCTACAAATCTCTCGTCGAGCCAAGTGTTTTCAACATGAGTCTGCTCCTCCCGCCTACACTCGTCTTCCTACAAAGGTTAAAGATGATTGTTCCTCCCGGCTCAGATCTCGCCACGAGCACTCTGACGTCGTTCCTGGATAACTTCCTGGTCAACGTCTTCCAACCGCAGCTGGACGAGACGCTGGGCAAGCTGAGCGACACCATCTTTGGCGAAGTCGACTCGTTCCTCCAGGACCAGGAGTGGACGCAGGTCGCCAGACGGCCCGTTTTCAAGGGCACCACGGCTTTCTTCGCCGTCGTGACCGCCTTCTGCCGCATGCTGGGCACCATCCCCCACGACCAGGCCCTCAGCACTCTGATCATCACCCAGATGATGAGGTACTACGACCGCTGCTTCGAATGGTACAAGTCCCTCGTTAGCAAAACTCAGGCGCAGACTGGCGAGCCCGCCAAGCTCCGCATGTCTGCCGCCATGGCCCTGGAGGAAGGCGATGTCCACGAGACCATGAAGCAGCTCTGGACCTCCGACACCCTCGAGCGTGACCTCCTCGACAAGGAGGTCGGCCTGCTCATCGTCCAGACCAACGAGAAACGCATGGAGCTCGCGGACATCATCACGGACAAGGACACAATTTCCTCACTGTGTCTCCTGTACACCAGCATGAAGTGGCTCGCCGTCAAGATCTCGGGTCTGCGTCACATCACCCGCAACGAGTCGGACTCCTCCCGGCCGCACCTCAACAGGGGCTCCAGCAAGCGCTGGACCCTCATGAACGACCCCAGCAAGGCCACCAACGAAGAGGGCCCGGTGTACCTCCCAATGACGCAGGAAACAGTTCAGTACGTTCTCTCCCCAGCCCCCCTTACCCACTCACCCAAACAACCTTGCTAACAACAAACAGAGCCTTTGACGGCATAGTCTCCTCCTTCGAAGAACTGGCCGGCACAGCCCTCCTGACGCTGCACATGGAAATCCGCACCGAGATAATCTACTCCCTCCGCACCGCCCTCTCCCCGGACAAGGCCCCCTACCTCCTCGACCAGGAAGTCACCGAACCGGACCCCCAGATCCTCACCCTCAACTCGGACCTCGTCCTCTACGACGAGACCATCACGAAGTACCTCCGCGCCAAGGAGACGGCCTTCATCCGCACCGGCCTCGGCCTCCTCATCAACGGCTACCTCGTCACCAACGCCGCCTTCGTCTCCCCCATGAACGCAAAGGGCTGCGGCCGCATGCAGCTCAACATCCTCGTCCTCCAGCAGAACCTCAAGAACGTCGAGGAGGGCGTCGACCTCGCCCGCGCCAGCAACTACTTCGCCCTCTTCGACAAGGGGCCCGACGCCATCGTCGACAAGGCCCGCGAGGACAAGGACAAGGACGAGCACGCCGACCAGAGCGACACCTTCACCTACGAGGAGCTCAGGACCCTGCTCGAGCTGTGCTTCAGCGAGCAGCTCGCGAACCCGGAGCGGGGGATCGCCAGCGCCGCCAAGAGGCAGATGGCCGACAAGATGCTGGGTCTCAGCGAGTACATGTGGCAGAGCTGAGAGAGGGCAGGCTCAATGTCTTGGATGTGTGTGTGTGTGCGCGCGCGGGGGTAATGAGGATTTTCCGGTTCTTGGCGAGGAGTTTTACGGATGGGTTGTTACCTACATCAGAGAGGCATGGACCACGAACAGTTGCTTGTCAAATTTTTGGGGGGGTATTATTCTTTGTAGTCTATAGCTTTTTTTCAATGCCAAACTTTTCCCAACCACATGTACACACACGAAACCTATTTCCTACTATTCTCTACTCCTCCGACACTTCCATCATACGCGCGATCCCTCACGAGGAGACGAGATCCCTCCCCCTGTTGATCTGCACCTTCTTGTCCTCACCACCGCTGACGATACCCCACGTCTTGTCCCACGCCAGACCGAACACCTTGGCGCCCTCGCCGCCCATGGGCACCTTCTTGCCCTTGAGGGACTCCCTGGCGATGGTGTAGACGGCCTCGCTGACGCTGCCGCCGCCCTCGTCCTTGGTGGCGGGCCTGACGCTGCGCAGGTCCCAGATCTTGACGGTGCCGTCGTGGGAGGCGGAGGCCAGGCTGTGCTCGTTGTCCGGGGAGGGGGCGAGGGCGGAGACCATGTTGGCGTGGCCGCGGAGGGTGAGGACGGAGGTGGCGTTGGCGTTGGCGCGGGGGTCGAGGAGGGTGACGTGGCGGGCGGCGGAGCCGGCGGCGACGAGGGAGGAGGCGGGCATCGGGGCGAGGCAGAGGAGGGGGTGCATGGTGGTGAGGGTGGAGACGACGGCGCCGTTTGTGAGGTCGAGGGTGCGGAGGGTGTGGTCCGTCGAGGCCGAGTAGGCGACGGTGGGGTCTGTCGGGTGGAAGGCGACGGCGGTGGCGGAGGCGCCGTCGTGGGCGTTGATGAGGGCCTTGGCGCCGCGCTGGGGGACGGAGACGGAGGAGCCGGAGGAGGTCTTTGCGCGCTTGGCGGGGACGTCCTCAGCGTCGAGCTCGGGGGAGTCCTTCTTGGAGGCGGCCCAGAGGCCGACGCGGCCGTCGGCGGAGGCGGTGAGGATGCGCTTGGAGGGGCCGTGGACGGCGAGGGAGTTGATCATCTTCTTGTGGCCGTGGAGTTCGAGGGTGGGCTTGAGCTCGCCGGAGAAGCGGTCTGCGGACTCGGTGTACTTCCAGACGAGGACCTTCTGGTCGAGGCCGACGGAGGCGATCTGGGTCGAGGAGAGGAACTTTGCGCCGGTGAGGAGCTTGGAGTGGCCTCCGGCGCGAGCGGAGGCGGAGGTGGCGAGGCACTGGCCGGAGCCGTCCCAGACGCGAACGAGGCCGTCGTAGGAGGCGGAGAGGATGCGGTCCTGGCCCTGAGGGAGGGCGGCGGCGGACCAGATGCCGGCGGGGGAGGTGGCGGAGAGGATGTCGACGGCGGAGACCCAGTCGTCGTGCTCGAAGGAGGCCTCGTAGACGGGGGGCAGCAGGGAGCGGACGTACTGCAGAGTGATTGTGGATTCGAGGGAGAGGCCGTTGGACTGAAGGTATTCTTCGAGGGTCGTGCGGAGGAAGGTTCCGTTGACGAGGAAGTCGAGGGGTACCGGGGACGAGGTGTTGAGCATCGACTCCGAGTTCAATATCCTGGACAGGCCATATCGTTTGATGTCTGTTGGGGCGAGGCGTTAGCTTTGTTTTGTTGCCCAGCCAGCCATTGGGACCTGAAGAGGTTTCGAGTGTTTACCTGCTGGAACGATGAGTTGCCTCTTGCTCTCGTCGAGCTGGAGGTCATCATGCGTCGTCGTGAAGTTGACCTTCACCTGGGCCACCGAGGACTCCATTTTTGGCGATTGGCACCGAGATGCCTAGAATTGTGTGAGAATTTTCGAGAGTTGGCTGCTGACACAGATCGAAGTCGGGCGATTTTCGAGCAGCTTCTACTAGAAGAAGCGGGTTTGTGCAGTTCTCGGGCGTTCGTCGCTTGTCAGTTGGCAGAGGATTAGAGAGTGTCGGGAAGCGTTCCCGTCTAAATTTTTTTTCCAAGATGGCCGTCAGCCTTGCAGAAATCTTTAACCCCGCTGTAATGCGACCGCCCAATCAATGGTGCAGCGCAAAAGGGGACCGCCGCTAGGCTGAACAGTGCCCCGCAGCTAGCGCCAGGGGGTGTTGAAGCGAGGACTGGGATCGTGGTAAGGTATTTCCACATCATGAGCCCAGAGACAAGCAGTCATCGGAAGTCCAGTATAGGTTGCAAATGTGATGAAATAATGTGCTGTATCATGTATAAATCTTATCCTCCTATAGCCGCAACTTTGGCTTGGTCCACTGCAACCAATGAACCTTTTTGAGTAATTATACAAGTTGCAAAGCTCTTGCTTTGCAAATCATCAAGATCGATTGTCGAAGGCCATCGATCAAGAGCCGTCAGCAGAAGGCGACTGCTTCTTGGAAGCCTCCAGAATAAAAGCCTCCTCGATGGCGGCTCTGCGTCGGAATGTCCTAAGCCATCGCTCACCCCACCGGCGAAGAAGCGCATCACGCTGGCCAGCGCCGTCCATGCCCTCCATCATCTCGTCCTTGCTGCCGGACGCCCAGCTGACCAAGGCATCCTCCATCGCCTTGAAGAGGTCGCGCATAGCCTTGACTTCCCGCTCCTTGGCCTCTTCATCCGCCCCAGCCTCCGTCAACAGTTGTCTGACGCGCCCCGTGACCTTGGCCACCGTTCCAAACACCAGCTCGAAGACGTGGGTTTGGGCCAGGGAGTCGCCTGAGGATTGTCCGCTGACGTGGCTGCTGCCAACCAGTGCCCACTGGATGACTGAAATAGGCAACAGGATCGAGTAGTTCAAGAGCTTCTCTACGATTGAGATCGCCACGCCAGGTTGGGCAGCCCAGTAAGACATGACTGCGGTTATGATTTGGGCCTTAGCCGCCTCAGACGCCGCACCCACATCAAGAAGTCGATCCTTCGTTCGCTCGATACAGGCTAGAACGTGACTGAGGGACTTGGATCCAACCCAGCAGACGGCAGTGACGAAAACATCAGTGCTGGCCACCAAGGGGTCAAGGTCGCGTTCTATCGCAAGCGAGTGAATCCTCTCGATGATTGGCTGAAACTCCTCGTCTGCCGCTTTGCGTCTCAGCAGGGCGGCGATTTCGCGACCCTCGTCTGCAAATGGAGTGCCTGTGCTGTTGGTTAGATTTGAACTACGAGATCGGAGCTTAAATACTCACTGTCGTCGTTGAACTTGAAATCGGGGACGTCTTTTTCCTTGTCCGGGCCGATCAGGGACTGATATGGCTCAGGGAGTGTTCCCTTGATGCGCTGAGCAAAGCTCAGTCTGATCTCCTTGTCAAGAGCTCCGATGATGAATGCCTTCTGAGGATGAACATCGGGGAGGAAAACGTCATCAACCCATTCCGACCACTTCCATGTGAAGCCGAAGTTGCTCAAGTGGTGCGAGAACCAGTCGACAAATCTCTGCGAGAGCTCAAGATCCAGTCTGCTAGAGTTGCGGTACATGTGACGAATAGCACGACCTAAGCTGGGCGCGATGGCTGCAGGCGCTATTTTGCAGGCTTCTGTAAGAACGGAGTGGTAGTACACGAGCTTGTGCTCGGGGGTGGGAAGCTGGAAGAGCTGCGAGAACACAGCATCGACAGCTACGTCCTCGGGCTTCCATGACGACTTGCCGGAATCCATTTCTCGCAGCCTATCGAACGGAGTGGCGCGCTTTACAAAAGTGGTGTCAGAGAAATAGCAGTCCAAGTCGATGAGGTAGCGCGCGGTAACGTTGCGGTTGAAATCTAGAATGTTAATCGTATCGACCAGTCCATCGCGAATCAACGACGCAGCAATGTCCGTGACCGGAGGTACCGACTCGACGTCCTGAGAGCTGTAGACCGAGAAATACACCTCGGGAAAGAGGGGTCGGGGGCCGGCGATGATTTTCTCAGGGACCGTAATGGTTGGCAGGTTGTGCTTTGCAGCGTTGTCGAGCTTCTCCTGAGCTTCGATCTCTTCCAACGGCAGCTTCCAGGGTCTGGGAAGGCAAGAAAGCTCCCAGTTGTTGGCGGCTTCGGTTTGCAATTGTTTCTGCAGCAGGGCAATCACGCTCATGGAGCCTGTCGTTTCGTCCTTCGCTTCCGGGAGGTATGGGTCGATCAATGCCTGCAGTGCATGGGGTTCGGATGCGATGATATCGGTCTTGTCCATCAGGTCGGCAGCCTTCTGTTGCCACTGACCAGGCGCTGCTGCCATGATGTAGGGGATCGTAAGGAGAATGATCTTGACCAATTCTGTACCGATGGTCTGCGGAACGTCAGTACACGATTTGGCATGATATGGAGATAACAGAAGACCTACGTCATCAGAGCTTGCGGTCTGCAAATCCACAGCACGGTTGAAAAGCTCCTCCAAGACGGGGAATATGCCCTCGTCGTCGAGGCAGCTCTGCAAGCAAGCCAGAAGCTTGAGGTACAGCTTGACATCCCTCCATTGCCCAGCTTCAATCTTCTCCTGAGTCGCAGCGCTCAGCTTGGCCAGGATCTCGTCGACGATCTCACCCTTCAGCGTGTTCACCAAGAGGATGACTCCCGCAACGAAGGGAGTCTTGAGAGGTTGTTCCAAAGCAAGCTGAAGAACGAGACTGACGAAGCTTTCGCGCAGCTCCGTATCTTCAGCATTGTCAGCAACGACGTGGGCAATGCTCTGGACTTCCTCGTGCCATCGTCGGAGGGGAGACTCGGCAAGCGACAGAAGCTGTCGGCGAACCCTGACTGGAAGAGGTGCGGAATCGATTCTTCGGCGCTGCTGTCGGTGGTCGTGGTCATCATCATCTGTCATCGCCAGAAGGCAGTTTGTGAGCTGCTGCTGAAACAAAACTGGGGGCGGGAGCAAGCTGTACCTCGATTCCTTCTCTTCCTGTTGTTGTAACCACCACCGCCATGATGGCGTCTTCGGTCGTAATCGCCCATCGCGATTGAGGGTAGGTGAATTGACTAGTTGATATTGTCGAAAGCTGGTCTTTGGTTTGTTGGAAACGAAAGTCAGGCTTCCCGTATAACCTCAGCCTTGAAATGGGATCCACGTCAAAAAGTTACAGAGGGAAGGCGCGAGCTCCCCCCTGCTAGCTGAATTGTCGCGCGTCAATTGGATCCATTCAATGTCACCCTTCGCGCGGTGTTGCCTGAGGCAGAAAGTTTGGCCCATTCACGTTCGCAAGGGTAACATTGGCCCCTGCCCCCCAATTACCTCACCAACTTACGGCACCTCAGTGAGGTCCACGGAGCTGAAGTTCTGAACATGCCCGGACAGCGCCTTCCTGCTAAGGCTGTGTACCGTTACGTCGCGAAAGCATACGCATTGGCGTCGTGGCCAGCTCATCCGAACACCAAACAAAAGGATCTCCCCTATCTTTATGCACGGGCAGGGTCACAGGTCTCGGAAAGGTAGAGCAATTGCCTTGCATTGATCCTGCTTGGCCACTCCGAGCCAGTTCATAACGACAGCAACAGTCTTTCCCAAAGTCTGAGCAAAGTAGCCAGTCCCATTCCTTTTAATTGACCTTGGCTCGCCATCGTTGCGGTGCCATGAGTAAACAGAAAGCTGAAATCTTTTCCTTGGAATCATGCCTAAAACCAATCCAGACCTTCCGCCCGCTACTCCCGACAGACGGGAGAGGGCTTCCCGACCCTCTCGGCCTCCCTCCAACAACAACGAGAGGGTCCCAAACCTACGACAGTATGTCCTCCACACATGTACCGATTGCTGACAAGCAAGGGGGCCTCGCCGGACCGTAGTAAGTGATGAAATGACGAAAAAAGGGTAGGCCGGACCGTCCAGACAATCGCCGGCCGTAGCATGAGTAGCGTTTTTTCTGCGTAACATAAGAGAAAAACAAAGTGAGAGCCATCTCGGGTCATGCACCAACACTTGGTCTAGAACGCCGTCTCCTGCGGAAATGCAGCAATGCAGCCTCCCATAAACATGGTGAGCGACATGATGCACAACCCGTAGACATGCCTCGATGGGCCAACCTTTGCCTTCCCTGATTTCTCTGCAATCGCGGGAGCCACTGCTTCCTAAAGCCCTAGGCACCTTCGCATGTTCTCGCCAGCGAATATGTGCCCTTCACGGGCGATCGACGCAGCCAGCTTCTAGTCGTCATCCCACATTCAGCATCTAGTCATCACTTGATCCGCGCTCGAAGAGGTCGGTGCCCCTGCAGTCCATGCATAAACTCGATTTCATCATGCGCTGGTCGAACGGTAGGTTTGCGGCCGAGAAAAGTCGGGAACGATCCACGAGTGCGCTGAGTCCCTGGATATGACCTCGGCTTGCTCAGTCCAATTTGGCTATCATATCTGCCTTCGGAATTGGAGTGAAATTGTCGATGTCCAATCCTCCGCGGGCCAAAATGGGTTTGATGTGAGCAGGTACCAGCTGATGGTTCAAGTTGGGTGCGATGGAAAGTTCTGTTCAAAGGTTAGAGGCAGCTCGTGTAGTGCAGTAGGAGAATAACGAACCATGACGAGTGAAGTCGAACAGTGGGGGCAAATCCCGAATCTCACCACTCTGGTGCCGCGAGTCAGGCAACCTGGTGTTGGGGTCTCTGAGCTCGTCAAAGAAGGGGTGAACCATGGCTTCGACGGCGGCTTGTCTCTCGGTGGGGGTGTATTCGAGAAGACGAGCGATCAGGTCGATAGCGTTCGCATCCGCCTTCCTGAAGACCTTAGCAAAAGGATGAGGCTTAATCTGCGGGAACTTGTGTTCCATGTAGTTCGGGTTCATCGTGCGAATTTGCTCCCGTGTCGGCGTGCCCAGAACCTTGATGATTTCCACCAATTGATCAATGCCTGATTCTCCTGGGAAGAGGGGCTGTCCAAGCATCAGTTCTGCCATGACGCATCCGGTCGACCAGACGTCTGTCAAAAGATGTTAGCTGCGGTCGACTTAGAGTCCATCCAAGGCCAGCGGACATACCAATCTTGGTCGTATAGTTGGTAGCACCGAAGATCAATTCCGGGGCACGGTAGTATCGTGAGCAAATGTACGACACGTTCGGCTCGTTCTCTACCAGAATCTTTGCGCTGCCAAAATCGCAGAGTTTGAGAATGCCTGATGTAGGGTCGAGGAGGAGGTTCTGAGGCTTGATATCACGATGGCAAATGCCTTGAGAGTGGATGTACGCGAGAGCTCTGAAGAGCTGGTAGATGTAGAGCTTGACCTCCAGAATGGGCATCGTGGTCTTCATCTTGTTGAAGAAGCGCGATGCGCGGTAGACGGTCTCGGGCACGAATTCCTGCACGAGATTGAGGTAGACCTCATCTTTCTGTATCGGGTCGGGTCAGTTGTGTGTTGCGTGTGCAAAAGTCCCAGGGGAATCCTCACGCGTTCTCCATTGGAGTAGTAGAAAGCCTTCAACTGCACGATGTTGGGGTGACGGACGATGCGCATGATCTGAAGTTCACGGTTCTGCAACGAGTGTTAGTGGGTGGCTCCGACACAATCCATCAATCAGCCGCACCTTGAATCTCTTGTCCTGGAGAACGCGCTTGATAGCCGCATCCTCTCCTGACGGCGAGAGCTTTGTCTGGAAGACGACGCCGAAGGAACCGTTGCCCACGATCTTGCATTGCGTGTACTGCAAATCTCTCGTCTCTCCGGTGATTCCATCTTGCACCTTCTCGCGAATAACCTCTACGCGCGGATTAGCATGGCGATGTCTGGGCAGTAACGGGTCTGGTCGCAGCTTACCTCCCATCCTGAGAGTGTTGAAGGCGGCGGGGCGATTCTGCGCCATGGCTCGGAGGGTGTTGTCAGCACGGCGAGAGCCCTGCTATTGATGGCCGACGTTGGGCGAATTGAGGTCGAGTGTGGTGAGGGGTAACAGATCCGAGACTCGATGGCGGGCCGTGATGGGCAGCAGGGAACGATAGCTGTGTTTCGCTGACGTGGAGTTCGTGCAAGGGTGATTGCACGAAATTCAGACTGGTAGTCGACGAATCAATTGCTCCTTTTTCGAAAACCGGAAGAGAAGAGCAGGTATGATCGCGAAAAGGGCTGGAAGCGAGGACGGCACCGACAGCGGGTTTGACTCGAGACTCGACTCAGTGTTTCCAGGGACGAGAAATCAGAGGTTGTTTCGAGAAGTGCGTGCAACCTTTAGGTAGCTAACGGCGCTCATTAGCAGGTCGAATGGAAAGAGAAGAAGAAACAGAATGATGTTGTAGGAACGGCGAAACAATCTTTGGTGGTGGACGGAGCGGAAATGGGTTGCGGGTGTGTCGTGCGACGAGCAATGATGGACGAGGATGACAGACGAGGGGTGCGGGGCGGGAAGTAATTTGACAGGGAGAGGATGAAAAGTGGCAGGGCAGGGGAATATGAATGATGGCGACGATGCAAGACGAGTGGTGGCAAGTCGAAGAGTAAGGAGCAAAAGCGATGGGACGGGAGGGAAAGGTATGGGCAAGGTTGCTCGCTAGGTGGCAGCAGGACAGACAAGACAGGCCAGGACTGGACAGACGAGGATTCGGAGAGGTAGACTCGTAGAGGGACAGGTAGGTAGACAGACAGACAGACGGACAGAGAGAGAGGCCAAGCCAGTACTGAACGGGACAGAAAACGGGAGGGGGTGTAGGAGTGGTATATGCTGGTAGATGCGCTATGCATGCAGTACTGTGCTTGTACACTGCAGTGAGGTGATTTTTGGCTCAGGCAAAGGGAACGGGCAGCGGGAAAGGCAAATGCAATGGGAAAGGGAAAAAAAGACTGTCTGTCAGGTACGTGCAGTGCAGCCAGACGGAAGACTCTGGTAGCGCGAGGCAACTACTAACAGATACCCGTGGACCTTAGCTCGCCCAACTCAGCCCAGCAGCACGCGGGAAGCAGAAGCAGAAGCAGGTCACAGCAGCGCGAGCAAGACCACTTTCTCGTGTGTAAATGAAGTCGAGTGGTGACGACGGGCCGAGAGACAGGGCAAGGTACAGTGCAGTTGCAGAAACATGAGGCGCGATGGGCTGTGGGCTGCGGATGAACTTGTCTGTACGGTGCAATCGGGGGGGTGTATGGTTCTGTGGTGTGGGAAGGGGGGAATGTGGTGATGACGGCACAGCACGTTGCTGAGGGGCAGGCTTGGGCCGGGCTCAAGGATCGTGATGTTCTGCCTTGCCTTGTGCGACACAACGGGGGTCCAGAGGGAAAGGAGGTTGGGATTTTGGATTTGAAAGGCAGGAAATTCCGACTCACAAAATGGATGGCAATTGTCTACAGAGGCAGAATGCCGGTATGGAACGACGAGAAGAGCTTCGTTATGTTGCTTGCCGGGTCGGGCAGCTGTGGTGAATGGTGGTGGCTACAAGGTATGTACGAAAAGCAGCTACGAAACTGGAACGTTTCTCAGGAGCGGAGGAATGGATTCGAGGGTATTCGATCGAGTCGAGTCGTTCGAACGGGTCTGTACTTGGAAATCGCAAAGTTCGAGTTCGTTGGCGGTAACGATGGCAAGCGGATGCCGTTTGGGCGAGGGCGAGGGCGAGGACGATGCACGTCAAGTGACGAACGTGTGGTGGTGAAGTCGGGGTGCTGAGAGTTGAGGTAGGTAAGGTTAGGTAGGAAGAAAGAGGATGTTGTCACGCCGTTTGGATGCTCGAGGTGGGTAAGGTTGGGTGGGTTGGTTCCATAGGTTGGTGGGAGAAGGAACCAAGGTGGTAGTGGATTATCGAGGTAGGCGGGCAGGGTTGGTAATACCAAGCAAGGTAAAGGCAGGCGGTACTCCGTACACTAGGTAGGTACCTTACCAGGTAGGCACGAAGTCCACAGGAAGGCAGGTCGAGGATCCCGTTGAGGTCGAAGCCCAGCTCAGGTCAGGTCAGGTAAGGCACGTAGGTATCTTGGCGTACCTAGGTAGAGAAGTACCTATTGAGGTACCTCGAAATGAGGGGCAGCCCAGGGTGCGCGTGGTGCTGCTGTTCTTTTTGAGGCCTCGCGGACCACACGGCAGGGCAGACTAGCGCGCGCAGCTGGGCGAGGAATGACGGAGTGCGTCCCAACTTCTAGTGATGGAGCCAGGGGTGGTGGTGGTGGAGGAGAAGGAGGAAATGAAGAGTAGAGGTAGCGGATGAGATAAAATGAAGAAAAAAATGAACAAGTAAGGACTATCACAGCAGTTTCTCGCTGGAGTTGAGTTGCTAATATTACTGTTATGATAAATCGAGTTCCTGACTGGAAACTCTTCACTACCTAGGTACCTATTAGAAACACTAGCAATTGATGCTTGAAGACGGAGCGGATTAGCTCTAGGTGTCCTTTCCTTGTCTCTCACTCTGCTCCTTGTTCACTTCCTACATGTCAGGACGGAAGAGACGCTGCGATGGAACAGTGATGTCGGTGTGCATTCAAATAGATACGGCAAAGCTAAGGTGAGAGGTGACGAGGTGCCGCAAGGTGAAGTCTTAAATTATGAAGTTACAGCACTCAGGCTGGAGGCGTAGCAGTCGGCTCGGCACTGTTGTCGCGCGAAGCAACACCAATTGCACAGACAGACAGACCCCCGCGACGGTAAATTGTATGTGTATATCATGCAATCGACAGCACTCTGAGGGTGTTGAGAGCAATGTGCACGCAAATGGGGACGCGAGAGGCGAGAGGCGCAACTGAGGCTCAGAGTCCTAAGACCCAAAGTCAAGGTCGAGGTCCAGCGAGGTGAGAGGCTGGGTCAAGTCCAACTCAGGCAGTCTCTAAGGTACTTCAGTTGCAGATGCAAACGTAGCACTCGATACACGACGGCTAATATCAATATCAAATCGCCGGAAGCTGCCTGTTGAAGACGGCAAGGCGGGATGAAGAAGAGAGAACAAGTGAAGTCGTACATGTAGGCACTTCACTATGGAGAGAACTCAAGTGAAGTCGAGTCAAGACAAGGGAAGGGCGGACGTTTTTTTCCTAACTCGACCAAGTATCCGTACCATAGGTACCTCAGTAAGCAAGTTGGACGAACAAGCAAAACTCCTAGTCGTAAAGAAGTCAGAACTCACAACCACAGGTAAGCAGTCTGGTCCCAGTCAGAGTCCAAAAAGCTAATGAGAATACAGCACTATGTGACATAAGAGGTCAGACTGCGGGAGCACGTTAGCCTTTCGTTGTCGCCGCTCTAGACAAGGACCCGCTGCACCGGGCGTGCTCATGTGCTCTTTTTGAGACGGGGACGCAGGCGCTAAAACTCGGCAAGCGGAAGTCAAAACCCAATGACCGCTCGTGCTTGTCTCGTTGCCATTCAGCTACCAAGAACCTAGTCAGAAGTACCTCCAACTTGGCTGCAGTTTTCCGACCGAATGAATACCTTACCTTAGAACCCTACCTTAACTTCGAGATGGGAAAGTTCGTGGGGAAGGCGAGGAAGAGTTCATTACATATGCACCTATCTTCCGCAGCTACGTGCTTGGTGCCTTATTCTGAGGAAAGTACCTAGGTAGTCTAAGTGAGGCATCGTGCTTTCTCTTCTGGTATTATAAATGGAAGCAAGAGGAAAGAGCCACCTGGTTGTTAAGGGGAGGTGGACATGAACAGCCCGGGAAGGAGCCTTACCTCAGGGAGGCTCTTCCTTGCCCTGACTGCCTGCTCATTCTACTTCACTACTTCCTTCCCAGACTCAAGAGGACATCCCACGTGCACCTCTTGGATAGATATCACGTGGCATCTATCTACCTTACCTCAGCCTGTCTGCCTCTTGTTCCTCCTATGTCTTTTCTGTATCGATTGTGTCCGCCTTGTTGCGTTAATACTGTCTGAGACTTCGACGTTCTCCCTCCCATCTCTCTTCGAGTTTTCATCCCACGTACGGTACCTTGGGCTAGGACGGCCCGTATCCACCTCGACACATCCAGCTTCCTCCCATTCGCCAGGGTACAGTCGAGTACTTTTGGCCTGCTGACCTGCTAGGTCTTCCCATGCGTACCGGCCCGGTACACGAGCCAAGGGGCTCAAGCCAGCCCAGGGCATCAAGGCATGCGCTAACCAAAAGTCCAATGCGCCTTGAGCCCTGAGCCGGCCTACAGAGCGACCCCCGATTCTGCAGGGTCCAACGAGTTCATTCTCCTACCCGATCGTTGCAGCGTTCCTCGTTGACTTGAACATAGACAACTCCGGCTGAGCCGCCTCGTTCGCCCGTCTTCTCTTCAAAGTTTTCTTAGCCTCCTGGTTGCATCCATTGGGCAATCACAGAGCAAATCCTCAAGACGCATATTCAGGATTGCCTTGCCGCTGCTTGCCAGGCCATCCCCAGACCAGAGAACAACGTATTCCCCGGACCGGAGAACCAAGGCACTGTCAGAACAGCCGCAGGCGACAGGGTTGGCTATCGCCACCTCCGACAACCGATTGAAGTCCTACATCTGCAGACTCGAGATCAATTCAAAGACGTCGCTTGTCATTCATTTCGATTTTTTCATATCGTCTCTTTGCATCCCAAACCGAATGAGATTCATCACAGCTGGCGAGTGCTGGCTGCGCGTTGGTCAGGCTTCAGCTGGGTCACCCGAACACCCTCTTTCGACGACGTTTAGCCCATGTTGAACTCGCAGCCGTTCGTCACACGGGGATTCGCGATCGTTGAGTCCGGGTTCTGCTTGCTCCTGTCCTATCTCTGCAAGGACAGTAGTTGAACAGCAACACTTTGGGAACCAAGGCAACAACAGTTGGGGATCAAGACACATCAACTCTGACGAACAGCTGCAGCTCCCCTGGTCGCTGCTTGCTAATTATTTGGACAAGAATGTTAGATACTTCGTTTCTTCTTACAAT